ATTTCATCCTTCCTGTAGAGTTGTTCATGTAGGATAAAGACTGAATTAAAGAGTGCATTTTTGTCAGATGGTAAAGCATGTTTGAGCATCCTATACCAGTGGTCTGTAAGCGGTCGCGCGCCAGAGACTAGCTGGGGTTGATTGAGTAAGGACTACTCGATATGATTCGCCTAAATGTAACCAAGCATCGTCACCTAGTAAGTCTTGACTGACCGCCTTGAACACTCCGTTCAGAGGTTGCATGGCATGGACGTTGTTTGTTGGTGAGTGCATGATACACCCTCCCCTACAGTACAAGTGTTCGTAGTACTGTTGATATGCTCTTGGATGTCGTCTGGACTGTGATATGCCAATCACCTACAGAGGACATGAGTTACTGGACCACTGGTGTGAAACACTGCCTACAATAACTGACTGGACTGCTGGTGTCAAGCAACACCGCTGTCAGGGGTCTCGCGCCTGAAACCCAGGTCGGTCTGTCGAGATACTCGGTGACTATCAAACTGTGCGACAGCTATTGTCTCGAGATACTCGGTGACTATCAAGTTGTGCAGTGACAGCAGGTGGCGTTTGTTGTATATACTATCGTAGGTTTCGGCTGACCTCTGTGGACACTCCGTTCAGGGGTAGCTCGGCACGATCAATATCAATGTTATGATGACACCAAGGTCTGGTGTGAGTGTTGATGATGATGAGGTTGATGGTGTTGGTGATGAGATTGGTGATGTCGATGATAATGAGGTTGATGGTGTTGGTGATAAGGTTGGTGGCGTCGATGATAATGAGGTTGATGGTGTTGGTGATAAGGTTGGTGGCGTCAACACGAGTGTCCAGTGTGTTGACTTGATGCTTGAAGTGATCCCCGGACCGCAGTGGACTACTGCCTTCGGTTCTATCTATATCCGGACCGCTAACCTGCTATGGGCGCCTTCGGACGTCAGGTAGTGGTGATACAACACACACACTACGATGAGGAGCAACCTTGATAGATTGCTGCTATGCTGACTGTAACTAATGAGTACTTGTGTTTCTAAAGTATTGACTAGTTGTATGGTGAGTAGAGTGGATGAGGATCCACTCGACCTATTGATGAGAAAGCATGGTTATATACCTCTTCTCAGCATCGCCAGCGATGCTGCTCCTGCTCTCTCTCCAGAGAGTACCTTCTTCATCGAGTACTGCTCAGGGGCCTCTCCTGCTTGGCACCCCTGTGCCTCTTGAGCTGTGTCGACTCCTTCGACACTGCTCCTCCTCCTTTGATCAGTGACAGTTCCTTTGGCTCTTGTCTCTCGAGCCCCTGAGTGGTAACCATCTGCATGCTCCTTGAGCTTGGTCCTCTTCGTGGCTGTGCCTGCTCCTTGAGCTTGGTCCTCCTCGTGGCTGTGCCTGCTCCTTGAGCTTGGTCCTCCTCGTGGCTGTGCTTGGCCCTCCTTTGCATGTGAGTCCATAGGAGTCCATGGTCTCCATGGAGACTGCACTACGACCATGCTCTCTACTGGTGTCGACTAGGTCTTCGATACCTGTGCTCCTTCCATATGAACCCATGACCCTCCTGCTTCTTGAGCATCCAGGCCCATGACAACCGCCTACAGCAAGGAACTGGACTGCTAGTGTGAAGAACACTGCCTACAGTAATGAACTGGACCACTAGTGTGAAGAACACTGCCTACAGTAATGAACTGGACCGCTAGTGTAAAGAACACTGCCTACAGTTGTCGACTAACGGTGATACAACACACATGTTGAGAGTCATTGCAAGAGCACTGCTATTGCGAAGATACGTAACCTAGTAAGTATAGAGTAAGTAGTAGAGTTTTCTTTAGAGTGGATGCCGGTCCACTCGAATGCTATGGTAGAAAGAGAGTATTTATACGTTCGATCAGTGTTTTCCCTTGACACCTATCCTGCTCCTCTTGAGGGGCCTTTGTCCCCTGTTAGGCACTGCCTTGCCCTGCTGGCATCATCCCCTTCGATACTGCGCTCCTACTGTTTTGCTCGGCGTAAGGGTTATGCAACACTGCCCTCTTGCCTTCATTCTCTCCTTCTGTCTGATGTGTGATGCCCCCCCCCCCTTTTGGCACAGCCCCCTTTCGTCTTAATCTTGTGAATCCCCTTTTGAACCTCGTGACCATACCCCCTGATCATGTGGTCACGTCAGCTCAGTTCTGACTCGACTTGTTTGGATCGGCCAACTAGTTGAAGTGTGCTGATTCAACTGACTCCGATGATGGCACAGCTCCGAATACTTGTTCAGATCGGCTGACTAGTTGAAGTGTGCTGATCCGACTGACTCTGTCATTGGCACAGCTCCAAATACTTGCTCAGATTGGCCAACTAGTTGAAGCGTGCTGATCTGACTGATTCCGACATTGGCACAGCTCTGAATACCTGTTCAGATCGGCCAATTAGTTGAGGCATGTTGATCTGGCTGCCTCCATCGTCAGCATAGCTCTGAGTACTTGTTCAGATTGGCTGACTTGTTGAAGCATACTGGTCCAGCTGACTTCGACCAATCCCATGAGATCGATCTGGATTCCTGGGGTTCGATCGATCTCGTAAATCATGTGCGCTGCCAACCCGATTAATCTCGTTGATCCCTGATGGTTGTCAACTCTGATCAATCTGGTGCACCCTTCATATGTTGATCTTCTGTGCACCCTTCATATACTGCTCCGTTACGCAACATTATCATAACTGCTGCTGATCATTTGGCACACTCTCTTGCGCAGGCCAGCCGTCCCTGTGACATGGTCCAGCATCCAGGGTTCATGCAGGTATGCATGTAGTTCAGACACATGTGCCTCCCATTTGATGAGAAAGTTGTATGTGTTACTGCTGACTTGATCCCAGCAGATTGCATAAGTGGTGGCAAGGAGCTCATATTCTTTAGTGGCTGAGTGTCTCTTACATTTGTCCACTGCCCAGTCGAAGAGATCAACAGTGATTGGCACTGGCTGATCTCCATGCTCTGTGAAGTATTCAGTGCATAGTTTATTTGAGAAACTACACATGATGATGGAGCTGAGCATCAAGTCAGCATCCTCAAATGTGGTCGCCTTTCAGTCAAGGACATTTCATGCAAATGGGACAATGGACAGCATTGCGAAGATCCTGCATTGCCATGTGTGTACTGAGACCTTCCTCAGATCAAGGAGATCCTGATTGTCCCATCTCATCTTGTCATTCAAACCAGAGAGCACCTTCAGGTGATGATTCATGAGTGGGTTGAGTTTGGGTGTGGGCCCTGGAGTGGTGTCACACCCAACTAACCATCAGTTGGAGTCATCCAAGTTAAAAATGGGGGTATTGTCTCCAACAGATGTGGGGGTGTCCATCTTCATTGGATAGTTGGTCTGCTTGGGAGCAAGTTCCAGCTGTCCTTTGATCTTGAGGTCAAGTATGTGAGATGCATCCCATTCTTTGTTTCTCACAAAGAGGTTCACTCTAGTTTGCATTTGTTTACCAAGCTCAATTCAATTGGTGAATGGGCCAAGACTGTGTGTTCCTTTGTAGAGTGCACTAATGCACTTGACCAGGATAGTCAGGGGTGAGATTGTTTGCTCTTCATCATTGTTGATAATGAATTTCAACAACTGGCTGTCCTTCAGAGCATTGGGCATACTGTAGACCTCATCTTCCATGACCTGATTAAAATGATCTTGGACCATTCTAGGTAGTCATGGCAGGAGGTTCTGCATGGTGGTGACAAAGGAGTTGTAGATAGAATAGTTTACTTTAGACATACTGGTAGTGTTTCAGCTGCTTGGGCTCATAACCTGTTAGAAACTGAAGTCATTTTGGGTCCTGATACTGGTGATCAGGGATGGTCTAAGTATGATGTCACTACTTTGTTAAAGCAGAAACATATACTCAATTGACCCTGAGGGAATGTGGCAAGAGCCTAGCACTCTCTGTGAGATATATATACATTGTGAGCAGCACTAGCCTAATGTGGGAGCACTCCTACTTAATGACCTACCATGACAACAAGTGGGACTGCATCACACCTGATCTCTGGTGAGGTTGTCCTGGCTCGATCTCTGATCAGATCTTTCATCTAACCTGATCAGCTCTGCCCGATCTCCGATCTGATCGGCCTGTGTCACCATGTTGGATTGCTATTTTTCAACATAATCTTCTTCTCTCTTGTTTTCATGAAAGGTCCTCCCTCAGTAACGTCAAATCTACTTTAGGCCAGGCTGTCAAGTGGAGAAACGTCAGTACATCACGTGATGCGTTTATGATTTGCTGGTTCGAGGCAAGGGTCGCGCTTTGTAGCCTCGTAAGTTCAAAATTGAACAAAATTGGTCCGAACTGCAGGCTTGGTTGCCAGCGGCAAAGTCGAGGGATGAAATTCCAGCTGTTTTCCGCTCCTTGCTTTCCAACGGCTTGGACATAGCAAGAAGCGTTTCGCTTTTCTTAGCTCGGCTCAAAAGCTTGATCAAGAAAGATTCATCTCTAGTCCTGTGAATTGGTGCCTTCGTTTCCCATGTGACGGTCTAGAAGGAAGAAAGAGATGGTCACCCGTTGAGCGATGCAAACATGCCTGTTCTGACTGACCAAGACAAAAAGGCGGAGAGGGCTGAGACAACGCGTTTGCCTTAGTCGCAGACGTGTCTGTCTGGTGTCACCGCAGACACGGCTCCAGGTCTTACTTTTCTCAGTAAGTTAGTCTGCTAGCTGTTCACGCCTTGTCATCTCCCGACGCAAAGTCTACCATCACATATGTCGGATCATTGGCTGCATCAGAATCATCGCGCACACACAACGTCGCTTCAATCGGCAGAGGGCATTTTGCTATTGCATGCTGTGCACCGGCCGATGTCATATCTGCATTCGGCAGACCCTATTCTCTCTCCGTCTGAATCCTGCTCATGCTTTGCAAACCTATGCCTCCTGTGACTCGGTCAAAACAAATCGCTGATGTGACACATCTCTGCAGATTGCGATATTATCAATCATGGTGGGTTTCTATGAAGCTGAAAGATGATGGAATCGGATCAAGACGCTGCTGCAACTATGTTTGCTGGTCCTTCCTTCTTCTTATCTTTGACAGCACTGCTCGACATTGCTGTTGACGCGTTCGCGGCGCTGCTAGAGCGATGCGATGTCACTTCGTATCGTCCGTTAAAGTTCAAGCGGACCGCAAGATCGCGCACCGTCAGGTTGGCATGCTTCTCCAGCGCACCGACGATCAACACCATTCTCTCTTGGAACGCGCTCGATGCTTCTCCCAGCCGCTTCACGATCCGTGCTAGCTCAGATGGATCACTAGGCGCGAGCGATGCTGATGAAGCTGGTGCTCCACTCGTTGACACTGGTTGTGACCGCGCTCCCCGCTCCGTAGGCGTCGTCACAACGCCTCGCTCCATGTCGTAACGCGCCAGCTCACGTGTGCTGAAGTGCGTCAAGTCGTCTGCAGCAACAGTGAACGCAAGAATCGAGTCGAATTGCGTCCTCAGCTCGCCCGCCAGGTAGTCCTGTGATCCTCTCTTACCACCGCGCAACAAAACCTTGCCGATCAGTGCGTTCAGATACGCTCGGTGACTCTCAATCAATTCGTCCAAGTCGCCTTGGCGTCTCGAGAAGAAGGTGAGCAAGTCATTCCAAGAGTACTCGATCACCTCGAGCTGAGCGAAACCTTGCATCTGTCGGATGAAATGGATCATCTCGGAAAGCATCAGCATGGTTCTCTGCGACTCGCGACGCAGTTCAGGCAGCACCCCACTCGCTGTTCCTCGTTTGACCCTGCACAGCGAAGTTCCCGTCTCATGCAATCGGAGCCAGCTCGAGTTTAGCGCGAGCTCCACCCGCTTGATCTTCCACAGATGCGTGAAGATCGTTTGGTATCCAACCATGGCTTGGTTGTCCAGCACAGTATTGACCGGAGAGTCGAGCTTGTACTCGAGCGTGAATGTGTCCCAACCTGTGTCGCCCGTACTGAACTCGAGAATGCGTGCATCTAGCCTTCGAAGGATTTCCGGGTCATCATGCTGCGCGTTCGATCCGCGGATCGCCGTTTCGAGCGATGCAGTCAGGTTGTGACGGAAGAGCGAGTTAGCCGGTCGGCTCAGACTTGGTCCCAAAGATGCCATGAGAAGGTCCACAAAGTCACCACGTGCCAGCATGAGATAGTCTTTGAGAGCTCGAAGATGCTCCAGTAGTCTGAATTCGTCGAGGAAGATGTCTAGCAATCTCTTGCTGGCGCTTGTGAATGCTCGTTCGATGGTGCTTTCCAGGCCGGCCAAGTCTGTGTAACGTAGCTCCGCACCCGGTCCCGAGATAGTATGCCGTGTGGCTACCCAGTCGCCGTCACCGCAGCTCTGTCGGATGAAGTTGAGACTCTTTCCCGTCGAGAAGATCTTGCGTCCAAACGATTCTTGCAGGAAGCTCGGCAACATCTCCTTGCGGAAGACAAACTTGTTCTGCCATAGAGAAGCGGCGTCACCGTCCAGATCAGAGAAGCTTGGCATGTCTCCATCTGCACCGCTCGTGTTGGCACGGCCGTTGCTAACTTTGCGCGGATCGTCATTGAGCTCGACAAAGAACTCCAGAAAGGGATCCTGCAGCTCGCCTTCGTAGATCCACAACGAAAGCGAATGAAAGAACGGCTTCGACACCTCGTCTAGGAGACCAGATGTGAATCTTCGGATGAAAGGATCGCCATTGAACGTGTAGGAATGAATCAGCGAAACAAGTGAGCCTCCGTGTGCATCTTGGCAGCTTTCGATGATGGTGCTCATGAGCCGGAAGCGCAAGGTCATCTCCTCGGTCCACAGCGAGAGTCGCTTGAGCGTGACGTACGTTGTCGCTGCACCATTAGCACTTTCATCCGATTCAGCTGCAGGGGCCGCCCGTCCGCCCAAATCACCTCTACCGATCTTCGCCAAGGAACTCATCTGCGCTTCGAGACTGGCTACGAGGCGGTAGAAGCCAGATAATTCATTGGACATGAAATGACAGAGGCTCTGCATGATAAGACCCGAGGCCGGCATCGTGCTCCTCTGTTGAGAGAATTCTGAGACTCGCTTGTAGAGCTGGCCGAGCTCAGAAAGTCGGTGAATGATCCTCTTGGTTGGAGCATTGATAAGCCCTGCCTCTCCTTCATTGAAGACCACTCTGACCACCTTGGCTGGTCCTGCTGCTTCTTCTTGAGCTACTTCTGGTGTGTCGTATTGGTACTCCTCTTGGAATCGCACATGCCGACCGTTGATGCCTTGCATCAGGTAGACGACATCCTGCAACAGCTCGTCTTCGGAAATCTGATTTTTGCCTAGCTTCTGCCTTAGATTCTGCAGCAGCTGCGCTTTAGGTATGGGTTTGTTGTTGTCTCGCACATCAGCAATTGTTATGAGCTGCTTTGAATCTGCGGGCGCACTACCTGTCAAGCGCGTCTCGGGTATCGCTTGAGACGACTTCGCTGGTAAGGTTTCGGCGGCGCCCGGGCGAGAACGAGTGGATGCTGCCCGGCTGCTCGCGTGCGGTTGCTCAACGTGTCGCCCCGCTGCAGTGGTGGGTGCCGTGGTGGGTGCACTGGTTGCGGGTGTATCGGCGATCGTGTACGGCGTTGCTCTCGGATCCACGTCTCGTCTGCTGGCATTCGAGGATACTGCACGCGAGGCGGGGGTTGCAGCCGCACCAGCATCGCTCGCGGTGAAGGCCAGCGCGTCGAACAGTTCGAACATGCCATGCAAGTTCCGCAACTGATTTGAGCCTTGCGGATCAGAGAGCCTTGTGAGAATGTTGGCGAAGCGGTTGGCAGACTCGTAGCCTCCGTCTACAGACAGCCTTGTAACCTTGCGTCTTATCGAGTCGACAACCATGCTTTGGTCGGGCCGGCGAGCGGAGGTTGCGGACTCGGCCTTGAGCTCAATGATGTCGTAGCCCATGTCGTCGAGCGCATCTTTGAGCTCCTTGCGTGCTCTCCGTTCCTCTTTTGTTTCTTCTCGCTTCTTGCGGGTGGCGGGAACAAAGCTGCGGGTGAGGTTGCCAAGAAGCCTGTACATTTCCTGCACGATGTCGGCATCATCGACGGCTTGGCCTGGCGCCGCAGATCCTGCCTGGCCCATCGGTTTCTGCAAGGATGAAGCCATGTTCTGTGGTGAGCCAGATGCGAACCTTGACAGCGCAGCGCTGCAGCCTCGTTCCGCGAAGGGGGGAAAGTCGACGTCTTGGACGATAGGGTGAAGACCCGCTCGGTGTCGCTCAACTGGCTGGCCAGCTTGTGTAAGCGCCGGTCTCGCTGACACTTGCAGTACGGGAGTCGGATTGAGGCTTTTTTGAGTTGGTGGCGTCGGACCTCGACGATATGTGGGCGCTGCTGCTGGTTATGATTGTGGACGATGGGCTCGAAGGTGTCAAGGGTCACTTTTCCTTTGGCTGGTGGAGCAAGCACGCGTCGCGCGCCTTGTTGGTGTCCCGCACTTTCTCGGCTGCAACCAACACATTTGTGTTCCCTTTTTTTTTTTTTTTTTTTTTTTTTTTTTTTTTTTTTTTTTTTTTTTCCGAATTGAGCCTGTTACCCGGATCTTCCTAACAATTTTTATTCGAGCCAGTGCGGAGCATGATTGTTTCACACAAACTGGAGTCAAGCTCATCACGAAGACACTTTGAGCAGCGAGAGTGCAACATGAAGCAGCTTTCCATTGGGAAGGGCAAAGCAAGGAAATTCAGGTCGAAAGTAAGGCTAATAATGATTCGGGGTAGCGGTGACTAAAACAATCTCGTGGGTATAATGCTATGAATCTACGATTAGGTTGGCTCCCTGCCGGAATGCTGCTGCTGCAAGATGGGGAATGGGAATGCTTGCGCAAGCTAGCCGGCCATGGCCTGTATGGCAGAGCACGCGAGTAGGCCGGTGAGAGCCAAGGTCCAGCGCAATGCCAAAGTAGGGGCGCTTGAAGCAGCACTCGACGATGCTTGTCGGATTACTCGACTCGTGTCTGGCCCGTTCTTGTTGCAGACGCCGTACGGAACAGGTGTTGTTGACACGCAATGCGATTCGGTGACGTATTGGTAGCAGGAGAACACTGAATTAGAGGACGATAGGGCGAGATCAAGGCGGAAGTGTCAGCTTCTGTTAGATATGAGGCTGACGTGTGTTGATGCAAAGACAGAGATCGAGGCAAGGTCTGCTGCTGCATTGCTGGCCCGATTAGAGGCGAAAGGTTACTCACTGTCTGCATAATTTGACGTCGCACAGATAGGGTGATCGAGGGCCACGGCCTGCGTGTCGGAGACATTGACTGCCTGGAAGGTTGCATTGTAGATGCCTCCAACAGCCGCGCAGCAGTAGTCTGTGACATCGGCGAAGCTAGTGTGATCAAAGAAAGGGCGAGAGCGAGGGTCAGCGTACTTCCGGAGACGGAGCTATCTATCACGAGGGAGGACACTTCTCAGTGGCTATGAAAAGCAGGTGTCTACTTACTATGACGTGCAAGATCCATCTGGAGTCTCTGGTGTGATCATCATCGCCTGCTCCCTCGAACATGTGCCATTGAAGTCTCCGCGTTCGTTCATTTTGGGGGATTTGCGAAGAACCTGGTAATCCGATGAAGCGATGCTGGAAGTGCTTGCTGTGGCATCCGCTCGCCTGATAGCTTGCCAGACAGGGGGCGAAGATGAGAGGGGCATGGCACACAGGCCACCGTCTGTTGTCAACGGACTCGGTGCCATGATGGCGAGATGTGACTGCTGCTTGGTCTGGGCACTGCGAGGATGACGGCACAATCTGCGAGACCGGTTGTGTTGTGTACGTGGCAAGGCTACTGCAGAGGGCTTTGTTGATCCCCAGGTTGTCTATGGAAACAAAGTTCGATGGGTGCTCTCGTTCGCTTCGAGTCACAAAGAGCTAGACTTCATGACGTGGTCGCGGTGCAAAAGATAATCCAAGTGCTCGAGATCTCTTGCGAGACAGCCAAGAACGACAGATAGTGCAAAGAGAGTGTCGTGATGACTACAGCCCGGCTGTCTCTCGCTGTACTTCGACAGTTAGGCCTCCAAACACTGCAGTGAGGGGTCCTTAGCAACAGGCTAATAAGATGGCAAACGGTGTCGCCTGGTGGGATCGTGAAGGTCGTCTCGGCTTGATTGACGAACAAGATTCCGCAGACGAGCTGGCTTAGGGTACGTTGTCTGGGTCGAAGGTCGATGCTTTAAGATGATGGTCGTGAAGATACTGTCGAGGCCATCAACGAAGAGGACCAGATTCGAAAGAGAGAGTTGAGCAGCACAGGTGTCAAGAGACTCGAAGAACCGAGAGTCTGGCAAATAAATAAAAAATCGGAATCAGCTTGGCAAACTGTAGCTGTATTGAGAGGAAAGGGTTGAGGGTGACAAGAGTAGGCCGAGATGTGGTTGCGTGTAAGGATGTAAGGTGTATCAGATGGTCAGGTTGAGAGCTGGAAAGCGACAAGAGGCGGTCAGCTAGCTGCTGATCCGCAAAAACGACGAAACATGGATGAGCAGCGCAGGAACGGGCAAGGGCAAGGATGAGGGCAAGGGATCTCAACCCACATTGACATCACATTCTCATCAGCAAGCGCTGGCCACTGCTGCTGTTGATGCTGCAGGATGTAGTTACACCAGGCTTGGCCAATTCTCAGAGCTGCAAGTTGGCTTATTTATATTCCTGCGTGCGCTGATAGAGCGACAAGAGATGTCAGAGCAGCAATGCATCCTCTCTTCCTCTGCCTCCCCTTCTCTCTCCCGTTCTCACTCTCAGCTTCAGCTTCAGCGTTTTGCCCTTCTTCAACTGCAATGCAAAAGCATGTTGTAACAAAATTTTACGAGTCGACATCACAAGGAGGTGTGGGTTCGACGTTGCAGCATGGCAGCGATCCCAAGGCCAGGGCCAAGAGAGGTGTGAGAAAGCCAAGAGCCAAGAAAAAGTGCAAAAGGAGCTGCAGGGCTGACGCTAGCTGTCGTTATTCGTGGATTACAAATTTGCGCCCAACTTCACAGTCTCAACTTCAATCGAGAATTGTCTTGGCGCATAAGGCCAAGGAGCGCTTAATGGGCACTTGGCCTGTCTTTCTCACCCTCACTTGTGACTCTCGCCTGGTGCTGACGGGGAATATTACCACAACTCTGGGTGGGATGCTGCTGCTCTTTGTTTTTGGCTGAGCCGGCGACACTATCCTCCTCCATCTTTATTCATCCATCGAATTTCGCCATCGCCTTGCTGGCGTGTCAGTTCATTGGAGTTCGCGGTGCACTGGCAAACCCAGAATAGCTTCAATCCAAAATCAAGCATGTCTTCTGCGCCTGACCAAACCGTCAGCTCTAGATACATGGCTCGCTTGAGCAAAGCCGGTATTGGCAGTCACAATAACATTACTACTGATCGCAACCTGTTCGGATTCGGCGGCGTTGAGTCGATCGAAAACGTCATGGTTGATGAAACCACTGCCAAAGAAGCCATGCCATACGTCCCTTCTGACATCAACAATACCGCCTACCTTCCGTTCAGCAGCGGAACGACAGGTATGCCCAAAGCAGTCGAAATCTCGCACAGCAACGTGATCAGCATGGTTGAGATCTTCTGCAAGACGCCTTCTCTGTTGCCTAAAAATCAGGATCGCTCGGAGATGCAGTTCCGCACTCTAAACTTGCTTCCATTCTTCCACACTTATGCACTTATCCTGAGACTGAGGAAGGTGGACAAGTCGATTTCGGAGACGGCAGCGAGAGCATCACGCGCCAAACAACGTTCATTTAAGTCATACAGAGTCGTGAGTCGGTGTGTGTCCCTGTCAAGGTGTGATGATCTGCAACTGGATTGTCGGGCCGCGGATCGGGTCGGGCCCATGTGGCTTTCAGCTAGTCCGATCATCGGGCAGTCGCTCCTCTTCCCTCCTTGGGTGGATGGGTTACTGTATCTACGATTCAAGCGCAAAACGGCATTGAGACCTCGGTCTCATCATGCAATGCTTGGAAGTGTCATAGTCAGCAGTGGATAGTGGTACAAATACAGATGCAAGAGGGTATACGGTATGGTCGCGGTACACGAGCCGACTCCTTCAGAGAACAGGATGGTTGACTTGAGCGGTGGCCGGCGGCGAATGACGGAGGATGGATCGAAAGCTCAGGACAGTGCCTTCAAAATCGGCTCCGTTTGACGCCTTGCTGCATCTGCGGGCCAGCAGACCGGCCCGAAGAGGAGTTGGCCTTCCTTTTCTTGCGCTCCAGCTCCTCGTGCATGATCTTCTCGGCCATGGTCATACTGCTTGGTGGCTTGGCTTTGCTAGTTGAGCTGCTGGACTGGCCTTTGCTTTTGCTGGAATCGCTTGTTGAACGCATCGAGTCGGCCTGTTTGAGCGGATTGGCTGGCTTCGAAGTAGATTTGAGCACGTTGAAGCCCATCTTGAAAGCAGCTGGAGCGGAGGAAGTGGGCGCCGACTTTGTCAGTGGCACAGATGCAGAGCTATTCATGCTGGTAGTCTGAGTGCTGTCGGATTCTTTGTCTGGCTTTCGAGCAACGCCGCCGAGAGATAAGCCTATGCGTATCGGGGCATCACTGGTCCTCTGCAGGCCCTCAGGGGTCTTGTCTGTTGTCGATTGCGTGTCTTTTTGATTTTCCTTTACCGGACCGGACAAGGTCGCTTGTGATGCCCTTTCGATCTGCTCTTGAAGCAGTCGACGTTGTCGCTGCTCGTCGTCCATCTTGGCGCGCTCCATCTTCTGCAGTGCATCTTGGCGTGCCAAAGCTGCAGGGGAATTGTCAATCCATGTGATGTACCAACCTTGGTCGGTATCCTCAGCTTGCACGATACCCTCCCTGCCGAGATGCTTGACGAATTCGGACAGGCTTGTCCATTGGGTTGCGTTCATATGTGTGTGATGGCGATCCGCAATGTACTCTTGGTAGACCTGGTTGGCACGAATTCTACGGGTACCAAAGCGTCGGTTGAGCAGCTGAACGAACTCCTTTTGGAAAGTGGCACTAAAGTCATCGATGACTTTCTGAGCGCCACCAGACGATGCGATAGCATCCATCTGCCGGAAGTGTGCTTCCGACTCGAGGTGACTGCGGTACCCATTCTCGTCGCGGCATGCTTTCTGACAGATCTGGCAGTAGAAGCGTAGCTTTGTCAGGCCCTTTGCCTTGATGGCATTAGAGATCGCCTTGAGCGACCCAGCCTCGGCTTTACCCATATTGCTCGTACTAAGCGCAGAGATGTGGCTGCTCACGGTTTAGGTGTTGGAAGAAGAGCGTGGAATGGATCAAAGCATCATTTCACTCACAGACCCACAATGCATCGAGGTGGAGGCTTCTTCCGCTTTCCGAGAAAATTCGTTCGTCATCACGTGACATTGGAGCTCCAGCAGGATTCGCCAAGTCTCCAATTGTTTCAGCACCGCTCGAATTGAGTTATGTCGGGTTGGTGGTGGCGAAGGAGCTACGACTATCTTGCGTGTCTTTGTTGCGGCCTTTTGGTATAGTAGAGTGTGCCAGGAAGCAATAAGGGCCAGACAGAAAGAACGGTGGAAGGGGAAATAAGGATCGAAAATTCAGGGCGCAGAAAGTATCGTTTGCGGGGTCAAAGCTGACGAGGGGGCACACAGCCTGCGGCAATGCTTTTAGAGCTGGGGTTTAATTTGGGCGTAACACTGCAGCATGCTCCATCTGGCTCTTTCATATTAGCGAGGTCGCTGTCCTGATGCGGTAATCTATAGCGACGAAGCCTTTCTTGGATCAGCGAGACCTTATTGCGTCGGAATTGACGAAGGCAAGTAGTTGAAGATGCGTCGGCATCTCAAGCAAGGTGCACGTGTTACGGCCGAGACATCGAGATACGGGAGGCTCACATAAGCGAGGAGCACAATGAGGTACGCAATTGTTGTCATGGTGACAGCACAGTGGCACCCGGTATCATAGCAACACAGGGGTACAAATGAAGGAACACACCCTGCCTCGGATGGGATCAGAGCAGTGAATGGAGTATATATATGTGTTTGTCATTTAGTCTCACACTAAGAAAACCAAGCATTACATAGAACATACGGCTGTGGCAAAGGGAGTCTGATCGTGACCCCGATAACGCCGTATATTAATTGTTATCTTCAATTGATTAAGAGTCTGAAGAAGCTATCACCGAGCTAACCGAAAACTCGCCGACAACCATGGTAGAAGACACCGAAACGAGGACTAAAGGAAGCAGAAAAGGCAAGAACACCCAGGTTCGGGTCGACAATAATGCCACGAGCGAGAACGAGCCGGAGGCCATCAACGATGAAGCCGACGGAGACACCGATTCCGACTCCGACTTTGATGATGGCGACAAGCGATATAACTTTCGCACCCTAGCAAAGCTCCTTGAACCTGTGCCAAAGCTCACGTCACGAAACTACCATAGCTGGAGCGCTCACGTGAAATCTTTCCTCCGATCCGTGCCTCATGCGATGAAACATCTCGAGGGAACGTACGACAAGAAACACCCGAAATGGAGCCGCTCCCTTGACGATGCTTTAATTAACGCCCTGCGTGGAACAATCGATACTACCGGAGAACACAATGTAAACTACCTCGTTCTAGATGTAATCAAGGAGTACCTTACTTTCAACCAAGTATGGAGAAAGATCGAAAACGGTCTCACGAATGAAGCCACCAAGACGTCCCACAGACTTGCGCTTATCTCGCAACTCAACGATGCAAAGATGTTTCACTCGGATGCCAGAAAGCTAATCCAAGAGATCCGGTCCATACAAACTGAAAGCAGTCTCCTCGGAAAACCATTTGCCGATGATACATTGTTCTCGGCCCTGCAGAAATGCACGATCCGGCATCCGGTGTACAAGGAGATGGTTGCCACCGTCCATCAAATCGACTTCAACGCCCTTGCCACCGCATTAAGCATCCGGCAGACTGCTGTCGAGAGTGTCCCCGCACAAAGGATCGACCCCCGACAAGCCAGCGCTAGAACCGCCGGCAACGACGATCAAAATGAACGGGCCGGAGAGACCGAAGCCGAAGCCGACAACAGCCACGCGAGCCCGAGGAACGCAAGCAAACCACGCCGAATCCGATGCTGGATCTGCAAGCGACCGGGACATGATATCAGCCAATGCGACGCCTTGGTTACCATTCCCAAGGACTCTCCCCTCGCTGAACCCAAATAGGAAGCGTGGTGCTCCCTCACCCTCCCAATGAAATGGCAGGACCCCTCGAACCCAAAAGAAACAGCTCATTGGATCTTGGACTCGGGGGCGAGTTATCATATGGTGAACGACTACAGCATGCTCATTCACCCGAGAACTTGCCGAAAGCGGATAATTACCGCCGGAAGCGAGGTCTTGAAAGCGGCAGCTATAGGAGATGCGAGCATATCAACAGATTACGGGGAAATCTCTCTGCAAAATGTATTGTATGTAAAGCACCTTAAGGTTAACCTTCTGTCAACAAATTCATTAACGGATGAAGGAGCACGAGTGATATTGGACACAACCGGCGGCCAAATTTTCTTAACAAACGGCATGACACTTAAGATTGCAAAGAATCGCGAGCGAGGACTTCTGGAGTTCCGAGGCGACACATGGCAAGAAAGCGCGATGGCCACATCAGCACCATTGTTTGAAGGTGTTGATGAGGAGTTCGAGCATATTAAGAATGAGCCGAAAGTTTCAAAGCAACAACTATGGCATGAGCGTCTCGGGCACCCAGGAAGAGATAAAGCTAAGGCGATCACAAACAAGTTAAAGGATAAGCATACCATGAAATTGGATCCAAACACCGCTCTGACATGTGAGCAGTGCGTACGATCCAAGAGCACAAGCGCTCGGATGGGGAAAGGTAGCGGCGAGAGAGCCGTAGGGCCCCTGGATCTTATCCACGTCGATCTAATAATAGACTCGTCCCACGTGACGGAGTACACATGCACGTTGGTGCTAGTCGACGATCATAGCAAGTATGTGTATGCACAGCCATTGACACGAAAGAGTCATGCCTTTATGCAACTTAAAAGGATTGTTTCGTTCCTGGAGACACAGACGGATCGGAAGCTAAAAGCGATCCGATCCGATCAAGGAACAGAATGGAAAAGCAATGATGCATTAGAATGGTCGCTAGAAAAGGGCATAGAGTGGCAAACCACCGTAGGGTACAACAGCAAACAAAATGGACGGGTAGAGAGAATGAACAGGACCCTTGGAGAGAAGATGAGAACGTTGCTAATGCAGAGGAGACTACCGAAGAAGTTCTGGCCATACGCGATCAGAGCTGCAGCGTTCAAAATAAACCTCACTCCGAGCGTTGATAATGAATTCCCTTATCAAGCGATGTTTGGCAAGTCGCCGGAACGAGCTTTAAAGCTCCTACGAGTGTTTGGTTGTCTGGCATGGGTAAACATACCCAAAGTTAAACGGGACAACAAGAAACTGGACCAGCGAGCCGTCGCATCCATTTTCTTAGGGTACAGTCTAGAGAGGAAGGGCTGGCTTTTCTACAGCCCGGACTACAATCCGAACATCTTCTGGAGCAATTCAGCAAAATTCATGGAATCAAAGTGCTGGTCAGACAGAACAGAGTGGCGACCGGTTGATACAAAGGCACCCCCAATGACGATGACAGAAGAAAATCTCGAAGATCTAGGATATAACAAAGAAAATATATTCGACGAAACAGATGAAGAGCCACTACGAGAATACATGGATATGGAGTCAGACTCGGAAGAAAGATTACGCGAAGGAATAGCAGAGGTGATGGAACAAGGACCAATCGCCGAAACTCAAATTGACAGCGAATTCTATGGACTCGTAGCGACGCGACCGGAACGGAGAAAGAACCTGGACCCAACCATACATGAAGCAATGAATGGAGAGGACAGAAAGCACTGGGAGGAGGCCATGCGAAAGGAGCTGGATGGATTAGAGGCGATGGGCACATGGGAGATAGTCGACCTTCCAAAGGGTGCAAACACCGTCGACACACGTTGGGTACTCAAGATCAAAACCGATGCAAACCTCGTGCCAACAAAGTTCAAAGCCCGGCTCGTGGCACGAGGTTTCACTCAACGCGAGGGCATCGACTATACAGAGGTCTTCGCACCAGTAGCACCTATCCAATCCATTCGAGGGGTGATCGCGGTCGCAGCAATACGAGATTGGGAAATGGATTCTATTGACGTAAAGCAAGCGTACCTGAACTCCACTATACACCATGATGTATACTGTCATGGGCCTGGATGCTCAAGAAGCAGGAGGGTCATGGGTTCATATGGAAGGAGCACAGGTATCGAAGACCTAGTCGACACCAGTAGAGAGCATGGTCGTAGTGCAGTCTCCATGGAGACCATGGACTCCTATGGACTCACATGCAAAGGAGGGCCAAGCACAGCCACGAAGAGGACCAAGCTCAAGGAGCATGCAGATGGTTACCATTCAGGGGCTCGAGAGACAAGAGCCAAAGGAACTGTCACTGATCAAAGGAGGAGGAGCAGTGTCGAAGGAGTCGACACCAGGTCATGAGGAGGAGGAGCAGTGTCGACAAGAGGCACAGGGGTGCCAAGCAGGAGAGGCCCCTGAGCAGTACTCGATGAAGAAGGTACTCTCTGGAGAGAGAGCAGGAGCAGCATCGCTGGCAATGCTGTGAAGAGGTATATAACCATGCTTTCTCATCATCATAGGTCGAGTGGATCCCCATCCACTCTACTCACCATACAACTAGTCAATACTTTAGAAACACAAGTACTCATTAGTTACAGTCAGCATAGCAGCAATCTATCAAGGTTGCTCCTCATCGTAGTGTGTGTGTTGTATCACCACTACCTGACGTCCGAAGGCGCCCATAGCAGGTTAGCGGTCCGGATATAGATAGAACCGAAGGCAGTAGTCCACTGCGGTCCGGGGATCACTTCAAGCATCAAGTCAACACACTGGACACTCGTGTTGACGCCACCAACCTTATCACCAACACCATCAACCTCATTATCATCGACATCACCAATCCCATCACCAACACCATCAACCTCATCATCATTAACACTCACACCAGACCTTGGTGTCATCATAATATTGATATTGATCGTGCCGAGCTACCCCTGAACGGAGTGTCCACAGAGGTCAGCCGAAACCTACGATAGTGTATACAACGAACGCCACCTGCTGTCACTGCACAACTTGATAGTCACCGATACCGAGACAATAGCTGTCACACAGTTTGATAGTCACCGAGTATCTCGACGGACCGACCTGGGTTTCAGGCGCGAGACCCCTGACATATACCTCAAGCCCCCAGTAGGAATCGAAATACCACCCGGAAAAGTGTTGAAGGTAGTGAAAGGACTGTACGGTTTGAAACAGTCGGGCCGAGAATGGAACATTGAGTTAGACTCACACCTCCGGACGATCGGATTTCATTGCATGCAGAGCGCTCCATGCCTATACTCAAGAGGGACAGGCGACAAGATCACGATCATCACAGCATACGTGGACGACATGCTGATAACATCACCCAGTCGTGAGGAAGTAGACCGCGCAAAGCGGGAGATCATGGACAAATGGGAGACGCAAGACAATGGAAGGATCAAAGAATTTCTGGGTATCAAGATTATACGTGATAGAAGACGGAGGAGGATATCCCTGAGTCTAACGGCATACATCAAGGAAATGGTGAACAAATGGTTAGGAGGAGCAAACGAGAAATCCTGGATACCCATGCTGAGTGTAGCGAACACCGCCGGAGGCGAGCGATGTGAACCTAAGCGAGCAAAGAGGTATCAAGAATTGGTCGGCCAACTATTATGGGTCTCCAACACAGCCCGACCAGATATTGCCTTTGCCGTCGGCGTATTGGCGCGATATATGTCGATCCCGATCGACAGTGCATGGAAGGCAGCTGTCCACGTGGTAAAGTACCTGAACCAAACGAACGAATATCAGTTGCACCTAGGAGGAGAGACAAACGAGCACTTGGATACACCGGTAACGACGTATACCGACGCAAACTGGGCATCCGACCCCACAAATGGACGAAGAAGTACCTCGGGGTCGATAACATATGTGTATGGATGTCCGGTGAGTTGGAAATCACACGTTCAGAAGTGTGTGGCACTGTCGGCAGTCGAAGCAGAGTTTGTCGCCGCTTCCGAAGCGGTACGAGAAACCTTATTCTTCTCATATTTGCTCCGGGATTTGGAGGCCACGGGCGTTCGGCCCGTACTATACACAGACAGCCAGGGGTGCATACAGGTGAGTAAAGACCCAGCCAAACATTGGAAGTTAAAGCACATCGACACACGGTATCATTTCGTACGCGATCACGTACAAGAGGGCGATGTGGAGATCAAATATGTCGGAACGGCAAACAACGTTGCAGATGTCTTGACAAAACCCTTACAGGGTCTTAACACCTCACGATTGGCTAGGATGATAGGACTGGAGATCCCGCCGAAGGGGGGAGTTGAAGATGCGTCGGCATCTCAAGCAAGGTGCACGTGTTACGGCCGAGACATCGAGATACGGGAGGCTCACATAAGCGAGGAGCACAATGAGGTATGCAATTGTTGTCATGGTGACAGCACAGTGGCACCCGGTATCATAGCAACACAGGGGTACAAATGAAGGAACACACCCTGCCTCGGATGGGATCAGAGCAGTGAATGGAGTATATATATGTGTTTGTCATTTAGTCTCACACTAAGAAAACCAAGCATTACATAGAACATACGGCTGTGGCAAAGGGAGTCTGATCGTGACCCCGATAACGCCGTATATTAATTGTTATCTTCAATTCAAGTTCCCAGCTTTGGCGGGCGTCGACCGGTGCCCTGATTCTGCTCGCCGAACAAAGGGACGCTTCCGGACCATGCTGCTGCTGCTGCTCATGTCTCAATGTCTGTTACGCACGGCGTACCAAAGATCGACGCCACTGCTAAACAAATGATTGCCTCCAAGCAAGAGGCCCATCTCCGTTCTGCAAGAGGCTGATAACGTCTGAGTCACGAGCGCGTAGCCCAACAGGCGGCAAGTGAGACATGAGCGCAGCAAACGTCAAGGTGGAGCAGGTTCTTCCCCAACACTTTATGACGCTGCTCTGGGCAGTCGGAGGAGTCAAAGAGGCTTGTGCTACAGTTGGTAATGACATTTTGAAAGCTAACGCTGAATGCTGTGGAGTATTGACCGCAAAGACCTGGTTTTGTCGCCTACTTGGCTTCTCTGTGACACGGTAAGACTGAAGTTCGATTGAGCTTCGGCTATGTGTTGATCGCATGCCGCCAATGACATGTAATGATGAGGTTCTTGACGACGTTGCTGATGATTTGCTGATGCCGGAGCCAATTTGCGGTTGCAGGGTGCAGAAAGTAAACTTGCAATGTGAGTTGTCGCCGGCTGCTTTAGTCAATGCAAACAGCAAGGCCAGGAAGGCAGGGAACTGATGCTCGCGATGGACAAGAAGGCCTCGGCTGCTCATAAAGTGGACCTGCTGCGTCAGCCAGGACACAACTCTTTCTGAACCCGCGAAAAAGCACCGACCCCGCGGAATCTGAGCTCATTTACTCTCTTGCTTTCGCGAGCCAGAGTGAAACAGACAGCATCTGAAGGCTCGCTTCTCCCGCACTCTCTTCACCCTAACCATTGCAGAGAGAAAAAGACGTAAAAAAAAAAAAAAGAAAAAAAAAAAAGAAAAAAAAAAGGGGGAAAAAAAGAAAAAGAGGGATCTGTTGATCACACACAGCCGCTGTGCTCATCCGCTGCTCCTCTACTATGGCTGCTGTCACGTTCCTTGAGAAGCAAACCCTCACATATTCACATTGCCGTCTCATCAAAGGCAATCCGCGCCCACAGCCATGTCGGGCTGAGCTCATTTCGATGCATTCCATCTCCACCAACATCCCTCATAAGCTTTGCTGTTAGCGTCATCCACTGCTTGCTCACGGCTCATACACCTTCCTTCTCGACCAAGCCGACCTTCGACCAAAGCCTAGCTTTTCACGTATCGACGCCTTGCCAAGAAGCAGCATTCCTATCGGCGCATCACTTACAGGCTTTCTTCTCGTTGCGCTACCAACAGCACCAGCACATTCTGCCACCAGCATAGCCGCACCCAAACCTCATTCAACGGCTCGTCCGCTTCCGATGCCTTTGCTCGGCTAGCTGAGACAACTTGAGGCCCGTTACCTTTTGACGTTCCCTTCGCGACCCAGTTGATCGCCTACACTGCGCCATCCAAGATACCACGCTCAGACTCGTTTGCCAATCGCACCACATCAATGTGCTAATATACCCCTCACAACAGTCCGGAGCTTCCATAGTTGATGCCTCTAGAACAGATTCGATCCGTCGCAGCGCTCAACTCATCCGAGTCGCTGCGGCGCGCCAGCTACTTCGACTACACCCCGTCTTCTTCTTCCTCGTCTGCAACCGTCAATTCTCCATACTATCGTGACGATCCCGGCAGTGACGATGAAAGGGACCCTGCCGAAGGAGAGGGTGAGGACCAGTACTCCGATCGCACCAAAACTTACTCGACACCCTCTCTCAGGTGCGAGTCAATGAGTCTGGCCAAGCTTGGAGGCGTGGGAGGTGTTACCCGCTCAGGTAGCTGGGGTCGCAGCTCGCTACCGGAGACGTCTCTTTCCTCAGGGCATTCCGGTGACGACAGCCGACCTTACCATTCCAAGCCACATCGATCTTCGCTAGCTCATTATCAGGAAGATTCCGAAGAGGAAGACTCAGATCGTATAGCAAGCGCCGACAGTGAGCAATCTTCAGCTTTGCCAACCTCATCCGCTACCACCAATGTGCCAGATCGACGCAGTTCTGAGCCCGATCACGTCTCAGCCGACAGAGCATCAAAATACGATCCGCCACTTTCAGCTTCTGCGGATCAATCTCACTCTTCGGCAGCTCCCACTTCCTCCCGCACATCGACAGCTTCTTCTGCTGCTGCATTCTCTCTCCGCTCTCTCTCAAATCGCACATCGACAGGAAGTGTTTCCAGCCTGGCATCCTCGGTCGTATCTCGTAGCGAGCTCGATCGACTTACTCCCGCTCCTCCGACTGAGTCGCCAGTATCGCTCGACACCACGCTCGCCAACAAGCTCCACTCCGACTTGACACTCACATGTTCCTCTTCAACGACATCTGCAACGGCTCCATCCAGCCCAAAGCCAACGCACGCGACAACAGAAGCTGAACGCAACGTTGCTGACGGACAACAGAGCGACGATGGTACGGATGGGCAGAACGGGGATACCACAGAATCAACTCCAACGCCCGATGATACTGCCATGGTAGAAGAACAGCTTTCCCAGGAGCTCGAGACACCACCGGCTGTTCTCACATCGCCAGCACCCACCCGCAAGGCCGAAGAGCAGCTTCTGCCTGCCGCACAACTATTGTCTTTGCCGCCAGCAGAGCAGCGTCAGCTCCTTGGATCTCCAACAGCTGAGAACAGTATGCAGCCCAGCGCAGAAGAGCTGCTCTCTTCCTCTGCCACCAACGTCTTCTTGCCGCTCGTTCCGCGTCGTCATTCCGGTATGATCATGTTACGTTCCCGCTCGCAATTGGCCTTGCATCCTGGTTTGACCATGACGTTCACAAGTGCAGACGGAGGTCGAGCTGCTGCTCGTGAACGAGCGCGAAAGCAGACCGGCTGGGAGAATGCACCTTTCAGCGTTCTCGAGGCGCAAAGGCATGCACCTAGCTTCGCCTATTCACAACCTGCCTCACCAGGCACGACGACTCCTACTTGGGACCCTTCATCCGCGTCTCTCTCGCTGCAACCTGCCTCTTCAGTAACAGAGCTAGCAGGCACTCGATCGCCAAAGCTTTCGTCGCAGCCTTTGGAGCAACCTGCATCTTCGCCACAATCTCCATCGTCCCTTCATCCTCTCGCCAAGCCAGCAAACGTTGCCGGATCTCAAAGATCGCAAGCTCTGTTGCGGCAAAAATCCGAACGTACCCTGTCTCGTGCAGCGTTGGCTAGGCTCGACACTGTTTTGAGCTACCAAGGCCTTGAAGCTTCCGAACCCGTTTTGCCAGCATCCGCCAATGCCGCTACGACCTCGATGCCACAGGGCAGCAGGATGCCTCCTGTAAGATCGCCGTCCGGCTCTGTCATCCTCGGTTCTGCCAGTTTGCTTCGCACACCAACGACCGAGGAATGGTCGCGCTACCTGGAAAGCCAGGGCGTTGGATTGGCAGGGCGCAGAAGCCGAAGCGGCACCAACTTCAGCTCCAGCTCGTCGGTGCAGCGAGGAAGCCGTCTGGCATTGTCAGGCTCGCAATCGGCGTCGAGAGTCAATCTCGAAGCCGGCGCAGTTGACTACGGCGACGACAGTGATATGGACAGTGATGATTCGGACGACCATGGCCTAGGCGTTGAGGTGATGGAGAAGCTCAAACAGCTGGGTCTCAGCCGTGCAGCCAGCAGAGCAGGCTCCGTACTCGGCGACGAGTTGGGCAGCTTGCACGAGGAGGACGAAGACAACCTTTCGCCCGTGTCACCCCAGGTGGGCAAAATCTTGCCTCAAACGGATTTGACTCCTCTTACCCCACTGGCCTCGGACAACAAGGCACTCCCCAAGACGCAGGGTAGCCCCCTGACAGTGATGAACGATAGCTCTGGAACGCCTCAGCCAATGCTGGATCGAGGGACAACGCTTCGCCTTCCACGCAGCAAGAGACCAACCGTCTCCGGAGACGTTCAAGGTGCAGCGCAACTCTACCCGCAGGATTACAATGGCGAGAAGAGCATCGCTGACTTTGAGATTGTCTCGGACGTCGGACGGGGAGCGTATGGCTTGGTGAAGAAGGCAAGAAAGAAGGGTCTTGATGGCTCTCCTCAGGGAGACGAGGTAGTCATCAAGTACATCATCAAGAGCCGCATCCTTGCCGACTGCTGGCGTCGGCACCGTGTCCTCGGTCCCATCCCTGTCGAGATCCATGTCATGGACCAGCTCAGACGCATCGCATACGTCCCGCCCGTCAAGCCGCGACCCTGGGCACCTAAGCGACCCAAGACTCTTGAAGAGTATCGCGCTCGCAAACGGCTCGAGGCGGAACGAGGGGAAGCATTGGGCAAAACGGGCTCTTCGGCACCCACAGCGACAGCAACATCCCATCCCAACATCTGCAGGATGCTTGACTTCTTCGAAGACTACGAATTCTACTACTTGGTAATGCCCTGTTTCGGCCGCGGCCAAGATCTCTTTGACCATGTCGAGAGCGCGCCTGATGGTCTCGCTGCATCACAGTGTCGAAGCATCTTTGGCCAGGTTGCGGATGCGCTCTGGTTCTTGCACGCCAACAACATTGTCCACCGTGACATCAAGGACGAGAACATCATCTTGGATGGAGAGGGCAATGCACAGTTTATCGACTTCGGAAGTGCAGCACATGTGCGGCCTGGAAAGCTGTTCGACACGTTCAGCGGCACCCTCGACTACGCAGCTGCCGAGATCTTGCAGGGAGAGAAGTATGCAGGTCAGGCACAGGATGTCTGGGCGCTTGGTGTCGTTGGCTTTGTGCTGCTCTGCGGAGAATGTCCATTCTGGAATGGTGAAGAGGCGGTGCAAGGGCTGGAGGAGGGCACGAGAGCAGCACAAACCTTGAAAGAACGCTGCATGATTGCTCGTGGTGGACCTTCTGATCCAGATGCAGATCTCGCTGACGAGGACTTGGAGATGGCACCGCTCGACCCGGCATGGTCGCCTTGCAAGGACAAGGAAGGAGTTGAGCCTGACGGCGGAGGACGAGTTGACGACTTTGTTGATCTTATCACACGCTGCCTTGAGCTCAACCCTGAGTCGAGACCATCGGCTGAGCAGATTTGTCAGCACCGCTTCTTGGCTGGCTATGCTGGCTGGACAGGTCGATGTGGTTGGCAACGGCTTAAAGCACCTCTGGTGCCGTCTTGCACCAATAATAGCGAAGCGAAAGCAAGCGCGTCTGGAGCGTCCACCACTGCTTCGGGTTAAGCCAAGGCAAGCGCAGATAACAAGCATACCACACGAAACCTTTTGTGTTCAGTCATGACGGCCATGGTTGGCCAGATACGGCTTACTTCTGAAGCCATCTAACGCACTGTCATCGTAGAAACACATTGGCATCTGACCTTTTTCTTTTTTCTTTTCTTTTTCTTTTTCTTTTTTTGCGAACAAACTGCATATTCTAGTGCCATTTCGCGTTTCTTACCGATGAGAGCTGATCATACGAACAACCCTGAGCAAAGCATGCTTCTCACTAGAGCCGAAACGGCTTCAGGAATATCGAATGCTTGGCCAGACGAGACCATGTCTCCGCGGTTGCAATGCAGAAATCCTTCAGCCTGCTGTCACAATAATATGTGCGCCGTTTTACACTGTCAAAGTGCTTGAGCTGAGAAAAGAAAAAGGAAAGAATTACAACACGCGTGTGTTGGTGTCTCAGGCAAAATCAGCACCAACACTGCTTGCTTCCAACTGCTGATCTGCAGCCTCGAGACAATCTTTTGAGCTGAAATTAGGCGCAAGCAGCTCGTTCGCTCTCCTGAATGGCTCGCCAAATGAAGCAACAGCGCCTGTGTCTCAAAACACAACGAACAACACATTGAACCCTTCCATCAACCACCCTACATCGAATCACCACCATCATCACGACCAAATAGTCCGTCTCTTGACCAACTCAGCACACTTCTTGAGACGCTTCAAGGTGCAAGAAACCTCGATTGCCCCTCCCAGATCCCGAAGACCAGCAAAGCGGCGCCCAATCCGGAAATTTTCCGCACATCCAATGCTCTGCGTTTGAGACCATCGCCCTCACAAACTTGGTCGCAAGGGCTCGCCATTCACCAAAATGTCCGAAAAACGTCGACCCATATCATTGCAGTCCTCACGCACACGCCAGCGACTGCCAACGCTGGCTGAGGTACTGGCGAGACGCACTCTTCCTCCGGTCGATCTCTACTGCTTCTACCTCTACTTGCAACGCGAAGCGGCTGAAGATGCGCTCGACTTTTGGCTCGACGTTCAGCAGCACGAGAACTTATGCAGAGCCTACTTCAAGGATCTGCGCAAATCAGGAAAATCTGTGAAGGAGGACTGGCCTCAGTACTATGCCGAAGCACTCGAACGAGGCAGTATTTACAACAAGATCAATGGCATCAACGAGCAGAGTGCAGACACAACTACTGGCTCCCGCAGAGGTCCAGAGACCAGTTGGGACCATCAGAGCCGAGTCGAGAGTCCGGAAAGCAACTACTCGACTCTCTCGCATGCACCTAGCCCCCTCCCACGCGCTGCTGGCGAGGCGTCAGGAGCAGTCTTGAACGCCCCTCGATTCCCAGGAGACCCTGACTATCTCGCTCAGCAGACTCGTGCGGAAAGGAAGAGCATTCTTGCCAAGCGAGGATCTGTCGCACCCACCGTCATCTCACGCTCTGCTGCCATTACTCGTATCGACCTCATCGCTTCTGCCGAGCGCATCTACGCACGATACCTTCTGCCAGGTTCCGAGAAGGAAATCTATCTCCCAGCACCGCTCAGGATCAACTCATTCCCCATCTCTTCCTCTACCTTGCCGCACCCGCAAGATGAAGAGCAGCAACGAGCCTTAGCACGAATCCCTGACATGTTCCACTCGCAGAAGGAGTACGTTTTCAGAACCATGGAGGCCGATGTCTTCCCTCGTTTCCTACGGGCGAAAGCATTCGGCAATCTCACACCCATTTCGGTCCTCGTGCGTCTCTCGCTCGGTCTCTTGGCGCTATGGGCGGCGCTGGCCACCGCCTTTAGCTTTATTTTCCTCGACGTCAACCGTGCTAAGCGATGCTGGGTCATTCTACCATTCTCCGTGGCAGTACTGCTGCTCATGTCACACCAATACGAACTGGATCCCATCTTGGTATTGCTCTCGCAGAGCGAGACTACGCCGTTTAGATTGATTCGTATACGCGAGCCGTACGTGCACAGGCTGTTGTTACAGCGCTCACTAGGTGTGTTGCTGCTGATTGCTTTGATCACGGCAGCGTTGACAGTCTTATTCGTGTTTGTGCCAGGGCACAGGCTCTGATGCGTGCGTCGTGCCTCGATTCACAAGGACACCTCTTTTCATCTTACACACACTCTTTTGGTCTTGTCTGTCTTTACCGTGTTGATCTTCAGTCAGTCTCTAGCTGTTTAGTTCTAATACCATTGTCGTTCCTTCCTTGTCTTTGTGGCTGTGTTGAATGCTTTCGGAAGGCTTCCATGCTTCTAGACCTCGATGTCTGCGTTGAGAGTTGTGCGATGCCTGTGCTTTTGAGGCTCATGGCAGAAGCAGACACAAACAGGTTTGCTTCTCATGTCTGGAACCGAAAGAAGTTGCAGCCGGCTTCCTCGAAGGAATGCTGCCGAGACACAACGACGCCATGTCCTCTCACTGTGAGTGACGCTTCGAAGGGGACGCTCGAGGGAATAGAATGTTTGCATCGTTAGATCCAGTCTCTTCAAACCCCTCTGTACGGCGCGTCTACTTCTCTCGGTGTACTCACTCCATCTCCTGACAGCACATCTGCTTGGTATACTCCGAGCCATATGACAGCCTTTCTCCCCAGTCTTGCTCTCTTTGTCTCGTGGCGAAGGCCTTATCAGTAAGTTCCGTGTCGTGACGGAAAACCTCTTCATATCATTCAAGTCTTCCTGCCTCAGGAAGAGGAGACGACACTTGCAAGAAGAACAATGGAGGTATGGCTTCGTTTCGTGACGGAGCCTGTGTGAAAAGCGTCTCAAGACACTGTGACGCGGACGGTTGGCCGCTCCATAGATACTGTAACGGCAACGCGAGGGTACTGAGCTTGTGTTGACGATCGGTATAGTAAAGCCTCAAAGTTGTCTATGTCTCCAGTGCTTTTGATGCCGCTCCATCGCTCAGCGGACTCAGCATGAGTATCTCAGGCGTGAGTACGGGGCTATGTGCGTATGCGGATGGCAAGCAATCTGATACGAGAGTTGACTTGTGCGTCCGCGAATGACGCCCCGTTGCTGAGCATCAACATCAGCAAGTTAACAAGAGGTCAACATTAGCAAGTTAACAAGAGGTCAACATTAGCAAGTTAACAAGAGGTCCTCTTCTGCAATCACACATGTCTCGCCTGACGGACTCCAGAGCTTTGACGACGTTGTCGCGGGTATTGCGGTAAGCCGAGTGCCTGTAATGTCTCCGTCTTCTTCAATGGTACCAGTATGCTGAACAGAGACAAGATCTACTCGCAGAAGTGGTGGCTCAATGCATTCAAAACCGGCGACGGCATTTTGGTTTGTGGACCGCTCGAGACAGGTTTGCTCATTACTCAGAAGGTTGCTCAACCGTGAACTGCTGCTCACTGCACAACTTGGCACTGAATCACACTTGAGAGGTTGTCGTAACAAAATGAGTTTTGAGCAGTGCAAACAAAAGAAAGCACAGCGAGGTATATGTACATTACGACCTCGACTGAATTAAGAAGAATCAGACGAGCATTGAGAGACTATGCAAATGTAGAAAGAGAGAATGAAAGAGAGTACAATGAATATGCTGCTATGAAAGGGGGGTAATTAGATTAGAGGAGACGACCAAACTTGGTACCGTCAACCTTGGCGTTGGCCTTCAGTTCACCGCGCTTGACGATGGTGTAAGCCTCACCAGGAGTGACATAGGTGGCAGCCTTGTCGTTGATCGACTTGACTCCCTCAGCCGACTGATGAGCCTTGAGCTGCTCAGAAGCAGCGGCGACATTAGTGGTAGCGGCCATAGGGGTCTCGTCGGTGGGAGTGGCAGGGCCAGCGAAGTCCTCATCGTCCGAGGTGACGGGCGAAGGAGGAGCACCGGCGGGACGGTTAGCCGAAGTGCCGGTAGCGCGGTTCTCGCGCTCGGCCTTGGCGAGCTCGTCCTTGGCAAGCTGGTAACCGCCGTCGAGAACACCGACTCGCATCATGGAAAGCAAGTTGTGAGCAGCGTTGGAGTGGTCATAGACACCACCGAGGAAAGCAGTGGTAGCATCCTTACCAATCTTGCCAGTAAGAAGGTGACGTCCACCAGGGTGCTCATCAAGGAACGAAGAGACATCGTGGATGAAGCCGTGAACAACGATGAGGGGGCGAGCCTTGGACTCCTCAACGAAGTCGTCCCACGAGATGACGGGAAGGTGAGCCGAAGACTTGGGCCACTCGAGCTGCTGACCAAACTCGTGGGCCTTCTGAAGTTGCATCGCGAGACGACCCTTCTTGACCTCGTTATCAGGGAAGGTCTTGAGGTGCGAAGCGAGACCGATCTTGTGCATTGAGGCAATGAACCACTTGGTGGGGTCGAATTGATACCACTGGACGGCGTTACGGTAGTCCATGGGGAACTGGTGGTGGAAGTTGTGGTAGCCTTCGCCGACGGTAACAAGAGCGGTGAAAAAGTGGTCACGAGGAGTCATCTTGTTGTCGAAGGTGGCCTCACCGAGGTAGTGGGCGAGCGAGTTGACGCAGAAGGTCGAGTGGTGGACGAAAACAAGACGGAGCATACCGGCGAAGAAGAATCCTCCGCGCCAGTCATTCCAGCCGAGACCAGCAACCAAGGTGGGGAGGCCGAAGCCGAAGAAAAGGAGCATGGGAATGTAGAGCTTGTGCTGAAACTTGATCACTGGGTTCTTGCGAAGATCCGAAATGTCAGCAACACCGGGCTTGCGGCGAGGCTTGACGAGCATCCAGCCGAGGTGCGACCAGAAAAGGCCGAAATGAGCTCCATAGGGGTCAAGATCGGTGTCGGTGTAGCGATGGTGAGCACGGTGTCCACGAGCCCACCAGTGGATGGAGCCCTGAACGGCACCGGAACCCATGCATGCGAGGAAATACTGAAGAGGAGACGAAGCGTTATAGGCGCGGTGAGCCCAAAGTCGGTGGTAGCCAGCAGTGATACCGAGACCAGTGAGGAAGTAATATACGAAGGCCCAAGCAGCGGTGTAGCTGTTCCAACTAGTGGTGAAGAGACCGTAGATGGCAAGAAGAGGGGTGATGGTAAGAGCCAAGAACGAGACCCACTGGATCTCGCTCAGAATGTTCTTGATTGTGACAGGAGGAAGAGGCTTCTCGGTGGCGAGCACTCGAGAGACGTAGTCATCGGGGATATTGGCATCCGCAAACTCGTCCTTAGATGCAACCTTCGCATCCTTGGTAACAGTGGTAGACCTTTGCTTGATGTCAGCGGTCATGTTTGCTGTGTGTATAGTGTTTTGGTGATGGTTGAAGGAAGCATGGAATCGAGCAGCAGAGGAAGGGATACTTATATGAATCCGCTCGCATTGCTGAGCGTGTGGAAAATCCGACACGTGTTGCCTGAGAAAGAAGTGACTCAAGCTATTGTAGCGACCTAAGCTGAAGAGGGAATGAACGCCGGCCACGGCTTTGCCGATAAGACGCAATGCGTGCAGTGACGCTCACGGAGCAATCAGAGTCGGGGGGTCGCCACCATTGACGGTCCTCGAAAGTGTCTCGGCCTGTGGCGAAGGCTGGGGTTCCTGTTCGGTGGCCTTTGCGTCCCAACGGAGCGCACTTGACGAAAGTGTCAAACTACGCACATTAGAAGACAAGACCAGGCGGGCATTATCGGCGAACAGAAGATTTCGTTCAAAAGAAAAAAAAGAAAAAAAAAGGACGAAATTATGATTTAATCCTTCCTCGGCTGTGGTGCCGACTCACTCTCGAATTCGCGTGAATGTTTTCTTCCAACAGCGCCACCAGCAACAAGGGCTATAGAGGGGAACTGCGCCACCCTGTCCCGCCTCTGTCCAACTTTTGTTGGGAAAAAAAAAGTTCAAGCATGCATGACAGCAGTCAAAGCGTTGATGCTCACCACCATAAGGGGCAATGGCCTCTTGTAGGTTACGACGATGCCGTTGAACGTTTCCTCCGAGGCCTTTGAAAAGCCAGGATCAGTGAAGGTCGTCAGCTGCTTACTGTTCACGAAGCTGGACTCGACCACATCACAATGAGTAGACGTCTCTACAGAGAGGGTAAGTCCAGCTTGACGGCTCAATTTGTCAGCAGCCCAGATAGTTATGCAGATTAGGTTGGGCGTGGTGGATCGCTGGGACCGCCATGTGGCTCCATCGGGTCAACCGATACCAGCGATTCTAACCTGTACCACCACACAGAGCAACAAACAGGCAGTCGCAGACCGCAATCATCAGACAACCATGATCAGCCGTTCAAGGTCGGAGCTTGACGAGACCTTGCTTCAGACTCAGGGGCCCAGCATCGGATGTCAAGAGTTCTGACCTTGCCTGCTTTGTCGAGGGCTTTGATCTGTTAGGTTGCGGAACCAAAGAGGCTAGAACTTCCGGGACAGAGCCAAACGCCGAGGATGAACGGAGTCAAGGTCGAAATAAGAGGCGGATTGTGCAGATTTCTCAGCAAATTTGTTGAGCGGCGGGACAGCTTTCATCAGCGACGGGGGGCAGCGGATGAACACATAGATACGTTGAGACTGTGTCGTACGAGTCCAAGCTCGAAGCTTCTCAAATATTATGTAATACTGACTGTAGAAGTATTTCCTCCACTTTCGACTTTCGAAGGAAGAAGTCTAAATTTCCAAGGCCCCTGTCACACACATTCACGCCGCTGCGAGGCGAGACCGCCCTCGACAGTTGCGGATCCTCGCGTTCTCGCCTCAACTCGGCAGATCCATCTGTCCAACCACACAAGGCTCAAGCAGCAACATCGAGTCGACATGGTGATGGTCATGATGAAGCTGGCCACAACTTTGGTTCTAAGCTTGGGTGCTCTCCTTGCTCAGTATTGTGCTGTACTCGGGACCAGCGAGACCGTTTTCTCTATTGAGGAAACAGTCGACAATCAGTATGTCGCATCGGTACAGCTCTTCGCAACCGGAGAGCCGCGGCCAAACCGACTACTGGGCACTGGAATGACAAAGGTACCGATCCAACCAGTTATGAAGAAATGACAGGAACCGATGGTGGAGAGATCGGGACGGATCGATCTGATCAGGGATATGGGAGAACCAATCTGACCAGAGATCGGGTACAACGCCCTCCCGCTCGTTGTCAGGCATTGTCATGAGATAGGATGCTCCCACACTCGGCATGTGCCACCACAATGTATATATATCAAGCTGAGGGCACTAGGCTCTCACCACGTTCACTCAGTCAATCGAGTATATTTGTTTCTGTCTACAAACTAGCAGTGACATCGTACTTAGACTCTCCCCGATCGCCAGTATCGGGACCGAGACGACTTCAGTTTCTAAAATGTATATATATTAAGCTGAGGGCACTAGGCTCTCACCACGTTCACTCAGTCAATCGAGTATATTTGTTTCTGTCTACAAACTAGCAGTGACATCGTACTCAGACTCTACCCGATCACCAGTATCGGGACCGAAACGACTTCAGTTTCTAACATGGAAGAGGGTGTTGGTCACTTCTCAGAGTGGTCCAAAGCTGCCAAGCATGCCTTCCTGTCAGACTGGGCCCAGGACAAGGCCAGCGAATGGACGATAGTGATGGGCAACGAAGGAGGAGATCTTGACTCGATGGCAGCTGCTCTCACCTGGGCGTACCACCTCTCGCACTCGACGCTTCACCATCCTCAACCTCGCAAGGCTGTTGCCCTGTTACAGACACCCCTGGATGCTCTCGACCTTCGACCTGAGAACAAGGTCGCTCTGGACAACTCCAAGATGAGCTCGGGTCATCGTGACCTTCTGACCATCGATGAGCTTCCTGCTCATCCTAAGGATATTGCCAAGAAGATTGGTGGTATTGTCCTCGTCGATCATCCCCTGCCTTTGAGCGTCTGGAATGATGCCAAGATTCTAGGTATCATCGACCATCATGCCGACCGTGGGGTCGCTCCACACGCCGATCCAAGGTTCTTCGAGCCAGTCGCAAGTTGTAGCACGCTCGTAGCCCGTCAAATGCTCAACGAGCTCGAAGCCATTCCAAAGCCTCCCAACGGACCTGGAGAGTACCACATGCCACACGAGCTGCTCGAGCTCATTCTAGACGCTATCGCTATCGACTCAGACGGCCTCAACCCGAAAAAGTCCACCCAGACTGACACCGAAGTCTCTCAGCGCCTACTCGAACGCAGCAACTGGCACAACGAGAGCCTCTCCGAGGTCATGGACAGGCTCGACCATGAACTCGGCAAGGCTAAGAAACAACTGTCCCACCTCTCCGTCCGAGACCTTCTCCGCCGTGACTGGAAGGGTGACGTTGTTCCTACCGTCGACCCAGCTACTCCGGATATTCACCTCGGTTTAGCCTCCACCCCAGTCTCGCTCGACGACCAGATTAAACGCACAGAACACAAGAACATCACCAACTGGTTCCAAGTCGAGAAAGATTGGACTGCCGAGATTCGAGCCGACGTCAGTCTGTGCTTGAACAAGTACAAGAACGACGATGGAGACAAGGTGAGAGAGATCACGCTCACTGTACGACACGACCATCGCATCAATGGCACACAAGCGGACGATCTTTTCAAGACCATCAGTACCGCTCTGAATGCGAGCTTTCATCTCAAGGAACATCCCAAGATGAAGCATGCTCACAGTTTGAAGAGACAGATCGTCTGGTCTCATGATGATGAGAGCGCCGGCAGAAAGGTCGTGCGTCCCATTGTCGAGAAGGCAGTCAAGGAGTGGGTCTCGCCATAGGTATTCGGCCCGGTGTCGGCTCAGAGACAACAAGGACACGTTCCGTGTTTGTTTGTGTTGCGATTCAACCATTTACTTGTTCATTCGCTATCCCGGTTGTTCGTTCACTACTCGGAAAAGTCCAAGACTTGCAATGGAAAATCATGAATGTATTGCGTTGTGACCGAAAAGCGTGACGGCGTAAGGTAACATCTATAAACCAGGTATGTGTCTGAGATAAGATAGGATTTCACAGCCAAGCGCTCCTGATACTGCTGTTGCGACCAACGCTTGCACCCGCATGGCTATAGCCAGTGTCTACTGCTCTTCCTCCTCCAAGTATATTGTTGAGCTCGACGGTCTCTGTTGGGAGAATCTTGCTGTCGCTGCCGTTCAACAGCATTGAGCTACGACGAGAGCCAGGCCTGTCGGACTCTTCGTCGTCAATCTCGTCTCCTTCATTAACGCCAACTGCTTGATACCCTTCAGCCTCCGCCTGCTGGCGCTGGCGGTGCTTCAGATACCTACTGAGCAGCATTGGCAAGAGACTGGCCATACTGAGCAAAATCAGCTTGACCATCATCTCGCGGTTCCAAATACGATCGACGATAGCTCGCATGCCCCCTCCTGCAGTGCTCTTGGCCTTGTCTTTGAGTCTGGATACTGTCATGTCGTCATCGACGGGTAGAGCCTCGACGATCTCTTGCAACAGATCGCCGACTTGGCATGTGACGAAATTCCAAGGGATCGATCCTACTGCGAGCGTACCGGCATAGGGAGCCAGTGGAACGCCAAGTACACCGCAGGCGATGTTCATTAGGCCGTACGGAACGATGGGCAGCACTCGGAGCAAGAGAAGGTATGTCCATACATTGCCATTTGAATCGCCGTTCGAGTTGGAGATCATGACGCTGCGACCAGATGCGCGGGCTCTACCGGGCGAGAGTGCACGTCGCATTGCGTCCAAAGGCTTGGCCAAGCCAGGCAGCGACGTGACGAGTGGTGCAAGCGGAGCTGAAAGGAGATAGCAGAAGACACCGCCAACCGCGGTCAATACCGAGGTGTACAGCGTGCCCGAGTACGTTCCGTACATTGCACCAAAGACGACGTTCATGATCAAACTGCCTGGCACTGTGAAGGATTGCTTCCAGGTGAAGAAGGTGCCAAGCACGACAAGAGTGTGCACGAAAGCCTTGTTGCTGCTCTGCGAGTACAGCTTCAGACTCATTGCGAGCTCCTTGATCTCGGTGAGCGTGAGGCTGGTGATGTGCTTAGGCAGAGCGAGTGGGAGAGTCGAGAGCATGAAGACGATGCAACACGTGGAAGCGGCAAAGATCGTAAAGAGGAATGCGAGACGAGGCAAGTACGGACGCAGGTTGGGAATCGAAAGACGCCACGAGCTGAGGTTGATCTGGATGCGTGGCATGAGGGCCATCAGCGTCTTTCCAGCGCTCTCTATACGGTACGTGTCGACATCGAGCATGTTGTATGCACGTGATGGTCGATCGGAGGCAGAAGTTGTGGTGGATGAGGTCGGTGTAGTCGAGCGACTCCCCGGGCCCGCACCTGAGACCAGATGGGAAGGCAAGATGCCCTGATAGGCGCTCGTTGTAGTGACCACAGTCGAGTCTGGTCGTATTTCAGGTGAGAATGTCCTTGTGCTGGCAACAGGTGAGGTGACGTTAGAGGTGGTGAGAGGTGGTGTAAACGGCCATTGCGATGAGCCGGGTGGTGTGATGCGATTGCGTTCATCGGCTGCATCAGCGGCTGCTTGAGCTGCGCTCCATTGATGCTTGGGAGGGCCGTGAGATCTAATTGCTTGCTTCGGTATAAATTGCTGACGGAAGGCATTGAGGTATTGCTGGTATTCGCTCTGTTCGTCGAGATCGCTGGTCGGCGTAAGCGGCGGGCTATCTTCATTGAGACCTATCAAGCAGTTGGGAGCAGCCGGACGTGCGGATGGCATGACAAGCGGCTGTGGACGCATAGGAAGCCGATGAGACTGCGAGCTTGCATCTTCAGATGAGCTCGGCTGCTCACTCTGAGGCGTGTTTGGTGTGTTGCCTGAATTCGAGGCCGAGTTGCTGGCCGAGAACGAAGCGAAAAAGGATCGCAATGTAGATAACCTTGGCTTACTGTATGTGCTAGAAGGAGTGCTTTTCTTCTTGTGCGAGTCAGAAGAGTTGGATGATTGAGATGCATCACTATCTGAACGTGGATGTGCAGCGCCCGATGATGGGCCAGCCGTCCTCTCCGCTTCTGATATCAACTGCAGACCCTGTCCAAGGCTGGACATGGTTCTATCACGTTCGAATTCCGCCGTTCGCCATTGCGGCGTGCTTGAAGAGAGCGTAAAGTCTGGAGTGCCTGGACCTCGATCGAGACCGTTCTCGAGTTCCGCTCGGAGAGGTGAGAGAGTGGATCGAGCCAGCTGTGTCACAGGCACAGCGTTGGAGGAGACAGAGCGAGATCGAGTTCGATTGGCTCGGCCTTTGCGGGCGGAAGACGAGCTGGCTGCCACTGTTTGTCCAGCGTATCCTTCAGCGTCATGGTAGACATCCTGTTCGTCGTCGCGCTGTTGCACCGCGAGAGTCGTTCTCGATGTACTCGCTATCGCACTTCGTTTTGATCGTTGAGCAGTTGGGTGGTCCGTGATAGCCCTCACCAGGCGGGGAGGTGATTCCGGGGAGCTGTTCGATGCTGCATCCATTTTGAGCTCCATGACAACGAAGATGGAGTAGAGATTCCGCGACCTTGAAACGCAACCGGGACAGGAAGGAAGGTACAAATGCGGAACTCGTATTGGTAGAAAGCAATGCGTTATTGAACCATGCTGTCGTTATCCAATGTGTGAAGATGATCCTATTGCTGTGAGAGGGAGAATTTAAGCTTGCAAGTGTGTGGTGGTGAGAAGAGAATGAGGACAGATGTTCATCGTCACTGACAAGGTAAGCATACAACCACATCCGAGAGAAGCAGGTGAGCAGCGCTTTCAAGCGTGACCGGAATGCAATTTCCGTACTCGTATCTTGAAAAATTGAAAGAAGTTGCAGGCGACTAAGCAGTCATCACACACACACGCTCCCTCGCCGGTCCACGGAAATTGTGACACATACGCAGGACTCGACAGGAAAAACACACACACACACACAGCGCTCCACTCACACTACGTGACTAAATTCCTCACTCCGACGGCTTATTTCCTGAAGCTGGTTGACATCTCTCGATCTAATCAAGTGTACGCCTAAGCACAGCTCTTCTTGCTCTAATGCATAGCAAGACCATAAGGTTTCCGTTGATATACACTCACAGCTAGTGATCAGCCCAAGCACAGATAGGCCTCAGAGACGGCTTCTGTAAGGCGCCAAGCAGAGTGAAGAATGGGCATTGTGTTGTTTGAGGTGTTTTTTGAATGTCGGCGTTCGCGCTCGGACTGTGAAATCGGGAAATCAGGTCATCCATGGAGATGCAAGATGTCAATCCATCTTCGATCAGCCGATCGCAGCAGTCTGAGTCTTTTATATCGGGTGTGGCAGATCATTAGTACAAATGATGTAAGCTAGCTTCACCGCTCGGATGCCTTCGGCCCGCTCCAGGCACCCGGCAGTCAACTTTTCGTGGTGACCTTGCAAGGCCCTCCCTTTACAGCTCCCTGAGGCGGAAGCACCAGCTTGGCGGCTCGAGGTACCATGTTAGTAGCTTTCTTGTCTGTCAATGGTTTGTCTAAGTCAGTCGCGAAGCGCATACCAGATCGGTCGAGTCTATGCGCTACTTATGTAGCGCCTGGACGGAATAGAGTGTTCAGATGGTCGCCTGTGTTAGCCCTAGAAGGCGAGAGGAACAATAGCATCGAGAACAAGATGGACGGGGAAGCTGGCTTGAGTTGCCGCATGTTTCGCTCCGCACAAAAGAAGTGCGAGCAATAACTAGTAGATATGAATGTTCATATCACCTGCCGTTTATGGTAATTGTGGTAATGTGACCGCTGCTGCAGGCGTCCGACGCTGATGGCTTTGACGCTCACTGACTTCGTCGTTGTCAACGCTGCTAAAGAGCTTATCGAAAGATCGCCTTGGCCAACGCTCCGCATCTCCTCTTCCTTCTAGCATTCACCACTACCATCTTCATCGAAACCGTTCCAAAGCCGATACTGTACTGCGAGCGACAGTGCAAATTCTTCAAAATCTTTTTGGTAAGTGTCGACTACGCTACGCAGAGCTAGGACATTGGGAGTCCAGGCAGCAGCACTGGAACGGCGATACGACAGTAGGCTTCGCAAGTCTTAGAACGTTCGACCGGACTATCTCTGACCAGTCAGCGAGCCTGTCCAGGAGACCAGACCAAACCAAAGCACCGGTCAAGCAAGGTTGAGCGACTGGGAAATGCTGGATGACGGCCTCCAACTTCACTCTTCGTCCATGAGATTGGAGCAGATCGGCTTTCGAAGCACGTTGCATGTTGAGCTCGTTCTCTCCCGTGCTGGCTTCTTGAGACAATAGATGAGTTATCAAACCATCAGAAAAGGTCAGGGCGAAGCGAAACTCTGAAAAAAGGTATTGGAAAGGTGTCTCTCTTTCTTTCCAATTCGCCACAGGTCGCGTCCTGATAGGTTCCAGCAAAAGTAAAAAAACAAAAACAAAAACAAAAACAAAAAAAGAAAAAGAAAAAGAAAAAGAAAAAGAAAAAGAAAAAGAAAAAGAAAAAGCTCTCTCCGCTCAGACACTCACTTGTCAAATTTCTTCGCTCGCATAATTTTGCAGTTCTTCCTGCCAATCAGGGTTTTAAGCCAGCTCTGCCCTTTCCTCTGCCGTTCTACAGCTGACTCGACTGAAGCCAACTTCATTGTGTTGGAGACCCTCTCGTCTGCTTACGCCAGAGCATTCCCGCCTCACTCGTGCGTCTCTCCTGTGGCTGCGCGCTTGGACTTTTGGTACCTTTAGAGATCTAGATCCAGATTAGATTGAAAGCCCTACCGCTCGACCTTCTCCTTACCACCACCACCACACCCCATCGTCTTCCATGGCTGCCCGTCGTCCTTGTGTAAGACTTGCTCAAAACCTTCTGAGGAACTCCACCCCGATCATCCGAGCTCGTTCTATCCCTTCCACCACCATCCCTCGCACTTTCGCAACCTCCGCCACCAAGATGTCCGTCGCCGTCCCCACTGACTTCGTAAGTACACCGACGACAATGCCGCCAACGACGTTAGCCCACCAACATCCTCGCTGACCTCCTTCCATCACCTCATCGCCACCATATACTCCAATTACAGAACAAGGTCCTCTACCAGTCTCTCGCCGAGGCTGACCCTGAGGTGCAGCAGATCATCGAGAATGAGACCTACCGTCAGTTCTCCGGTCTCGAGCTTATTGCTTCCGAGAACTTGACCTCGCTCGCCACCATGGAGGCCAATGGCTCCATCCTTACCAACAAGTACTCCGAGGGTCTCCCCGGCGCCCGATACTACGGTGGTAATGAGTACATCGATCAGCTCGAGATCCTCTGCCAGCAGCGTGCTCTTAAGGCCTTCAACCTTGACCCCAAGGTCTGGGGCGTCAACGTCCAGCCTTACTCTGGCTCGACTGCCAACTTCGCTACCTTCACTGCTCTCCTCCAGCCCCAAGACCGTATCATGGGTCTCGGTCTGCCCTCCGGTGGTCACCTTACCCACGGCTACTACACTGCCAAGAAGAAGATCTCCGCCTCTTCAATCTACTTCCAGTCCTTCCCTTACAATGTCGACCCCGCCACCGGCTACATCAACTACGATGAGCTCAAGAAGAACGCAGACCTCTTCAAGCCCCGTATGGTCATCTGCGGTGGTTCCGCTTACCCCCGTGACTGGGACTACGCCAAGCTCGCTGAGGTTGCCAAGACCCAGTCCGCCTACCTCATGTCCGACATTGCCCACATTTCGGGTCTCGTCGCTGCTCAGGTCCAGAACAACCCCTTCGAATACTGTGACATTGTCACCACCACCACCCACAAGACTCTCCGTGGTCCCCGTGCCGGTCTGATCTTCTTCCGCAAGGACCGTGACCCCGAGATCGAGGGCCGTGTCAACGCTGCCGTCTTCCCTGCCTGCCAGGGTGGTCCCCATAACAACACCATTGCCGGTATTGCCGTTGCTCTTAAGCAGGCCGCCGAGCCTGCCTTCAAGGAGTACGCCACTCAGGTCATCAAGAACTCTCAGGCTATCGCCAAGGTTCTCTCCGCCAAGGGCTACAAGCTCCAGACCGATGGTTCCGAGAACCACCTCATCCTCTGGGACTTGCGTCCTCTTAGTCTCACCGGCTCCAAGGTCGAGAACATCTGCGACTTGGCACACATCACCCTCAACAAGAACGCTGTCAGCGGTGACACTTCGGCCCTCGTGCCCGGTGGTGTCCGTATCGGCACTGGTGCCTTGACCTCGCGATCCATGAACGAGAATGACATGGAGAAGGTCGCCGAGTTCCTTGACCGTGTCGTCCAGATCTCGCTCGAAATTCAGAAGACTTCGGGTAAGAAGCTTGTTGACTTCATGAAGGCTGCTCGCGAGTCCGATGCCGTTAAGCAGCTCAACCAGGACGTTGAGGCTTTCGCCACCAGCTTCCCTCTTCCCGGTGTTCCCGACACTTCGGTCATTAAGAAGCCCGCTTCTCACTAAGCGAGCTCTCTCTCTCTATGATCGACCATTAGATCTCAAAACGTTGTCACCTCGTATGCATTCTTTCTGTTTCTAGGCCATAAGCACACTTCAACCTGTGCATGATTCCCGCTCTCGCTTCTGTTGGCTCTGTGCGTATGTCTAGCATGCTTTGATCTCCATCGCTGCTGAGTCTACTCATGCCTTTAGCGTGATGCACCCTTGTTCTCGTCTTGTCAAAATTTGTTCTCTTCCACAACATCATCATTCTCAGTTTCTCGTGTACAATCAGTCTATCGTATCAGCCTCGCAATCTCATTCAACCGAAGCGGGGTCAAGTATCCCCCCTCCCATCCATCTCACGCATATGTGCGTCACAATTTGTGTAGGAGTGCATTGCTATTATTGAAGTCGGTCCATTGAGCGATCGACAGCTGTGGTCGCTGTCGACTGGCCACTAATTCTAGCAGCAACGTAGACGCAGGTTGACGCGATCACCAGCCCCAGGTTCCAGCCTCTACAGGCATTCGACACCATCAAGATTGATCAAAAAAAAAGTTGGGACAGTCAGCACCGTTGTGGAATCAAGTGAGTGAGGCATCAAGAGGCAGGGCCGGTAGAGTAAGGTGCAAAGTTGGGCCGGGGAGGCATGTACCCCCAGCCGTTGGGTGGACCTTGCGGTGGTCCAGACCCTGGTCCAGAAGGCATGGGTCCCATGGGGAAAGGATGCGGTCCGGGTCTACCATGGTGCATCATTCCGCCAGGCATCATGTGAGGTGGAGGAGGCGGGAAGGCGAAAGGATTCGGCCCGTAGCCTGGTCCCATAGGATGGCCATAACCTTGGTTCGGTCGAGGCTGCGATGGCTGATTTTCGTTCGGTTGGTTCGACTGAGGTAGGCCGCCCGTCAGAATGGAAAGCAAATCGTTCTTGGGATCTGCCTGTGATGGAGGCGATTGCGAACCATTCCCATTGAGAGGCGATAAAGGCTGTAGCATGCGCAGAAGTGCATCCGCCTGTGGCTCTTGAGCTGTGAGTCCATCTTGATGCGCGGCACCATGAGAAGGTGCCGGACTACCATCGAAGGAAGCGAAGCTGCTCTGTGATATGCTTCGGTCGTGACCCATTCCGCTGATCATCTGCAGCAGCTTTTGGGCCTGTCCCGACTTTTGAGGAATCGGAGCAGGGAGGGGCGACTGGCTTCGAGACGGATCGTTGAGCTTGCTGAGGAGCGGATGCTGCCCAGGAGCTTCGTGTGATGCCGGCTGTGTTGAAGTCGACTCGCCTGCTTGAGATGGACGGTTGAGGGCTGCCAGCAAACGTGCGGCTCTGTCTTGTGCTTCGGCAGGATTTGACGTTCCGGCGACCTGACCTTGTGGACCTGCATTCGGGTTCATAAGCTGCGACAGAAGCTGCTGACCACGCTCATCGCCTGATGCCTGGATCATCTGCGCACCAACACCGGGGAACATCTGGTCGAGCGCATTCGCGGGGCCTTGCCCACCTGATCCAATCTGTCCGGCGGCACGAGCAGGCTCTCGAGTTGGAGACGACAAGCCCAGAAGCGCCTTGAGTTTGTCGCTCGTTGGCGGTGCCGGTAAAGGCGCAGATTTGGACTGCGTTGACTTGTCCTGACCCGAGAAGGACGGGAACAGGGATGTCGTGTCGACAAAGGAAGGCACGGCTGGAGGTTGTGCGGTCTTGGCTGTAGAGGGAGCAGGCGAAGATGTAGCATGACCGGAATCTATGATGGGCTCTGACCTATCCGCTGGACGATTGGGATGCGATGCTTTGTTGGTGTGGATCCACTGCTTCAAGCGACCGATAAACGGCGAGATTAGATAGAATTTGCCACCCATACCAGCAGGCGGATCCTTGGACTTCTTCCACGTCGGCAGGTCGCTGAGCCTGAACCAGGCAATCTTCGAGATCTCTTTGCGTGTCAGTGTCTCGAACTTGGTGCTTTCTTTGACGCCGGGCACGATGTAGAGACGGATGCGCTGTTCTCGCATTGTGAGATCGAGATAGTCCTTGCTGTCTTCCGGCAACAATGAGCTGCAGTCGTATCCTGTTTCTTCGAGCACCTCACGAATGGCGCAGTCGCGCTCAGGCTCGTTCTGGTTGATCTTGCCTTTCGGGAAGCCCCAGGCAGCCGACGACTTCCAGCCTTTGACTAGCAAACACTTATTCCAGCCCTCGGACAGCAAGATAGCACCGCAAACGGGCACGCGCGTCTTGTACTTGAGGAACTCGTCGAAGGCAGCCTCAAGGTCTTGCTGCCCACTACCGCCAGTGATGTACCTTTGAATGAGGGGCACGATCATGGATGCCGTATGCAGCAAGTAAGAAGAGAAACGTCGGAGCCCATGCGATGGAAGCGATGGGTTAAGTGGTCGGAGGAAGTCCTCGTAGAACCAGTGCGCTTGTTCGACTTGGAAGCAGATACGCTCGATACTCGACAGTTCATCTGATGGGAGATTGACGATGAAGCGGCTGCTCAAATCTTCCAATGTCTCTGCAAAGGTGAGGCCCTTATAGGCGGCCATCGGATCCTGCTCTGTAGCACTCGTGCTTGCCTCTGATGGAGCTGTGGACAAAGGAATGGAGAATAACGTGTGCTGGTATGTCAGTCATCAGCCCGCCTTGCTACAATTCGTTGTCGACGCGATCAAAAGGTGGGAAGTCTGAAAAGGAACGAAGGCGTCTAGGAGGTATGGATGCGTTGCAATGAAACGAAGGATGCACAAAAGTCTGAAAGCACTGGACTGTGCTTACCCTTTTGCTGGTCCGGTCGAGTTACGCTCTGGATTCTAAGACGACGATGCCTCTTGGAGGATGCTCGCCTGCAGCACCAAGATGACGCTGTGTTGATGGGATATTGGGGGAAGGACGCGGATGTGTCGATGGCAGAGCCAATCGGTAGAATGCCACTTACCTCCTTTGAAACCTCGGTCGCCTCCGGTGATCTCAGGTGTGATCCACGAGCCGTCTGTTCCAGCATGAGACAGAAGCTTTAGTGACTGCGAGCTCCAACATGACGTCTATGGACATTGGGCACTTACAAAAGTCGCCATCCTGGGCTTTGACCTCATCGTCGTCGACCATCTGCGAAAGAGCAGGGAGACATCAGGTTCACGAGAGTTCATAATCTTGTCAGTCAGGCGAGGCGATATGCGTTCAAGCCCCATTACATAAGATGTACTCACGCATTTCCAGTGTCCGAGACGCTCGGAATCGGTCTTGCTTGAAGCATAGAAGCAGAGATAGTCCTTGATGGAAGCAAAGCCGGGGGTAGGCTGAGGATAGGACCAAATGCGTCCGATGACCACAGGTCCCTGATCCTTGCTGAATTGCAGATCGTGGTAGGCTGCCATACCCTTCCATTCGCACATGGTGCGGCGAGGTTTAGAAGGCTTGATCAGGTCCATCTTGACACTGCTGGGAGGGAAGTAGTAAGTGGGAGGATGAGAGGTCTCGAGAACACGATAACCTTGCGTGGTCTCTGCAATGACGAGCTCTTGCTTGGAAGGAGTGACCCATATGACCCTCAGTCTAGCCGATGTAGGCTGGAGAGCGGGGGGTCTGGGATAGTTCCAGGCCTGAAAGGGAATTGACAGAAGCAGTAAGGGTTCAGTCAGAAGCTCAAGCTGGACTGTCAAGCGAAAGCAGTTGAACGTGGCTGCAGTAGGCAGGTGCTCGAAGGACGAAGCTCACATTTTCCTTTGGCCGCGGTGGCATGCTGTACGAGCGTGTTGTTCGCTGAGTATTGGTTGCTGTAGATTGAGATTTCGAGATGGTGGTAGAGGAACGATCAGTCTGCACAGACACTGCCGATCAAGATGGCGTTGGCGTGCGCGTCTAATCAAGTGGAGTTCAGATGTGCGAAATCGGGCACCCCGATTGTGACTAGATCCGGTTTCCATCCAACCTAGCTCAATATACGGCAGCGCTAAGCGCAACGCTACACTCAACGTCGAACAAAGGGGACCACACATTGTACTGAACAGACAACGAAGCTCGCAGACCAGATTCAAACACACAAAGTCGAAGAGTGGAAGAGACACGACTTCTTGCAAACGACGAATGCGGGTGGAGACACAACCTAGAATGAGCATAGAAATGACAATCAATAGATAACTACTGATGTGATGGCATAGTAGGGACACGGGTCGCAACGATAAAATTCCATGCAGCAACAAAACCAAACAGTGAAGATCCAGGGATCAACATCCTGAAGACGACTTGCAAAGCCATCCAGGGAGATCAACGTGTTATACTGAAAGTTAGGTCACTTTTGACATTAGGAAAAGGACCTGGGCTCGACTTTGCAAAGGAGCGATGAGGTTAGCCACACGAGCATAGAGTGGCTCAGAGCGAGGTGAGAAAGCCAATTAAGGCTCCTCCTCCCACTCGGGGGATCGCTTGACCTGGGTAGCCATGACGGATCGCTTTGAAGGGGTCTTGACAGCAGGACCGTTGGAGATCGAGGGGTAGTATCGGCAGTTGGAGCTCTTGCCAGGATTCTGAGCCTTGGGAGTGGGCTTGACACCCTGGTACCAGGTGGAGCCAGAGTAAACACCAGGCCAGGCACCCTCGGTACCATCGCACTGCTCGAAGACGCCGTTGTCGTACTTGGCGGGCTGGTTCCACATGCAACCCATGACGTCGTAGATGTGAGGACACCACTGGCGGTCCCAAGGGCCGACACGGCAAGCACGGAAGCAGTACTCGGTGGCGGACATGAAGTTCTGCCACTCGAGAAGCTGCTCCCAGTTGCCGGTGTAGGCGCGGGTGAAGACAACACCACCGACAGGGTTACCAGAGCCCGTAGCACCGTGAGGGTCGAGCTCACCTCCCTCGTCACCAGCGCGGATGTGAATCTTGGTGAAGTCACCAAAACCAGTGACCTGGACAAAGGAAGGAGTCTTGAGGAAGTGGGCGCCCTTGATGGTGCCGTCAGGGATAAGACGAGTACCATAACCAGACTTCATGCAGTAAGAGACCATGACGGCCTCGAGGTCACCGACAGTGTCCGAGTTTTTGGTGTTGGGAGGACCCCAAAGACAGAAGTCCTTGACCGAGTTGATAAAGATGTTCTGGCACTTGGCGGTGGGGCTGGTAGCACCGTATCGCTGCTGACAGTCGTTGAAACCAGTCTGACCACCCTTAGAGTCGGTCTTGGCGGGCATGCGAGCTGGGTCGTAGCCGGCGCTGACGCCGAGGACACCGGCCAAAAGGGCGAGGAGAGCAGACTTGGCGTACATGGCTGGATCTATGAAGTCGAACGCTGATGAAGTGTGTTGGAAAGATTCAAAAGAATGTGTTGATGGCTGAAGATTCAAGCCTGTGGGATGATCTGGACGAGACTTGGGGAGTGAAAAGGGGAAGTGAAAAGGAGAAGGGGTGGAGAGTGGAGTTGGGGATGGGGATGGAGATGGTGGTAGTAGAGTTGAATGAAAGGAGAAGGGGAAGAGGCGGATAGGCGGACCAGGTGAAAAGAGGGAATCCCTTTTGAGGCTCCCGACCGAAAAAGGTACACAGAGTTGAGGGTGGCAGCGAAAATGCTTCAGATCAGGGCAAGAGATGAAGCCCACCTCGAATGGGAAGGAACACCTTTTGGCGTTCCTGTTAGACAGGCGAGTGTCGAAGCTGAGCGAGGGGCATGGCAAGTAAGACGGCCCTAGCTCAGCAGGGACCCCGCCTCAAAAGGGCATAAAATGTGTTCTGCTGTGACAAGTTACAGAAACAATGACACGACGGCGGGCGGAGCCTGGAAAGGATGTAGCGCAGATCCATCTCATCCTGCAGGATGAAGGGGGAATGCGCAGCAAAAGAGGCTTGCCAAGGCGAAAAAGGCCGACTGGAAACGCCGAGTGCTGCATCAAAAAGGGCAAAGGCGCTTCTGCATGGCTTTCCGATGCCACATAGGGTTGGATTGCAGACAACATTATGGGTCGAATAGGGTTCGAACAAGTGTCTGCGCAGAAAGATGATCCCCTTGGAATTTCGGGGGACTCAGCCTTGGCTCAAAACGACACGGTCGCGCTGACTCAGGGTTTTGTGATTCAAGAGAGAAAAAAATATAGCAAGTTAACTAATGCAGGAAGTCCGAGGAAGAAGCTTCTTTTGTCGACCTTGGCTTTTCCATTCCAAACTCCCTCTTGTCTACACCATGCTGTGCATCGCAGTCTGCTCATATCCTTAAGGCTGTACTTGCTCGCTCGATCTTCTTGCCTCCCTCTGCGCAACACAACAAAGTCACAAGCATATTCCGCTTTCCCTCCATCGAGAGGATGAGAAAGGGCTGTTCTGGTGGCAATGGAACAGAAACTGTGCTGCAGGATCCATGGACTGCGGGTAAGGCTCACTCGGAGCATGAGTGCAAAGCGACTATCGTAGCCTCGGTATTCCGGGCTAAGAGCGCCATGAATGCATCTCGGCTGGACAAAAGGAGTTTTCTTTGGGAGAAGGCAAGCGGGGGGGGGGGGGGGGGGGGCCTTTAGGGGAAACGTGAGCCGACCGGTGACATCAAACACTTGATGTGAGTTCCATACCGTTGCACCTCCTGACCCTGCTCTTGCTGCTTAAAACTGCTGCAGGTTTGCCTACAGAGCGAGAACCTGTGAGCTGTCAACGCGCTCTTGCTATGGAAATCACAGACAGCTCTGATGCCTAAGAAAGCAAAGCTACAAACAGGTCGCAGATCACCTCGCCTTTGTAAACTCACGAACCTGAGACGCTCAGTGCACAAACGAATCTGACACCCTCGATTGAACTCAAGAAAGACTCTTCAGCCGCTCCAGAATGCGAGCCTGTCCAAAGACTTGCTAGATTGCCACCGCATTGGTGCAGCCCAAAGAGCATCGTGTGGGGGGGGGGGGGAATTGGGACGCTTGTGGTGAGCAGACGAAACGTATTCGTCCCGACTGTTATCCTGTTTATGAGTAGAATAGTGCGCAGTTGGAGGGAAACACACGGGTCTTGACGAAGCCGACAAGGGGGATTATGTCAGCTTATTTCTGGCTCTCCTTTTCGATTATATTTTTCGACGTTCATCTGTTGAAATAAAGGAGTCACTCGGCGACGATGATCAGGAGATATCAGCCGAAGTACGGTGTTCAAGCTAAAGAGCAAAACACTATACTATATTGACATGCTAGAAGTGAATGTGGCGGGAGCCTCGAGCTCCCTGCCAGACTTATATACAAACGTGTGGCACATGCCCGACTGTGGGCGTAATGACAGTGTGTAGCAACGAGTGGGATCTGGTTGCATCCGATCTCTGTCCTGTATCGGCTCAGCCCGATTTCTTACTTGATTTGCCTCATCTGATCCCGATCAGATCTACTTAACCTGATCGCCGACTGAACCTTCTCCGCCCGATCCTTTACAGATCTGATCTACATTATTCCTAGATCGGACTAGATCGCAATCTCCAACATCATCTTCTCTTTTCTGTTTTGCGGAGATTTCGGGACGCTCAAAATGCTACTTTCGGCGATGTAACAGCTTGGAGTGGGTTTCCTGTCCCACTCTCACGGAGAACCGCCGCGTCCAATCACGCCATCGTTAGGAACTGAGCTCACCCACTCATTCATCAACCGTTCCATTGGCACAGCAATTCGAGCACGACTGATCACCTTCACACTGAAGCAGCTTGATCACAGACGAAGACATAGCTTACAAGAAAAAAGAACGAGCACCCACCCTTGCACATCGAAGTACGTACGGCCTTGTGCTCAAGGATGGCGACTAGATCGACATTGCCAAAGCTTCAGCCACTCTATAGAAAAGCGGAAAGGCTTGACAGTTACAGTTGCGTGGGTCGTGGACGGACGGACGACAAATTACGGTTCAAACGGTCACGAGTACGCTGCAACAGCTAAAGTCCGACGGCTGACAGAATGCAGCCAAAAAACAAAATAAAAAATGAGGCGTTTGGCCTCAGACCCTTTTGTTGCTCTGCCACGGTTGAACTGTCAGGCTAAGGGAAATTTTGGAATGACGAAACACGAAGAATTCGAGGTCGCTTGCGTGATTTTTGTTGTGGTTGTCAAACGAACTTGTCAATGAAACGACATTATACTGTGCTGATAGCGCCGCAGTCCGGCTACTCCCCACCAGAACGTGGCGACAAACTTCGATCCCTTCGCTTACCACTGAACTCCACACACATATCTCAGCAAGGGTCGTCGGCTGCAACGCACAAAGATATCAAGCATCTGCCACCTCCGTCTTATTCCAATCTACCACCATCACTTCATACCCGACCCCTCACGCCTCCTCATTGCGGCCTCTGTCCATCAACATGACGATTTCTACTAGCAACGGTGCCACCAATGGCAACAATGGTCACAACGGAGCTCACGCATCCTCCATCGGCTTCGCCACAAAGGCTATCCACGTCGGTTCCGAACCCAATCCTGCTACCGGTGCTGTCATCCCACCTATCAGCCTGAGTTCCACGTTCGCACAGGATGGTATCGGCAACCACAAGGGCTACGAGTACTCTCGATCCGGCAACCCCAACCGTGACTCGTTCGAGCGTGCAGTTGCTGCGCTCGAGGGCGGCAGCCGAGGTCTCGCCTTCTCCTCTGGCTCGGCCGTCACCGCCACCATTCTCAACTCGATGCCCTCTGGCTCTCACGTCGTCAGCGTGAACGACGTCTACGGCGGTACCTACCGATACTTCTCCAAGGTGGCCACTGTGTCGCAAGGCATCCAGACCAGCTTCGTAGAGATGGACGGTCCCGAGGCGGAGGTCAGCGAGCGTGTCAATGCTGCGATTCGCAAGGAGACGGCCCTCGTCTGGATCGAGACTCCCACCAACCCTACTCTCCGAGTCATTGACATCCCACTCATCGTCAAGCTCGTCCGAGACCATCCCAACGCCAGCAGGGACATCAAGATCGTTGTCGACAACACCTTCATGAGCCCATGGTTCCAGAATCCTATTGTACATGGTGCCGACTTGGTCATGCACAGTGTCACCAAATACCTCAACGGTCACAGTGATGTGGTCATGGGTGTTGCCGTCACCAACGACGAGGCCTGGGCAGACCGATTGGCTTTCTTGCAGAACAGCATTGGCGCTATCCCATCTCCTTTCGACTGCTGGCTCGCTCTTCGTGGTCTCAAGACCCTGTCTCTTCGAATGAAGGCTCACGGCGAGTCGGCTCTTGCCATCGCACAGTTTCTCGAGTCACACCCTTCCATCGAGAACGTCATCTATCCCGGTCTTCCTTCGCACCCGGGCCACGAGGTCGCACGACGACAGATCACACAGCGTGCTGCCGCTGCTCGACCTACTGGCTCTAACGGCACTTTCGCATACGGCGGTATGATCTCGTTCCGAATCAAGTCGAATCCCGCCGACGATGTTCCTGCCGACAAGTTCCTCTCCAACCTCAGCGTCTTTACCCTTGCTGAGTCGCTTGGTGGTGTTGAGAGCTTGATCGAATTGCCTTCCAAGATGACTCACGGCTCCGTTGCACTCGAGGACAGGATCAAGATTGGTATTGGCCACAACCTGATCCGCGTCAGTGTTGGTATCGAAGACACTACCGATCTCATCAGGGATCTTGAGAACGGTCTCAAGGCTGCCGGCCTCTAAGCTGCATTCACAGTTTTACCCTCCGAAGAGTCAAAAGTGCCCCACATGACCTAACATGCTTCCTAGATAGAGCTTCTACGATAGACGCAACCTTGTCACATCGCTTTAGATTTTCTTTTATTCAAGTCTTGCTCAAGTCTTGCTCACGGGTATCCTATCTCTCTTCACTCATTTCATATCTCCACGGCCGCTGCTTATTGTCCTATTTAGTTCGCTCATGCATATCATACCATTTTCATACCATGTCTGTAGGTCATGCTGTTGTGCCAAGATCCCGAACTTGAGACAAAAGTTCTCGTCAATGTCTTTGTGTGCAAGGCCAATTTTAGCCTAACGATGTAGCTTTTTTTTAGCCGCTAGGCGCGCCATGCAGACTAGAAGAAGTGATGTCACAAAGTTGGCTTCCCTGCCTCCACAAAATTTTCCCCCTTCCCGCTGCAGACCCGTGACCAAGCTTATGCACTTAGCCAACAGCTTTTTGTGAGGGAGACCCTTCGACCCTCTCTCTGACTGATGATGACCGTCAAGCAAAAGCCTAGGTATTTAACCAATCACCATCATCACTTTCCCCCATGCATTGAGTCGCTACGTCTTCCTTGCTGCCAGCACCATACAGAATCGAAGAAACAGCAAAAATGATGCACCGTTCTTTCTCGACCTCAGCCACTCGCGCCTGCGCAATGGGTGACCAGCGTGTCGCCTCCAGAGTCCCTCGACTTGCCGCCAAGATCGCACCCACCGCCTCCGTCTCGCACGGCACACCTTCCATCGGCAGCTTCATTCAGCCTGGTAGCAACTCTTCAGAGAGCTACACTTCTCGACGCAGCGTCTCGGAAGCCTTTGGCATCCTTGCCGGATCCACTGCTTCGTCTCGCACTGGTCTCCGCAGCCGCCATGCTTCGACTTGGGCTCAGACAGCTGTAGCACCCGCACGATCCTTCTCCACCTCTTCCTCGGCTCAAGGTATCAAGGAGACCGTCAAGAACAAGGTAGTCGAAGAAGGAAAGAAATTTGCCAAAGAGACAGTCGACGCCAAGTTAAACTCGGAAGAGACCAAGCAGCAAGCCAAGAACATGTCTTCCTCTACTAGCAGAATCCTCTTTGTCGGAGTGGCCGTTGCTGGCGCAGTATACCCCTTTATGGGAGGAACTGCTCATGCCGAAGAAGCTCGTAAGTTTGATGGCAGTGGCTCCGGACCCAAGTATACGAAAGACCAAGTAACACTTCTTTGCCTCGTTGGGCCTTCTCTCTCTGGAAAGTCGACTCAAGCGAAACGTCTCCTCAAGCGCTTTAATTCTGAACTAGACGACATTGTCCAACCTAAGTCTATTGACGAGCTAGCATCTATTCTCTCCTCCCGCGCCAACTCGAAGAAGCGTACCTCGCTTATCCTCGACAACTTCCCAAACACCCTTGAAGACGCGCAACGTATCGAGAAGGAACTCGTCCCCATCTTTTGCTTTTCGTTCTATGATCTCCCTTTGAAAGATTTTGGGAAGCGTCTGCCCAAGTCAACAAGCGGAGAGGACAAGAAGAAGAAGGTAGAGGAGTTCAAGAAGTATACTGAGAATCTCGAGCCTCTGGTGAAGAAGTACAGGCATCAAGGCAATATCTATGAGATCAGTGCCGATTGGGATAGCGCTGATGAGGTCTGGGAACAGGTCGAGGCCAAGACGGAACAGATTCTTGAGCTAAGGGAGATGGGCGAACTCTAGTTGACAGGGTACACTGAGAAGTTCTCGGAACGGTGTAATGCATCGTATCACCGCCGCAATCATAACATCAAGGTCGACACTTGCTTGTAGAACGTGTGTCATCTGTAATGTCTATCGGCAATGTCTGTGATGTCAATTGCAACAAGGCGTAGCCGTCGTCCTTGAGGAGACTGGCTAGGCTATCGGTAATTCTGCCTTCGTCTGCAGAGGTTCATCGTCCTGATCGTCTTGTTGGTTCTCGTCGTCGCCACCCCCATCAGACTCCTTCTCTTCGTTATCGGCCACCATCTCGGCGAGCAATGCGGGGAGGCGTCCTGGTTCAGCGCCTTCAAAAAGCCATGCATGGCTGTGAGCACGAGAAGAAGGAAAGATGCCAAGATCAAGACTCAGTAATTTAATCATTTGCTATCTGCTGCTCATGCAACGTAGGCAGGAGGCAACACTTACCTATTCATCAGCCTTTCTGGTTCCTGCGACTCGTTTTTGACATTGCTCGGCGCCAAAGCCTCCGCTCTAGCCTCTTGATCATCCTGCAGCGCCACCTTCTCCTTTGCCTCTTCTGCAGCTGGCGTGCCAACGACATCTTCATTCGGCTGAATCAAGAGCAGATCCCACCCGAGCTTGCGACAGAGATACTCGACAATCCTATCGCAGTCGCCGAGCAGCATGATGTCAGTAGCCATGTGCAGGACAGGAGTCTTGTTGATGAGGATGACTGGTGTAGAGTGTGGGATGTGACCGGGGATCTCGGATACGGGAGCAACTTTGAGTGATGTCCCCATGACGATAAGTAGATCGACTTCTTCCCTGTCTGCTAGGAGAGCGTGGTCGAAGGCGTCTGATAGCTTCTCGCCGAAGAATGTAATATCCGGTTTGAGAACCCCGAAGCCGGCCAGCTGGGTTTCGTTATCCTCATCGTCCTCGTCGTCAGAGTCATTGCTTGGTCGCCAGCTCTTTCCGTTACCCAACTTGCGTTTCTTCTTGATTGGCTTCTTGCTACTGGACCCTTCTCTCGCCTTACTCTCCTCGCAAGCAGGACAAACCGGCACAGTCTGCGAAAATATCGCCTTCGCTATCTGACTACCTTTACACTTGTACCCGCACTCCGGATTGGTACAGCTAGCAGTTGCAAAACTGCCATGACACTGTAACGCTTTCTCAATCCCCGCTAGTTGCTCCAACGTATCAATGTTCTGACTGTAATTCCTCAAGAGCTGGCCCCTACCCTCGATGAGCTTGATGAACCGATGCGCTGAGCTCGGAACAAAGTTGCTTGGAAAGATGCGATGAGCAAAAGAGTAAAACATTTCGGGGTTGGAGAGGAAGTATTGCTTGTCAAACATGTCTTGTGGATCGTCCAGTTCGTATTTTCCCTCAGACTGGAGTTGAGAGTAGATACCGTCTTTGGAGCGGAAGTCAGGGATGCCGCATGAGACAGAGATTCCGGCTCCGGAGAGGACCACGATGCGCTTACTGCGTTGAAGGAGAGCGAGGGCATCATCGATGGTGTTGTATTGTGGGAGCTTTTCGCGTTGTCGAAGGATGCGGACAAGAGCGGTCTTGAGGATGGGGAGGAGGATTTCGAACGGCGTATCTGATTCTCGGATGGAGCGGGGTAAGAAGACACCTAGAGCTAGGAGAAGATGTTTGATGCGAATCGACGAGGGATCAGGAACGACGTAGCGCTGGAGGAAGATAACGATGCCATTCTGCTTCAGGTCTTTGACCATGAGGGAGACCGCCTCTGGTGGGAAAGCTTCTGCTGCCTCGTCGAGGAGCCGGTCGATCTCAGTGTCTGAGTCCGACTCGCCTTCTGCCATCTCTTCGAGCGCTGAGAGCTCTTCAGAGTCCATTGACTGGTATGAGACATCGTTAGGTGGTGCTGCTGACAATTGCGGTGGTGCTGCAGAGCCCTCGCCCGCTTTCATGGCCGGGGCGAGCTTCGAGGACGATGCTTCACCGCCATCGACGCTGGCGTTAGCAGCCGGAACGGTGTGCTGTTGAGCACCATTGCTTGCCATCTTGTCTTGGAGTCCGTCGTCTAGCCAGGGCTGCTCTAGGCGGTTATTGAGTCCGGCTACTCGATACTGTAGCTTCTTGAGTTGTTGTTTGACATCTGCAGGAGGGTTCAAAAGCAACACTTTTTTGACGTGCCTGCCGATCCATCCTTCCCGCCTTGATGATTTTCGCCTCTCACGGCCCTTCAAACTCGAAATTCGCCGCATGCTTTGTCCTCATCAATTCTTCTCGTTCTCAGACGGGCGGACGCCTGTCTGGAAGCTGCAAATTTCGTCGCATGCGACAGGAAGAACTGCTGCTAGTATATAAACCCAACCCGTTCTCGATCTGTTCGTCAATACACCATCGCACTCCCTCCTTCCTGTTTCAAGGTACTTCAAAATTGCCTTTTACCATTTTGAACCATAATTCGGGAAGGGCACATATGGGAGTTGTCATCAATTTTTCTTCCTTGTTCATCCACCAAATCCAGTCGCTTTCCGCCTTTCGAGAACTCCAGCGACGAAGCATTTGCACTTGGCCCATCCCCACTTTTCGATCGCTCAAACAGGACAGACGTACAAGCCTCGAAGACTTGGTACCTTTGCTAGAGTTGGTCGCGGGAAATTGAGGTCAGAGCATTTCTTTGTTTCATGGGCTTTTCGGTAGATCGGACGTCTGGTCGAGAAGAGTCTTGGGCTGACAGCGCTTAGTACTGTGTTCCCTTTTGCTATTCTTGTTGCTTTGTTTTCGTCTTTTTTATGCATGCAATGAATGTCATCGACGTGTCCTGTCGACCTTGTGTGCGTACTTTTGTTGAGAGTAATGCGTAGAAGAGACGACTTCTTGATGATCTGCGCACCCGATAGATCCATCCTAGATCTTGGCTGATGCCGCCAAACATAGGCTCCCGTTTCAATCTGTCACCGTCATCACAATAATCAAACAAGCTATCTTCAATACCGGTACGGTCTAGGATTGCTACAGCTACAAATACAAATGGATGAATGCAGATACAAGAAGACAAGGAAACCCGGAAAGTAAGCACGAGACTGAGCAAGACAACCAAAAGATCAAGCAAGATTACTTGCGACGACGCTGTTGAGGAGCACCCTTGCCGTTGGCGCCGACTTTTGGTCCACGCTCCTTCGACTTGAGTTCAGCGGCATCGGGCTTGCCACGACGACTCTTGTTCTTGACGTTGGCGTGAGTGTAGTAGTTCTCAGCTTTGCGCTTGCTTGTGGTAACACGAGCTTCTTTCTTGGTCTTTCGTCGCTGGTCGGTCTCTTCCTCGTTGTCACCCTCAGCGGCAGCGGCAGTGCGCTTGCCGGGCGAAGACTTGGTAGAGACGTCGCCGGCTGCCTCCTCGTCGGCCTCTTCCTCATCGCCGGATCCGCCCTGGAAGACGTCATCCCAGTTGAGGTCTTCAAGCGCATCACCGTCCTCGTCTTCGTCCTCATCGTCGTCGTCAACCTCCTCATCACTCTCGAAGGTGGCGTCTTCGTCCACTGCAAGTTCAGGCACAGGCTCGTCCTTGCTACGCTCCATGACGTAGTCCTCGGGACGTCCGGCCTCAATGTCCTCGCGTGTAAACTTGGTAGCCACAGCAATCTGCTTGAGTGGCTGCTCGACACCTTTGACCTTCTTCCTCTTGAGAAGCTTGTCGGTAGCAGCGTCAATTTCAGCTGATGCCTCGGCATCCTCGCTGGTCTCGGTAGTTTGCACCTCTTCGGCGAGGGCCTTTGCCTTACCCTTTCCTGCTTTAGCAGCATCTTCTGGCATTTCGGGGGCGACGAAGAACGGAATCTTGCCACGAATCCAGTCGTTCAGGACCATCTTGGCGACAGTCTCGAGATCGGGCTCACCGCCCTTGAGCAACTTGCCCATGCGCTTGGCGATCTGACCGAGGAAGTCTTCCGAGTTGGTCCACTTCTCGAGGTTGTACGTGCGACGGATGTATTCGGGCTTGACACGCGAGAGCAGCGCAGGAATGTGCTCTGCGGGAGTCTCGAGGTTCTCGACACGAACGACACCCTTAAGCACGGTACCGGTCTCGGAATCGTGCGCCGAGACGGGTACGATACCGGGGCAGTCGATGAGGTAGATGCGGCGCATGAGCGAGATGTACTGCCACACTTTGGTCTCTCCTGGAATGGGAGCGACGTTGCAGACTTTCTTCTTCTTGAGCGTGTTGATGATCGAGCTCTTGCCAGTGTTAGGGTAGCCGACGAAACCGACACTGATCTGCTTCTTGTCCGAGTGGAGGACGCTGAATTGACGCAACAATTGAATAAGCGAACCTTTACCGAACGAGTTGTTGATGTTGGCGTGGAAGGCGATGGTGGGGTATTCCTTGGACAAGATCTTGACCCAGCGAGCCTAAATAACAGCAACCAAGGTTGATCGAAGGGAGATGATCGAATCAGAAACTGGTCAGCAAGGATGTTCCTACGTTCTAGCATTGATCAAAACATGAAGGGGCAGAAAAAGAAGGATTGTTGGTTCCATGACTACGAGCATGGCGTGTAAGAAAAAGCACCGGAAGCTCAACTCATGTAGGAATCTCGACGTCGACGCTCCAGGCCCTCCCGATCTACCCAGCCTTTATCGGCGGAAGAAGGTCTGGAAGTGGGCATGTCCCAAACTCTTCTCGACTCAAAGATCGAAAAGGGAGACATAGCTATGAGGGGGAGATCATATCGACGCCGTTCTTCTTCCACATTCGTAACAGTGGTGCGCCACTGATGTCGCCTCTAGAAGGAGGACAACGGCGCATTACTTGACATGATTGTGGACTTCTTGAGGCGAAGTTGAAAGGGGGAAGAGAACAAAAGGAAGAGAATGAAGAATGACAATGTACTTACAGTAACCCAGGTGGGGACGAGATCGACCTTGTTAAGAAGGAAAACGAGATGTTTGTGTGGCTTATCGTCGCGAATGTGCTTCTCGACGCTACGGCAACGAGTGCCCATTGGATCACGGGCATCGAGAACGTGAATGATGACGTCGGACGAGTCGATGACCTTGTAAAGCTCACCCCAGATCCGTCTGGACTGACCTTTGCTGTAGATGGGCTCGGATCGACCACGGGTAACGGGGATCTCGTAGAGCTCGTCGGCGTCGACGGTCCATCCATTTGCGGAGCGCTGAGCACTGGAACCGACCTCGTAGTCAGAAGGAACAAGACCTACACCAGCGGCCGTGGCTTCGAGAGCTGCAATCTTCTCGTCGGAAGCGAGACCTGCCTGCTCACTGCTCATTGCGAGCTCCTCAAACGAGCTCATGCCGCCATCGAGACGAGGACGCTTTCGCTGTGCGCCTGGACCGAAGGTGTCGGCAAAGGGTTCAAGAGTTGTGAGCGAGGGAGCTTTGCCCTTGCCAGGATCTTGAATGAGTGACATAGGAAGCTTGTTTCTTCGCAAGAGGACCGAATACGGGTCATTGACACGAGATCCAAGCGAGGTTCGGAAGTGGTCGAGAGCATCTTGCGAGATGACGCGGGTGTTGCCGAACCAGCGCTTATCGGGTTGGACACGGCCGGGCTTTGCTTCGCTGCTCTGGAACTCGGCGGCTTGGATGATCTTGCCGTTCTTGTCGCGAATAGCCTTGGAGGCGATACCATCCTTGGCGAGAAGCTTTACAACCTTGGCCTTCTTGGCATCACGGTAGAAGTTCTCACCCTTGAGACGCTTGATGCCAGTGGACTTTGTATTGTTCTTGGAGGAGCCTCCTTTGACGACAACCATTTCGATAATGCTCTTCTATCGAGAGCTCTGCGGATGGATGAGGGTATAGAAAATACTGATGAAGGTGATCTTCCAAGCAAAGAAACCGTAGGGTATAGATGGGGGCAGTATCCGATGTGGCAGAGGGGGAAACGGCGAGCGGTTATATAAGTGCTCGCTGGGACCAATGCTCCTGTTATCGCAGCTAAGATGACTAGACGGCAAGAAGTGATTGGTATGGACGATGGGGTGACCAGGGGTGAAAAAGGGTGAAGAGGAAGATCAGTGGCAGGAAACAGGATGAAGAGGCACGAGTGAATTTCAAGCGACTCTGGCTGCCAACCGCAAAAATTTCTGTTTTGGACTCAGCCCAAAATTTGGAGAAACCTTTCTTTCTTCCAACTTTTCTGGGCGGCCGAGTGAGCAAAGGAAAAAAAAAAGGGGGAAAAAAAAAAAGCAACAGCTTGTGGCAATCTAAATGGAGGCAAAAAACTGCGGCTAACATTCAGGAGGTCTAACAACGCCGCGTTGGACCAAAAGAATGCTGGACCCTGAAATGTACGGCTCCCGCGCCATTCAACTTGTCAATCACTCCACTCCAATCAACTTGACTTCATCTCGAACGTAAGGGTCACGGTTGCTTTCGCCCATCAGCCATCATAGAGATGCTCAGCGCATGATCAGGCTGATACACGTACTCCCAATCTCCTCTCCGGACCAGCTTGGCGAGCTCAAGAAGTTGTAGCGCAGAATGCAGGCTGAAGCGGGTCCCAGCCGCTCCTCGGGCCCAGCATCGAAAGCTCAGCAAGATACACCATGTCGCTACTTCTACCGATCGGGAAGATGTAAAAGGGGCGACAAGTGTTTGTTCTCACACCAGCGCCAACGCAAAGGAGAGCCGTCAGACTCGGCACCGTCCTCGTCGCTAAAGCAGTCAAGAACCACTCCTCTTTCTGCGCAAGCCCCCGATTTTACGCCACGCTCGGCTCCTCAGAGCCAACTGTCAGCCGGCGCAGAACCCTTTGAACCAAGCTCACAAGGCAGCCGCGATGAAGATGCATGGCAGGATGTGGACCCTGCCCCAGCTTCGCCAATCAAGCCCCGGGCAGTTCCGATGAAAGGTGTGCCCGCAAGCGTGTCCGAAAACACTGAACCATGCGGCATCTGCATGGAGATCCCCGAGGTCTATGCTCACCATCCAAATTGCGACCATTCTTTCTGTCCATCGTGTCTTCGCGAATGGCGTCGACAACACGCCCAGGCAAAGAACAAGAACTGTCCAACCTGCCGTACCTCGTCCAAGTTCACTTTTGTAACACCGCAGCCCTTCACATCCGGCGCCCGCATCCTCGCACTTCAGCGCTTCAAAGAGCGAGCAGCCACTACACCGTGCAAGATTTTCACGAAGAGCCTCGCTCTCAGCAACAAGCGCACCAAACCATTCTGCGTCTTCGGCGACGACTGTCTATACCAACATCACATCAACGGTCAGCCATACAAATTTGGCGTAGGTCGCTACAGAATCGCGCATTACAGGAAGGGCACAAAACGTCTTGTTAGACCAAGTGCCAGAACGGAGAGGACAATCGGTGCAGAGTTCTTCGATCGCATTCGAGATATGGACGAGAGAGTTCGTATGTTTCTGGCCACTAGAGTGCTCGTTAATGCCCGTGTCGCGCAGTCAACAGGTGAAACTCATCTAGAATAGCGTAGCTCTTGCCAGGCTCATAAAATGCTCAACAGTCTTTCCGTGCTCTTCACCATCACATTGCGCCTGAATGAACGGTTGAGATGGAGTGAGAATCCACAATGGTGTGAATACAAATACAAATGTGTATTTGCGTCGATGACGCCTAAGCAATGAGAAGCTCGATGTTGCGCTTGATCCACCAAGCACCGATACGGATAGGATCCTTCAAAAAGGCAGCATAGACAGCCTTGCCATTCTTGAACTTGCTCGTTGCTGCCTTTCCAGAAGCAATGTAAGAAGCTGAGCCCAACGAAGTTAACGAGAAAGGATCGGCATCGTTGACTGAAGATGCCCAGCTACGAACCTGCTTAGGATCGATCGGCTTCTGCGAAGCGATCTGCTCTTCCGTAAAGAGGGTTCCGTGCAAACCATACGGTACTCGCTGAGGTAGCTTGACACGGCAGACAACGTCTCGCATCTCCTTGGCGTCGATGATCCAAAGCTCGCTAGATGCGCCAGGAAGCACGTCACCGGTGGAGGGTTGCAATCCGGTGGCCTCGTCAAAGACATAGCATACGAGCCAACCGTCGTCTTCGTACCGCGTCGCTTCTCCACGACGTGGCACGAAAGTTGTCTCTTGAGCGTACCATCCTCTTGGCATCTCAAAGATCTTGATCGGATCATCGGGTGAAACAACACCCTCGCGCTGAGCCGTCAAGATCTCCTCCACCGTCCTGGTATCAACACTGTCGCTTGCCTTCAGTCGACCTTGACTCCACATTGCTTTACCCTTGCAAATGAGTGTCTCTGCATCCACCTTGACCAGTGCGTCGATCTTTGCTGCTTTGCCCAATCCTGCATCGAAGGTGCCATCGCGCATGCTTGTACCATAGACATAGCGAGCCTGCTGCATCGAGTATTCCTCGTTAATGGTAGGGAATTCAAATGGCACATCGGAGAGAGAGAATTCATGGCTGATGCTGTTACTCTCCGAGTCTTGCAGGTCAAATCGCCAGTAGTAGAGCTGACACTTCTCGGGGCAGTTGGGTGGCGGGAGAGCATGCGAAGGTGGAAGCAAGTTGCCTGCCGAGTAGACCAGCGTGGCGCTGTTGAGACGGCATCCTAACATGTTGACTCCACGGGTTGCTTCGGTGAGGTTCTCGGACGTGGCGAATTTGCCATCGTCATCCCAACTGTTCGCCGTGTGGTAGATACAACAAGCCTCGAAGCTTTCAAACCATCGAACGCGCTCCGGCTCGTAGCGAGGCATGACGCCAAAGCGGCTCATCTGTGTCGGGTCATAGTGAAGGATAGGCTTGCCGCGTACCAGGTTCATCATGTCGAGCGAAAGCGGGACATCGATGATAATGGTGTGTGTTGATGTTGCGCCGAAGTCGTGCATCATCTTGGGCTGCTTGAGTCCGCGAACAGGCTTGCCTTTGAGCGTTTTGGAACGCGATGGTAGTGATGCTTGTTGAGACTTGGCGGGAGGGATAACACTGACGCGAAGGTAGGAGGGTTCGAAGCACATGTGGTAGAGCAACAGCTCTTGAGTGCGAGGGTCGATCTTTGGGTGAGCCGTGGTGAATTCGCGAAGCATGCCGATGATGGGCGGACCGCCTCCAAATCCCTTTGACTTGCTCTTGCGAGCTGCTTTGCCTTCCTGTGACGGGTTGGTGTCCTCTTCTTCATCCTCTCCTGTGTACCACCCAGCGGTCTCGAGACCAGGAAGCATGATCCGCATGGGCGGTCCGCTCTCACATCCAGCCATTGCCTTTCCGTCGTGCCAGAAGACGCTGGTGTTGGCTACGCTGATGCGTCGCAGCTTCTGATCACTCTTGAGACCCAGGCCTGGTAGCCATGTAAGCATGGTGAGAACAAAGGTACGGATGATCTCGAACATGAGCCAAAAGACCGAAGTGTGTGGGTTGACTAAGGTTGCAATGCTGGGCACGTAGGGCAGCCGTGAGTGCTCAGGTGTCGAGAGCAAGAGATCGGTGAGAATAAAGCGGTTCAAGAAGCATGGTTGAATGGTGCCTTGCGGTGTACGTCGGAAGAGGACACCTGCAAGCATGCCATCTGCGTCAAACCAATGTGCATCACGATCGAGTTCCGAGTTGGCGAGAGGGTTGCCTCCGTTTCGAACATATTGGCTGCCTGCGAACTCCTCTGGTATTGTTCCCTCGAACAGACAGTCTGTTAACGGGCATTCGATAGTGACAGGAGCAAAGTTGCCAGAGAGGTAGGGATGGACGTATTCCTTTTTGGACGTCCTTCGACGGGAGAGAACAGGTCGATGAGGGATGCTCGATGCAAGTGCTTTTGGTCGTGATGGACCGGCTTGATTATGGTCGTGGTCATCCATGAGAAGATGGGCCGAGGAGCTCGATGGAAAATAGTCAAAGACGTCGGATGGTCTTGGCGGTGAGGGTATCGAGGTGGTGGGTGCATAATGCTGCGGTGCGACCGGTCGCTTCAGCGAGCCTGAGCGACGTCGACCTTCGCTAATGAGAGGTGCCATGTCGATGGTCGAATCGTGCCAGGCTTCGATCCAGCTAGAGTGGTAAGGATCAGAGAAAGCTGGAAAAAAACGATCAAAATTGACGACGAAGGCTGCAGTGATAGTTGTGGGTGATAGTGCGGTGTCGAGAAGGTCGACAAGGAAGTGTGTGCGAAAAATGACATTTGGATGACGTTTGGAAATCGGCCAAAGCTGACATTCAGCATGCAGCAAGACACATGCAGGGCAAAGCAGCAGAGGAAATTGCCCGAGCACTCCACACGATCTCAACTCACCTCAGATCGGCAGTCGGAGAAATTCCATCAGAAAAGTGAGAGTGAGGTCATACCACAGCGATCCGATCCGTGACTTTCCCCCTCTCCTCAGAGCGTGAGTCCGTAACCTGAATTCGTGTGACCCTTCCGACTGACGACGTGGACTTGGGCAGGCATCCCATCGGGGGGACTCATCGGTGGCATGACCAAAACATCGTGTGTGATCCCTATCTGCTAATCCCGATGAGACCTTGAGCATGGAGTGGCTTTGACCGACACTAGGGTAGCAGGCTCTCCCTTCAGTTGATGCTCTCAGCATACACAGCAAACACCCGAGACTGGAAGAATATTGTCATATTAGAAGAAATGCGGCTTTTGTTGCTGGTGACCTGCTCTGTTGTTCAAGACCGAATTCTTTCGGTTCCACCTCCGAATAGCATCGTCAAAGAATTCCTTCTGCTCTGCCGCAGACATGGCATTGACAGCTGCTGCCAGTTCCACTTCACTAACGCTTTGTAGCTGAGCTAGATCCGAGAGACCGGGCACGCGATTGGACTCAGCTTGATGTACAGCTCGCCTGAGGCCTTGCTCTGCTACGGCCAAAGATTGCGTCTCCTCTTGCGTTGCTGTTTCTTCCATGCTCGTGACCTTGGATCGTGGCGGCGGCCAGACCGGTACAGAAGCAGCTTTGAGCTTCTGAGTCTTTGACGATCCAGATGATGATTGTGACGCGGCATGTGGCCATGTCGGCCTCTTGCTGCTAGCATTGACCTGCAACGTACTCGCACCCTTGCGACGACGAGGAGAAACTTGCTTTGCAGCATCCCGGTACAAAGCCGCTTCTGCGGCACTATTGCCAACTAAAGCTGCATGGTCGTGGCTGTAGGCAATGCCACTGCCTTCCAAGATGCTGCGTATCGGATTTGCTCCGACTGAAGTCGGCTGCGCTGTTGTGTCTGCCCGTGCGCTGTTCTGCGTCGATGTGAGCCGGCTCTCCTGTTGACTATGAGCACGCTCTACGAAGGCTGCATCGGCAGAGTCCTGATCATCGAGCGATCCAGCCTTCAAATACTGCTCGAGAGCGAATGTGACCTCTGAGATGTTGCATTCGTCAATGATTGATTTCATCGCCAGACTGCTCTCGTGCAGCGTAAACAGATTCTTACATCCGAATAGCTCGCCTAGACTGCCTTGATCGCCGGCTACACCTTCAAAGTAGCGACGCTCCTTGGTGGCATTATATCCGATCTCCATCTGTTGCTGCTTATACAGCTGTCGGCCGTAGATGACTTCCTCAAGCGAGCCTGCCCCGATGAGTCGGTACACGTAAACATCCCTCGCCTGCCCGAACCTGTATGCTCGATCCATCGCTTGCAGGTCGTGTGATGGGTTCCAATGCGGATCGAACACTACGACGCGGTTGGCTGATGTCAAGTTCAGGCCGGTGCCTCCCGCAGTGGTGGAGATGACAAAGACAAAGATGCTGCTGTCCCTGTTGAATTGGTTGACAAGCTGTTGACGTCGAGGCTGCGGCGTCGAGCCATCAAGCCGGAGGAAGTTGTGTCCTTCTCGTGCCAGGAAGAATTCGATGAATTGCAGCAAGCGCATGTTGGTCGAAAAGAGCAATACCTTGTCGCCATCAGCATGCCACTGCGAGAGAAGTCCGGTGAGCACCTTCCACTTTCCGCAAAACTCTGGCTCCATTCCATTGGCGGCGTTGCACCGCTTGCTCTGCCAACTGTCTGGGAACATGAGCTGCACGTATGACAATTGACGATCGTACCTTTCCATGCGATCCGGTTCTCGAGAAGAGGCGTCTTCGGGATCTGGAAAGACCAAGGCGACGTGGTTCGAGCACTTCTGGAGAAGGTAGATGTACTTTAGCATGTTCTTGTTCCAAGCCTCCCCCTTGCCGTCCCGCTTGAAGCAGCAATTCTGTCGTCGGTAGGCCAGCCCTGTCTCGGGGTCCAAACGTCCGCAATCGCACGGATCGGCGTGTCGCTTCATTAAGTCAACCTCATCCTCAGACAAGATGCGCTTGTAGACTTCAAGCTGCGTCGAGGTCAGCGGGCAAAAGACAATCTTGTCGAATTTGTGTGGCAGTTGATCGGCGATCAACGCCTTGGTACGTCGTAGGAAGAAGATGGGCAGCACATTTGTGACCAGCTTTTCGGCCCTTGTCCTAGCGTCGGCAATGTGTTCTCGATCTGCACCTCGCCTTTGACCCTGCTTCAGCGGCTCCTCGATCTCGGTGATCCACTCCTTTACTGTGCCTAGCAGGCCAGGATTAGTCCAGTCGGCGAGAGTGTAAAGCTCGCGATAGGTGTTCTGGATGGCTGTGCCCGTCAACGCGAATCGAGCTTTGCAGCGAAATATTTGCATAGCCTTGGTCATCTGCGAATTTGGGTTCTTGAGCTTATGTGCTTCGTCGATCAGTACGCAGGAGAGATCAAGATCGCGTAGATGTTCGATGGATAACGATGCTGTCTCGTGGCTGGTAACCAGAATGTCGAGCCGACCTCGACGGAAGGACTCCAGTGCATTTTTGGCACGTGTTCCGCTGAAAGCAGCATGTTCGAAATAGCCCCATGTATCGAGCTCGTGCCGCCAGTTGTCGATGACGGAGCTAGGACAGATGATCAAACAGGTAGGCCATACTGCATTGGCACGATGGTAGTCTGCCCGTTGCCTGTCGCTACGCACGGCCTCGATGCGGCGGTCAGCGTCTTCTTCGCGACCAGTCTTGCGCATGATGGCTGAGAGAAAGGCGATGACTTGGATGGTCTTGCCGAGACCCATGTCATCTCCAAGCAATGCACCTCTGTTTTCAGCGTAGGACCGGTAGAGGAAGCGAACGCCATCCCGCTGGTAGCTTCGCAAAAAGCGATTGATCGATGCTGGCACCGCGAAACCTGGTGCAAGCTCCAATGGATCAGTGTCTCGAAGCTCCGCTGGTACTGGAAATGCGGGTCGCTGGCCTTGCAAGTCGTCAATGGTTTTGTGCGAAAGTTTTGGCGCAGCGGACGTGCCTGCAGCCGTTGATGTTAATGATGGAGGTTTGACAGCGAGTGCTACTTCGTCTTCCTCCTCATCCTCGCTCGTCTGGCTGCCGGCAGCTATCGTGCTTGATTGCGTTATGGAAAACTGGCGCATCGAGCCGGCTCCATTGCCATTGAGGCCCAGGCTCAATGGTTGCTCCGGCTCATCCCCTGTGTCAGAGTCGTCTGGTGGAGGTCTATCAATCCGCGTAGACGAACCTCGATGCTCTACTTTGACTGACGACTTTATAGCAGCCGCTGAGCTTATCGGCTCACGTGTTGCGCACGAGAGCGGTAATACGAGCTCATCCTCCGACGAAGAGGACGAAGAGGAGGAGGAGGACGACAGTGATGTGGAAGAAGTCGAGCCAGTCTTCCTAGTAGCCGCATCAAGGCTAAGCGTGTTATCGACGTCCTTCTTGAGCGCTTGCGGGTGAGTTCGGGCTCCGAACGCAGTCGAAGGAGCCAAAGCACCGCCCTTGGACGTTTCAATGTAGTCGTCTGTAGCGGCAAAGCCCAGCAGAGCTCGTAGCGTCCCTCCGTGCGTGACAGATGTGGTGGAAGGAGGCTGCGGTCGTCGACGTTTGCGAGCCTTAGGAGCGTCTATGGTTCTTCGGAGCTCGCTGTAAAGCTCTTCATCGCTGGTATCTGGAAGGGTCGGAGGCGACGAAGAGCTAGCGTGGTTGGAACGCTTGTGCAGCATCGCGAACCTTGTCGCTGAACCCTGACCGTGGGCAGCATGCTCAGGTCCATGAGAGTCGAGTGACAAGAAGCTTTTGAACACGATGAGGCACATTCATGGTCATCTTCATGCGAGTGGAAAGGTGATCGACCGTGTTGCTGAGAGTCAAAGGTGCCGAAAGTGAATAGAGTCGACCCTCCTGTAAGTGTGTTGATGGAAGGAGGGACCACACGAAGGCTGAGCTGCAGGGTCCAGGTTGACACACGAAAATCCGCTTATCTAATCATGACACGCCCGTTCACTGGTATCGCCTCGAGCCCACTTTCCACGCTGACTATAAGTGAAAGTGGCTGGAGCAGCACAGTCTTATTCTCTAGGATCGTCGTTGCGCGATGCATGGCGGGATGACGGGCTGACAATGCATTACAAAGTCAAGGCGTGCGATAAGGATGAGAGGAACAATGCTGAACGTGCCAGGACCAATTTATGGGTGTAAGTTATTGCTCGGAAAAGAGAAGCAATACACGGCAAGCCACAAGGCAATGATGTCGAAAGCTGCAGAAGCAAAAGAAAGAACCTTTGTCGGACACGCTCTTTGGACAGCAGCATGCAGTCCGATTCTGGGCTCGACATGTGCCTTGTCTGCTTGAAGCTTCCCGCGCCTTTGTCTGCCGCCGACTGACAGAATCGAAATGAGATGTGGGCTCGTTCTGTCGTGCTTTTCGGCAGCAGCAGCAACACAAAGGACAGCCTGCAGTCGTGTCAGTGAGCAGCTGCTGTCCAAGGCATAAGAACCCAAGATTGCATTTGCATTGCTCTTGGTTGAGTGTGACCCGAAAGCTACAACGCTGCAACTTTCAGCGAGATTCTGAGGGCTTCGTCAAGCCCTAGAAAGGCGCAGGGGTCAAGAAGCTCCGACCTCTAACCTAGCCTGAAATGTCAGAATCGTAAGCCTTTTGGAGAGCGTTTCCGCGCATTCGGCTGAATTGCCAAGCCTCTTGCTCGCAGGAATCCCGAACACCTGAAACGCTGCGACCAAGTTGCTTCCTGCCGATCAATCTTCAGTCAAGCGTCGCTCCGAAGAAGCCGTAATCTAGCCCACTGATGTCTCTGCCGCCACTCAGCCATGGAACAAAGCCTTTCAGCAGGCTTAGACTATCTCTAAGGTGACGACGCCAGTCCATCTTCACAGCTTTTTCCGACAAGGCAAATGAGTCTGCTACTGTATGAATTGGTTTACCTCTTGTGCTGATGATGCTGCCGAGCGTCTCATAGCCATGAAGGGTGCTGAATTCCAAGGAGAGATACTGTGAACTACTGAACAGACAAACTGGATTGTTGCGATTTCCAAAGGCACATTTGACCGGTTCTGAGGAGGTGACGAAGTGAGATCCACAACACAGCAGCCAAAAACGAACTTGGAAGAACCTGCCTCGTCCATTTGTCAACGGCATTTCACATCCGCAGTATACACCAACATTTTCTGGCCGTCGACCCTTCTGCACTTCATTTCGGTTTGAAAGCCACTGAGCGGTGACGATCGTGTGGGTTGAACAAAGATTGTTCGATCTGATTGAAAGCTGAATGGGTTTCATAGGTTTCATAAGTTATGACATTTAGTGGCCACGCCGGCTGGGAGCCCAGGAGGGAAAAACTGTCGGTGGCCAAAGATAGCAAAAGCCAGGGTTCAGCTAAAGTTTGCGAAGATCCGGTAAACGAGGAGTTCACGATCACGCCGAGCTGGAACAAAAAAAGAAGGCGAGGGGAAGCGCGGAAATTTGGAGTGATACACAGAGGGGGGCCAAGGGCCAAGATGGGCAAGCCTGCTGTGGACCTCTGTGTCTCGAACCTACTATCCACGCATTCATTTTGTTCTCGGCCATTTGGCGCTTCTCGGAAGCAACAGGAAGCAAGAAACAGTAAGCAAGAAGCAGTAAGCAAGAAAGGGGAAACAAGAAGAAAGAAAAAGGTTGCTGCTTGAATTCATAATAAATGCAGTCTGAGTGAAGCTTGAGTTTGCGTGTGGCCGCTGCGCGCGTCTGCGAAAAGAAAGCATCAACTAAACGGCTCGCGGTTGCCGGCCCGACAGCCTCTCTGATTTGCTTTGAGGTGAGGCATATGGCCTTGCAACTTAGCCAACCCTAGGGCCTTTCCTTCAAGTTCTCGCTTGTGAGCCTGTGCGCTCTGTCTCTCCCTGTGTGTTGCTCTGCGCATTTCCAGCAAATTCGCTCTGGATATCCAGCCCAAACTCGCCTGTTTTGAGCCCCTGCGTTCCCCCCCTTCTCTGCCGTTCTCTGGGTTTGCCTTGTCTGTCTGCCTCGAAGTGTAGAGTTGAGCGAGCGACAATCCGTCAACTCTGTCTCGCTCTTTTCCTCTCCCCTTGCTCAAACTGACACTGCCCATTTACCCCTTCACTGTTGGTCTCCCCCTCTCCCCCTCTCTGCCGCTTTGTGCCTTCTCCCCTGCCAGAGTATATATCCCTCACTTCCTCCGTGCATCCATCCGTCCAACGTACCCACACATCCCTCACCTCATTCATCTCTGCTTTGCATTTACACCCACCCTCTCCCTCATCTAATTAACCCCTTCATATCCAACAAAATGGTCAAGATCGCTACCACCGCCGCCGCTGGTGCCCTCGTCCTCGCCGCCTCCGCTGCTGCCCAGGCCACCGTAAACACTCCCCCCTCGATCACTCAGTGCCAGCCCGCCGCTCTCCAGTGGGCCAGTGCTACTGGTACCGTCCGTCTCGCTGTCCTCCCCGCTGGCGAGGTTTCGGCTGCCCCCATCGCCCAACTCCCTGACCAGACTGGCGCTTCCGGCAGCTTCGTCTGGACCGTCAACATCCCCTCGGGCACCAACATCACCATTACTATCAACGATGGCTCTGGTGTTGCCAACTACGCTTCTCCCCTTGTTGTCCTCCCCTCTTCGGACAGCTCGTGCTTGAACGCCGCTGCCTCTGGCTCCAGCTCTGCTGCCGCTGGTGGTGCCGTCTCTTCGACCTCTACTTCCTCGCCGTCGGCTGCTTCTGCCACCTCGCGTGCTTCCTCGGCCGCCTCCTCCGTCTCCTCTGCCGCCTCCTCTGCCGTCTCCTCTGCCGCCTCTGCCGCCTCCTCCGCCTCGTCGCGTACCTCCAGCGCCGGCTCTCCCGCTCAGACCAGCGCCGCCCCTAACGCCGCCGCCGCCGCCTTCTCCCCCTCCACCGCTGGTCTCTCGGTCCTCGCCATCGCCGGTGCCATCCTTCCCTTCCTTTAAATGACTTCCCTAGCTTCTCGCTTTGAAGCTTGGACGACCATCTTGCTCCCTCAGCCCCCTCCTACTGGGCTTTCTGAGGATGTAAGCTGGTATTCGTAGGCGGACTCAGCAGCAGCGCTTTTACCCAAATCATTCCTTTTTGCTGTCCTGCTGGGTTCGTCTCTTCCTTGCCTTCGCTTTCTTTCATCTACACCATATTGTCTGTCAATATTAGTTTCTGAAACCTCACATTCATTCACACTTATTTTGACATTGCCTCATCCGAACTTTCCCATCGCGGGAGTTGGGTCTGCACATGCTCTTTCTTTTGGCCTGCAATACCATCATGAACTTTTTCTTTTGAACATTCCCGAACCTTGTATTTGTTTGATTGTCCAAGCCATGACATTGTGATGCGACTTTTCACTGGACGCAGATAGGCGGCATGGAGTGGAGATCATACACGGGGCAAGCATGCATCGAGGTTGAGCAAGTCGACGACCTCTTTGGTAGGACGAAGAGTTTGGCGACGAAAAGCTGCGCCGCCGACACGCCGCAGGGGCCACCTCGTTCCATTCAAAATGACCACTCATCTGAGACTACTCCCTTCTTTCTCAAGATTTGACCCCTTTCAGCATAGGGATTTTCGCGATTTTCGATTTGAATCCATTTCTGCCTTGCCTGTATCGATTGGAATCTTGGCCTTGCCGCGCGCTGGTGTGTGTTTCACTCTGTCCAGTTCTACGAGACGCGAGGTTCGTGAGGCTGTGCAATTACCAACCGAAGATCAGGCAGCCTTCTGTTTTGACCCTTGATCGGCTGTCGTTTCGCCACTTGTTGGTAAATCATATCCGCCGTGGGATGGCGTAATCCTGCCGCCCGTTCTTGAATCTCTTGGTCTCAACAGGGCTGCAAGAACATGTACGTTTCGATCTTGTGCAGCAGTTGGGTCCGTCCTCACTCCGCGCTAACTAAACGACTTATCCTTCTCCATCTTCATCAACCCGCCAGCGGAGGCGGTAAGGCGAGATGAAGTGTGGGTGCTGATCGAACTGACAAGCGCTCTCTTGGCGAGCTCTTTCCATGAGTGTGGGCTTAGTAGAGAGAAGAGTTGGAGAGAGTGTGGGCTGGAACCTAGATTTACCCTGCCGAGGAGGACGGTGACCGGTCAGTTCTTCGCGAGGACCCTTCAGCCAAGCTCATCTGCTGGCCGATGCTTCTCTCATCGGGTCTCTTGCACGCACAAGATGTCCTCTATATCCACCCATGCAAAAGGCTGAAGCGCTGCTTGATTCGAGACATACGAAGCTGTCCGAATGCCGCGAACGCATGATCACCCTTTGCGCAGCTTGACACCAGACAAGGGTCCACCGAGCTTGAAACCGTCGGCATGACAATAGGTGTGCTTCCTACTTGCCCTCCTTCACCACCTGACCTTTTTCAATTGACGAGGTTCACCACTAGTAGACGTTGTGTCCGCCGGATAAGCCCTTCGTGACAACCGGCTGTGCCTCCCATGTCTCGGTCAAATGGGTCTCCAGACATCGTCCGTAACAATGCATGCACAGCTTTATCCAACTACCTGACCGGTCAATTTCAAGTGCGAGGTCACAATGCTGTGCAGCACCACAAGGCCTTCTCGCATGCATCCTTTTTTGTGGGTGTCAGATGGCTAGCATGAACGGGTCGAAGTTGGAGCGTCGCCAGCTTGATACCTAGGGGGACACCAAGACAGAATGGCACCTAGACTACAAGCTCGGCTCTTGAGATCTGCTCTATCGGATCTTCGCCCGATCCACTGAACAGAGTCGCGTGTCGTCTGGACCAAACCATTCTTCCCCAACCGACTCGAAGCGACTCTTCCTGCCCCAACGTCCTTTCAGATAGTAGCTCACCTTCCACCTGGCTGTTAGTTTCGTTGATCTTCCGATCTCAAAGACGATTGTGATACCCTTTGATCCGTGCGGTATGAGCCGTTTGCAGCGTTCGGGTATGTGCAGTCGAGAGATAGAGGCTGCATTGAGTTGCGTAAAAGTACAATAGTCGGAATACATGGAGCTGAAAGGTGTCGTGAAAATGGCCACGCTGAGATATGTGATCTTGGGTGTAGGATGAGAGTACGTCTGGATCGTGCAGGGCGGCAGAGATCTCCCGTGAATCTTGTGAGGCGGCTGAAAGGTCAAAAGCGGTCATTATGCTTTATTCCCGATAGATCACGGGCGAGTTGCTCGAGATGCGGAAGTTGAGATAGGCGACAGGTCCGCAGCTTAGCGATCCTGTTCGTTGGCAACGTCCTCGCAAGCGTCGATCCATAGAGAATATACATCGATCGGCTGATCCAGAGGACTTGTGTCGGCAGAGAATTTCTGGCCGCAGACCTTGCATGAGAGGTAGCCGATCCTTGCTTTGTCGTCACTGTTTCAAGGTCGTGCACAACGTATCGGATATGAGAATGAGGTGTCAGGAGACATCATCATCCGACTTCAAGCTGCTCTACTCGCCACAACATATATGGACTCACATCTTGCATGAGACAGCTTTCTCATGGTTGCAGAATAGACATGTGAAGACGGTATCTGCAGAAGCGAAGATCGAAGTAGGGCAGGCGTGTCAACGCGACTACGGACTTGATCGTGGTCAGGCGAGGTGCTGGTGGGACGGCGCATGTGGACTTACCAAGCGGAGCCGGCTTCTTGGCGCCTCCCGGCTTCTTGCTGGATGACTTGCGTTTTCCCATGGCTGCGGATCACTAGGTTGTGGCGGCTGTGGGAAGCTGTGGTAAGAAAAGCAAATGAGAGTGTGCGGAGAGAGTGTCAAAATGTCAATGATGTCGCGAGAACCCTGCTCCACACTTACTTTGCCCGATTCCCGAGCTTTGACCCAGGAGCTGGCTTTGTAAGCATGTAATAATAATTCATTTTTGGGAAGATATGCAGCTGAGTTCTCAAAAGCTTCTTGAACTTTCAGACCCTGAATTTATGGCTTTATCCAGCTGGATAGCACACCACCACAACAAACGAGCAGACCAACATCATGCCCGTACCAACGAGTCTCGACAGGGCTCCAGCCAGCACATCAGCTGCAAAGAACATCTGGACCGCTGCAGGAGAAGGCGATCTTGAGCGTGTCAAGGAATGCGTTGACCGCGAAGGTGTCTCGCCAACGGCAGCGGATGAGTTCACATACACACCGCTACACGCCGCCGCGTCATATGGGCATCTCAATATTCTCCGCTACCTTCTCAGTCACTCATCAGCACCCTCTAATGCTGTGAACACGACCGATTCGGACCTCGACACCCCCCTCTTTGTCTGCGAAACCGTCGAAACAGCTCGCTGTCTAATCGAAGAGTTTCAAGCCGATGTCAAGCACAAGAACTCCGAAGGTCTCACAGCGGCACAACAAGCACTCGAAAACGAGCACGAAGATCTGGCGCGGTACATCGCCTCCGTCACCGGCGAGTCGCTCGATCAGCAGGATGAAGAGAACAACGATGAGGAGGTGGACGAAGACGAGAACGGCGTTCAACGATCACAATCAACAGAGTTGACTGCGGAAGAGCAAGTGGCAGAAGACGAGAGGCTCGATGCACAGACAGATCAGCTCATGGCAAGAGTTGGCGAGATCATGACTCGTGCAGAGCGCGAGGGTTTCGATCCAGAGGACGAGCTGCGTACGCTAGTCAGCGAGTCGGTTCTCCGTCAAATTGTCGAAGGAATGAATCAACAACCCAGCTTGACGAATCCCGCTGACTCGACTTAAGCTCAATCAACCGTCTCAACCATGAAAGCGTCCCTGAGGTCTGCTGAAGTGGTCATCAATATACCAGTGCATTGGAGCACCTTCTATACTCAACACTATCACACACAATACACTGCCACTGCGAAACCGTACTTGCATTACTTGCCCTGGAGAAAATCCAGCTGGTAGATGCCAGAAAGAGTGTGGATATCAAATGAGAAGGACTAGGCAGTCACAGGTTCTATTGAAGGGCTGAGGAGCCTCTAAGTCTACAGCCGAGAAGCAGGCGGTACGTGGACATTTGGGCATAGCACAGCTAGGCCGAATCGCTACTTTGCCCGTGACGGGACGACACGGATTGTATCATAAAGATCGGCGAGGAAGACCCACTTGCTCTGTATGCTCGCAATACTGCGCTAATCCGCGCTCGAGGTCATAGGACACAGACCTATTCGATATATTCGAAAAACGTGGAGCAGCCTCTCCAAATGACTCTCGTCTGATACTCATCTCGAATCCATCCGTCAACGTCGGCGACTCAGGTCTGCTAGCATGCGACTCGCGTTGCCTTCTCTGCCCTGCTGCGAAAGTGTTTGCTGATGAGATTGAGACTCCTGAGCTCGTCCGATGTGTTTGTACGAAGCTCGACGCTATTGAGGGATTCGAGGTTCGGTGGGTTTCGAAAAGGCCATGGATGCTGCGTTGTTCGCTAAGCTCTTGAGTCAATTCCGCCTGCTTTCCGGACGCCGTGGACCGTCTCTGGCTGCTCGCGGCTGGCGCGCCCGAGGTCCTCTTTGAACTATCACCCCGTGTCGCGGTGAGCGCTTCGACAGCACAAAAGGCGTACACTTGCTCGGGGACCACGGGTTCTTCAGCTCGGACGCTCTCAACGAGCTTCCGAGTCATCGTAGGTGAGCTTAGAAAACTCCAGATGCCGCGTCTTTGTTTCAGTTTCGGAGCCACCGGACCTTGGCACTTCAAAGCTTCCGATTTGGCCGAAAGAAGATCCCCTGTGCCTACTCGGGTGTGGATTGAGTGTGTCCTCTCCAGCTCCTTGATGCTGACCGAGCTGACTTGAGATAGGGAGCTATGAGGTTTCGAGTCATCGACACCAAAGCTTAGAGTCGGGGCTTTGCTGTCAGGGATTGTCCGACCTTTGGGCTTACCTATTCGTAAGGCACGCTTCGTGAGCTTTTCGAGCGTGGATCGCGTGGAGGTAAAAAGCGACTCGTCTTCCGCAACATCAATACTGAGCGCAGGGTCGAAAGAGCGCCAAAAGATGAGGGAGACAACGAGAAAGCCAAAGATGATGATTGGGTATGTTGCCGTCAACGCGGCGACAACAGAGTTGATGGCAATTGTGTTGTTACGTGCACTGCCGTAGCAGTGTGCTGCTAGGACCATGGAAGAGCCGAAGAAACATAGGATGGCAAAACAAACGCCGCAATATTGAATGCCGATGTTCCTGTAGACCCTTCCGAGAATGTGGATCCGACGCTGCTCCAGGGTTCGATATTGGGACGGGCGCGACGGCAACGTTACGGATGCCATCTTCATCGGCGGGAACACGCGACTGGAGGAGGTGCTGGTCGTGTCATTTCGCTCGTCGATTTCCAACAAGTCATTACTACCCTCTGATGACTTTTGAAGGCCGTCTTCCGTCTCTTTCAGCTCATCGCCAGACTGTTGCATATCGTCGCAAAGAAATCTCGTTTGAGCCGCGTGAACATCCGGCGTCGATTGGAAGCCATTCTTGCTGCCCTGTCCCGACCTTTCTTGGAAGGTAGGCTCCTGAATACAAATGACTGGTGGCCGTGAAGAAAAGAAGGGATCGGTAGCCTTGTCCTTCCTTTTGGCCAGTTGAAGCTGTGAACGAATGCGAGACAAGGTGTGCGCGCCGAGGGGCAAATAAGTGAGAAGGCAGATGGCAGCCCAACAGCACCAGCAAGTCATCGCAATTCCGTAGTACCAGAACGACTTGGTCACAGCGAGCCAGAGATCAAGTGCCTGTGCAAGTAGCATAGTGAATGTGGCGTCCGTGATTCTGCCTTTCTCGGCGACATCGACGGCTTGTCTCCATGCATCAAAATCGTCGAGTGTCTTGTTGTAAGTCCGTGCTGCCAGGATGGCAAGAGGAAGGATCGTACTGAATTGTATCGCCGGCACAAACCAGCAAGCGATGTTGAAGGTCATGGGATTCAGGATGAGACGCCTTTGCCGTCGACTTTTCCTTTCGTACCTCAAAGCATCTGGGAAGGCACTGAGAATGCCGAAGCCGGACCACCAACCACCTAGCCACAGAGGGGTCCAGATCAAGATTCTCCAAAGAAAGTAGCCCTTCTGGAACTTCGGGTTGCCGTGATAATACTCTACACTGACAAAGACATGAGAGATCCAGAGGCATGCGAAGCAGAATAGGCATGTAAGAAAGGCGATGACGGAGTTTGGAATGATGAAAATACCCCCTGCAACCGGCCAGATCTTGAGGAACCATAGGCGGCCATGAATGAGCCGGTGTAGCACGACAATCGAAGATGGGATGATCCAGAAGGTGATGATAGCCGAGCTGATATAAAGCTGCGTGCTGAAGCTATCGTCAACGTGTGGGTAATACAGCCGAGTGACGAAATCAAGCAGCCGAGCCATGTCGACATTGTTGTCGCCTGTACGTGGTGGTAGCAAGTCCAGTGGCAGGGCTTTATTGAACGATCTGATCATCCTGAATATTTGTTCAGCTGGTGATTGAGCAGAGTGCGGACCGTCTAAAGGAGTGTAATGCTCTGCACAGGGAGTGAGAGACTTCTGGAACTCTTTGCAAGATTGTGACCGAAACGGTCGGGTTCTTCGATGTGTCACAAAGCAATCGAATGGCGAGAGACCTCTATGAAGTCGAACCGATGGGTTGACGTCTGAGTGAGAGGTGTCGAGATGACCGCTTGAAGTCCACCCTGGAAAATTTTGGGAAGGTAGAGCCAGAGATGACAGAAATGGTGAGGCGATGGGAAGGCGGACAAAAGATTGTGGCAGATATGTTCGGTTTTCAACCAGGTCACGAGTTCGGATGGATGGCGGTAGATGGATGGTGACCTGTCGACTCAGAAGATTGTCAGACCGTATTCTAGGGCATCATGGCCGTATCAATTACCGACCGCAGCGATGAGTCGGAGACAACGCGGGGACCTCGTGCTACTACCCGCATCAAGTCGGTATCCGTGGCAGACAAGGCGATAGTGCTTAGCAAGCGGAGCTGTGCGGGTCCGAGCTCTGCTTTCGGAAGCTTCTTAGCGGGCTTGGAAGCTTTTTCTGGACCATACCTGCCATCAGAGGCGCCAGAGAAACTCTAAAGTACCTTGCAAAGAGTTCGTGAAGAAGAAGCGCCTTCTGCATGTCCTACGGGCGTCTGAGCCCCTATGCCGTCGGATCGTGTAGCAAGGAACAATGGAGCAAGTTGCGAAAGGACCACTCTCGGCTCGTGCACATGGAATCCTGTCCTTGTTCTCGTCGAAAGCAACAGCTGAATCGAGATGCCCGAGCGTGGAAAGACAATGGTGAAAGTCACAGAGCTCAGCTATCGCAAGAAGCTAGAGCCGGTACGTGAGCAGTGGCCAGAGACTTGAATGGGTCAATGAGTTCCGAAGTGAAGCACGCACACGCTCCCTCTGAGTCTAGGTTACAGTAGATGTGCAAGGAAGTGCAAAGATCTGCTTCCTTTTCTGATAAAGTCACGCTGTTGACACGTCGAAGAGCGCACTGGCCTCGGCAGGCATCTCCAACAATAGCTCTAGACAAAAGCTGTGAGCAGGACCTTTTCAACCTAAAGTGCGCAGAAGAGGTGGCTTTGCTGATCTCGATGACCTCGCGGCCCGAGCATTTCTGGAACCATGCAGTGGACCGTGGACCGAGTGAAATCATATGACCTCTCCTCTTCGCTCTAACATGTCCGCCCACCTCGCTCATCATCGTCATTCATCATCACCCACCAACACTCCTCGCCCCTATTGTGATTGCATACGATCATACATGTCATCTCATTCCACATACGTACATAAAGCCCATCAGTAGAAGCATATATACCTAGCATTGCTTTGTAACTAGTCTTCTCCTAATGAATAATGAATTCGCCATCCTCTTTAACGCTACTCGATTGTGCATTCCTCAACATTTCCTACCAATAACAATTGATATCCGCTTTACCGCTCCTCGCTTGTGCATTCCTCAACATCGGCGACCCAAAGCCGAGAAACCGGGAAAGCTCAGCTTCAAACCACCATTGTCTCATTGCGGTCGCTGCCTATTCGGAACCAGGAGTAACACACTTTTCACAGGCCATTGTCGGCACAGCACTTATTACGAACAAGACAAACAGTTGGATGCTGCTAATACTTTTGATTTTACACATCTGAGCGCAAATGCGTTTCTAGTTGTGCTCGCTGTCCAGACAATGTGGTGAGGCGATGAAGAGATGGAAGTATGAAACCTCACGGGCGGATCCGAGCGTCGCATGAGAGAGAGCTAAGATGAGCAAAGTGCTGAAAGAGACTGGAACGATTAGGAGTGTAGTAATGTACGTTTAGAGCTCGTCGTGGCCGTAGTTGAGGGGCTCATCGTCGCCACCAGCACTGCCAGCACTGCCAGCACCGCCAGCACCCTGGTAGATCTTAGCAGTGATAGGAGCAACGGCAGCCTGGAGCTCGCTGAGCTGCTCCTCAATGTCGGAGCCCTCAGCAGTCTGGCTGTTCTCGTCGAGCCATGCCTCAGCGTCCTTGAGACTCTGCTTGATAGATTCCTTGTCCTCCTTGTCGAGCTTACCACCTAGACCCTCCTTGTCGCTGAGCTGGCCTCGGAGCGAAGCGATGAAGTTCTGGAGGTTGTTGAGAGCCTCGATGCGCTTACGAACAGCCTCATCCTGCTCGGCGAACTCTTCAGCCTCGGCGACCATGCGCTCAATCTCCTCTGTGGTGAGACGGCCCTTGTCGTTCTCGATGGTGATCGACTCGGACTTGCCGGTACCCTTGTCAGCTGCGGCAACCTTCATGATTCCGTTCGCATCGAGCTCGAAAGTGACTTCGATCTGAGGAGTACCACGAGGAGCAGGAGGAATGCCGGTAAGCTCGAACTTGCCGAGCAAGTTGTTGTCCTTGGTCATGGATCGCTCACCCTCGAAGACCTGGATGAGGACGGTGTTCTGGTTGTCGGCGGCAGTCGAGAAGATCTGCGACTTCTTGGTTGGGACAACAGTGTTACGGGGGATGAGCTTGGTCATGACACCACCGTTAGTCTCAATACCAAGGGTAAGAGGGTTGACGTCGATCAAGACGACATCACCGAGCGACTCGTCGCCGGCAAGAACACCACCCTGGACGGCGGCACCCCAGGCAACAGCCTCATCGGGGTTGATACCCTTGGAGGGCTCACGACCGAAGTACTCCTTGAGCATGGCCTGGACCTTGGGGATACGGGTGGAACCACCGACCAGAACAACATCGTCGATCTCATCCTTCTTGACACCGGCGTCCTTGAGCACCTGCTCGACGGGCTTCATGGTCTTGCGGAAGAGGTCCATGTTGAGCTCCTCGAACTTAGCACGGGTAAGAGTCTCGTCAAGGTCGTTGCCCTCGAAGAAACCGTCGATTTCGATCTTGGTCGACATTTGGCTCGAAAGAGTACGCTTGGCACGCTCAACCTCACGCTTCAACTTGCCGACAGATCGTTTGTTGACGGAGGCATCAAGACCGGTCTTCTTCTTGAACTGCTTGAGAATGTAGTCGGAAACACGGTTGTCAAAGTCCTCACCACCAAGGTGAGTGTCACCAGCGGTTGCAAGCACCTCGAAGACACCAGAGTCAATCGAGAGGAGCGAAACATCGAAGGTACCTCCACCAAGATCGTAGACGATGATCTGAGACTCGCCATCCTTCTTGTCAAGACCGTAAGCGATAGCGGCAGCGGTAGGCTCGTTAACGATACGGAGAACGTTAAGGCCGGCGATGGTACCAGCGTCCTTGGTGGCCTGTCGCTGAGCGTCGTTGAAGTAAGCGGGGACGGTGACAACGGCGTGGGTGACCTTGTGACCAAGGTAGGCCTCGGCGGTCTCCTTCATCTTCTGAAGGACCATGGCAGAGACCTCCTCAGGAGTGAAGACCTTCTTTTCACCGTTGACGGTAACCTGAATGGCGGGTTTGCCCTTCTTCTCAACGAGCTTGAAGGGAAGGTGCCTGGCGTCCTTCTTGAGATCGGACTCGCCCCACTTGCGACCAATGAGACGCTTGGCGTCAAAGATGGTGTTTTCGGGGTTCTGGGCGGCCTGGTTCTTGGCGGCGTCTCCGACAAGACGCTCGGGAGCGAAGGCGACGTACGAGGGGGTGATTCGGTTACCTTGGTCGTTGGTGATGATTTCAACGCGGCCGTTGACCTGAGCACCAACACACGAGTAGGTAGTTCCGAGATCGATACCAATGACAGTTCCGTATTCGCTGCGCTTGTCAGCAGCAGCGGAGACACCCATGCCGCCAGCTGAAGAGCCAGGGGCCATGAAAGCGGAGAAAGTGAGGAGAGCGAGGATGGCCATAAGGATGGTCATGAAAGCGGGACGAGAGATGCCGGTGGCACGAGCAGCCTTGCGGCGCTGTGCCAGCGCAGTTGTGCGACTGGCGGTAACCATATTTGCTTCTACTTCCGACTGTGACGGTCGAACCGAGTGAGAGAGGATGAGGTCAGAGACTGGACAAATGCTTTTTGCAGGACGTGAGGATGCCACGGGTATCAATGCGAGGGGTAGCAGCCGACGTCGCAGTCAAGAGGGGCAAGTCGAGAGCTTCGCACAGCAAAGGGTCAAGCTTGTCTCGAGATAGCGCAGCGAATGGGTATGTTGGCGATGTCGCTGGGGGGAACAGAAAGATGCAATGTTCTGATGGGAATTGGAGACGGGAAGAAGGAGACACTTACGAGGCTCGGTAGTATATATCTTGAGGGGATGGTTGATGGTGAGAGTCGAAGGAGATGAGGAAGAGAGCTGGAAGCTGACCTTGAATGGGCGCTGAGCTGACACGCGGGATGAGCTGGAAGGTTCTGTTGGTTTGAGTCGTTGTCGACGTGGACCTGCACACACTCACACAAGAGGCGGCGGGCACAAGAGGACACAGTGCGTTGTGTTGCATTTCGCCCATCTTCTTCTTCGGCCAATAACCGCTGTTTGTTTCCAGCTCACCACTTCCCCCGGTCTGTGCGGTGTTCCCTTTTTCGCTTGCCTTTCTGCCACTGCCAAATACAATTAGAGAATTGATTTGCTCGCTGTCTCTCGTCTAGAATTTCCTTAGCCTTCTTTTCCACGCCAGCACACAATTCATCAGCAGCAGCAGCACAGGTGGCAGCTCAGCGTTCCAACTCAGCTCAGCCCACCGGATCGCCGTTTTCTCAAATCGACTGCACAACCTCAATATCTCTCATCGCGTCAGCACAAAGCGATGATATCCTCGGTTCCAGATCATCAAAGGCTGATTGGATCGCTGGAGAGAAGACGAGAGCATCGTACGGGAGAAGAGAGGTGTTAACCCGTTGTGAGACACGCTTGTGTGCCTCTTCCCGAAAGGGACACGGCGGGAAATCAACGCCCTTTTCTTCCAAAAGGGACGTGACGTGGAAGCTTTGAGACGCTCAAAAAGTCAAAATTAAGCTCTGCTTCTCGGATCCGGATCAGATCGTCGATGTGAAAATCCCGATTTCTCCTCTATCTCACTACAGCGTCTCTTGCGTAGTGCTGTGGGCCAAACGCTCTCGCCAGGGACCCTTGGAGTTATTTCGACACATCTGAAGGTGTCTTGATGCAGCAAGAGCCTGCTCAAGACGCAGACACGAAGGATGGGAACGAAACTGATATTACAATGATGAAGGTACATTCATATGACGGCTCGCACCCGTTTGGCACCGGCGCCTGCACCGGCCCTTCGCTTCTTGAAGAGACCTCCGCCTGCTCCGCTGCTGGTATCTCTTTCTTCCTTGACAGATTCTGACACTTTCGCATCGTCCTGTCGTTCCTCCTCTTTGACCGCTGCACTGACTCGGCCTGGAGCTGTTACAGCAGAATCCGGCTCCGTGCTCGATGATGGGGCTGTTGAAGCATCCGGCTCAGTCTTGACCGTACCAGAGTCACCAACTTCTTCTTCTTTCTTGACATTTGAGGCACTTGAAAGTAACCCTGACGCTGCTTTCACCGAAGTAGTGCCTGTGCGTGGCTTCTTCTTGGTTCGAATGACACTGCGCGCCGGATCATTCTCATCGTCGCTGTCGTCGATTCGAGCGACTTTCTCTTTGACACGGAACGACCTTGCCCTTTCACGGTCCGAAGTCTCTGTCCCAAACGACGTTGATGCAGTGAGCTGGTGCTGATATGCTTGCGCTGGCTCCACTTGCTCCCACTCTCCCGCCTGAGCGACCGGCTGTAGCGCTTCCTCTTTCGGCTCCCCCGCCGACTTTGCGCTATGACGATTCTGTGCCTGCGGAGGCTTCGAGCGAGCGGGCGCTGTCGACGTCGATGATGAAGCGGCAGTCGTTGTCGGTTTCGTGGTCGAGATCCGGGCTGTCAAACCGTCTCCAGCTTGATCCTTAGCATAGCTCGCTGCCGCTAGCGCTTCAATTCGCTCCATCTCTTTTCTTGTCTGTTCGGCAACCTTGCGTTCCTGCTCGCCTTTGCGGTAGAGATCTTGAAGTGTCTTCTCCTTGTTCTGCTTGTGTCTCAAGCCCGACTCGTGGTGCCGCCTCGAGGCGAGGTCGTCGTTGATCGTGACATCGCAGTACTTGCACGTCCATTTCTTGCGAGAGATCCAAACGTCCGCCATTTCGAATGAATGAGCTTGACTTGGAGAGGGCTCTACGATAACGACAACAGCTAACTCTCGACTTCTGATGGGCAGTGTGGCGCTGTCACAAGAGGTTCTGTGATGCAAGAGATAAAGCGCCGTGAAGCAAAGAGTTGATGTGGAGGAAAAGTGGAAAAAATTCACCGTTCAAAACCGCGAGGTGACAGATCTGAACCACATGCACCCAGCTCGGATGTTGGTTAAAAGATGAGAAGCAGTTGGACCCTGCGCAAAACCTGAGAAGAAGAGGGAGGAATGCAGCCTGTCAAAGGTCACCAACATGCTGCTGAGCATCCAGCGACGACAAGTTGCGGACCGCATTCGCCTCTTCCGCGATCAATAGAGACCTTCTTGGCCGCGACTCTCATCTTCTTGCTTTCCTCAAGCCAGCAACGCCTTAAATCGCCTCCATAAAGACCTCGTCAACGTGCCGTCCCGGTCATAGACAGCGACAATGAAGAAAGATCCATTTTCCTCGCCCGCAAGCAACCCGTCGCTGCTTCGACGTCTCAGCCAATTTGTCCAGCCAGGCCAGCCGTCTGCGTTCCAGTCTAGATCAAGGGGCCCATCTGAGACGCCTCTTACTCCACTCGCAACCTTACCAAGAGACGATGTCTTGGTCAAGTCGATATGGCTCGACTGCGATCCTGGACACGACGATGCTATGGCACTGCTGATGGCACTTCATCATCCCAACTTGGAGCTGCTTGGAGTCTCCACTGTAGCTGGCAATGCGGGTGGTCGCGACACGTTCCTCAATGCGGTCCGTCTCATGGCGCTGTATCGAGCCGACCCATCCATCCCGGTCATTCGTGGTTCCGACTGTCCCTTGGTCAAGGAAGTCAAGGTCGACGTTGGCATTCATGGACAAGGCGGTCTCGGCGGTGTTCAGGGCCTGCCTTCGCTATCCTCGCCTCTTTGCCAGCCTTGGCTTCATCCCGCTCATCCAAAAACAAGCTCGCCAACAACTGGACCGGAGCCTTCACTCTTTCTATACACGCTCTCCACCATCCTCACCGAGCGTCTAAATGCAGGCAAGCCTCCAATTCATCTCGCTGTCACGGGTCCAATGACCAACGTCGCGCTCTTCATTCGATGCTACCCGCATCTCATTCGAGGTATCGAGCAGATCGTGCTCATGGGCGGAGCTGCTGGTGTTCGCGGAAACCGAGGGCCTCTCGCCGAGTTCAACATCCTCAACGACCCCGAAGCGGCTTCCATCGTCTTCAACACCGACATCAAGGTCGTCATGGCAGGTCTCAATGTCACCCATCAAGCTATCTTCACTGCTGAGCTCCACGACAGATTGCTCTCCGGCAGAGTGCGATCGCCAGCATCTCGCAGACAATCCAGAGCCATGCTCAGCCCCACTTCGCCCATACAGTCACCAGCAGCTTCGCCTGTCGCTACCACATCAGACCTGTCAGTGTCAAGTCAGTCCGGACCTAGCAATCTGAAGCGAATATTGAGCTCAACGCTCACTTTCTTTGCGAAGACGTATGCATCTGAATTCGGCTTCACTAAAGGTCCACCTGTCCACGACATGCTTGCTATCGCCTACATCATCGACCCGACTCTGTTTTACCGCAGAGTGCCTTCGCCTGGTGACATACCCAATCTGGCCATGTTTGATCCTGATCCGCACAGCAACAAGGAAACCAAGACAGCTTCTACATCGGCTCGATCTCAGGCTGGTGTCGAAAAATCGCCAGGGTTACAGGATGGCAACTCATCGGAACTCGAGCCATCTAGCGTCGGTGGGAGCAGTGGAGAGATAAGTGGTGTATCAGACGCCGCACCGAGCGCGACTGACGGCGCAGCTGCTTTGCAGGGCATACCACCAAAACGATACCGCGTCGATGTGGAATGCAGTGATGGTCTTGCATGTGGTGCTACAGTTGTTGACTTTTGGGGTGACCGTGTTGAACACGATGGCTGGGGAAGAGGAGGAAAGAATGTAGAGGTACTAGAGAACCTAGACTGTCCAAGAATGTGGGACATCTTCTTCCAAGTGGTTGCACGGGCAGAAGCACACATTGCGAATAGCGCCCCTGTTCGAGAAGCTCCAGCAGCGAGTCACGATGGTGTTGATGGTCACTCTGGTCCAAGCTCGCCAGCGCGGTCCCCAAACAAGGCATTTGGCAACCTACGTTTGGATACCGAACCAACTTCGACCACCGCTGCTCAGACCTGAGGGGCCAATCCGTCTCACTACGTCCACTCGCGCTCCAAGCATTCGTTTTCATATACATCCTATGCTACTGAAATCATGCGGTAGTGCGAAGCATCATCATGTCGTTGAATCAGTCTGAGTAGTGCGAGTCTGCATCAGCCGGCAGAAGCAGAGTGTTGAGAACCGCAGCAAGACGCAGACCTGCCTTTGCGAGTTGCTTGTGAATGACCCTGTCGCTGTTGGTTGCAATGCCAGTGAGAAAGGGGTGTTAGCATCTTGGCATCGTTCGACATCATGACTCTCATATCGGATACTTACCGTTCGATACGACCAACGTATTCAGGCACGTCCAGTTCAGGTTCCGGCACCGGTGTCGGGGGAGGAGTGTGTCCGCCCTCCGCAGAGTTGCGAGGAGGAGCTGACTCCCACGCAGGCACTGGTGATGCGAACGCATAGTCGCATACCAAAGAGTGCATAGGCTTGGTCCACTCATACGGACAAATTGGCAGATCCGTATCATCGGCCGAGCGTGGGTCCTTAATGTGGGTGGCAAAGACTAATTGCTCTCCGTCTTGCAGCAACGGATCCACTCGCTGTCCGTGACGCTCACAGGCAGACCAGCCATTTGACTCTTGCTTCCACCAACCAGCTTGAGACTGACCACGCATCGAAGGCTGACCCAAGCCCTCCTTGAGAATCTGTCGAATCAAAGGGTCGTATCTCGCTCCGACGAGCGCACTTTCAATGCGACCTGAAGGGAAACGCGTTGTGTAGTTGGACAGCTCGCGAATCTGCTTTTGAATAAGCAAAGTATCCCACACCGTATGCAGACGGGCTTTTCTACCCTCGAATTGCACCCAGATGTCATTCCCACCCCGAGCTCGTCCTGTGAGATGAAGTGGTTGATGCGCATCACCGAACAGATGAACCATGAATCGCAATGCCATGTCCCGTTCCCATCCTGATTCGGTCACCACTCGTGAAGTGTAGTTGACGAGAGAAGCAAGCACATTGTTGTCCGAAGTCCAGCCGGTCTCGCCGTAGAAGCATTTGCTGGGTGGGTGGTCATCGATGGGGTTGACATAGTGAAGTTGACCGCTCCAGGGATACCGAGAGCGAATTGTGTCGGGCCATCCGGCTAAGACGGCAAGATGGCAGTGCGTGTTGGGACGGTTGCCATCGGACTTCGGCCAGTAGGATGGGTACTGAGTGGAGTTGGGCAAGATCGAGCAAAGCTGCTCTCGAACAGCAGGATGAAGCTGAGTCTGCGCGATGGTTGCCACGATTTGATGTCCTGCGATACCCCATGCGCTGACGGAAGGAAGGAGGAGAAGCAGCACCGCCGCAAGAGCGCGCAAGCTGCTAGACATCATTGTGACCTGTTCGAAAGGGGAAAGTGTTCTTGTGAGGAGAAGAGAGTTTAAGTTGGAGTAGCCATCAGACGTTGCGCTTGACTTTATGTGTCTCTTGCGCTTTCCAGACCGTGAGAGGTGAACCCTGCGCCGTTCACGCCACGCTCAGGGTCCAGTCCATAGTCATACACTGCTAAACTGTGCAACTCAGCTCAGCCGAGCTGTCAAATCACACACACACACTCTGACTTTCTTGACCTCCTGAATCCCGCTACGCGCTGCTGCGCTCAGCTGACGACTCACGTACCGGTTGAAGATTAGTCCATCGAGCGTTTGCCTCAATGTGGAGGAGAACAACACCAGCGACAGAATAAAACCTTGCCTTCGCTATGCAATGAAAGATGTCACTTTCCCACCCATAGACTCATCCTTGCCGGATCGTATCGCTGCAAATCGCTATTACCGACGACTTCCAGCTACCCTGCATCAGGTCGGTAAAGATGAGCGATACGGACATCGACAACGCCTCGTTGCCATCCGACGACGTGACTACCGCCGAATCACCGCAGACCCTCATCAAACGGCGACTCCCCTATGGCACGCTTCGCGCCAACGATCAAGATGAGCTCTTGACAACCGCCGTTGTCCTCCAGACCATACAGAGCTCGCACGGTCGCCATCACAGACTCGATCTATCCCATGCTTATCTTCAAGACGCCAAAGCCAACAAGGTTCTCGACGTATTGCGTGAACGGTCCTCCAGTCCCGGAATCAACGATCATCTACTTTTCCACCGCTCAGACGATGGTTCAGAGTTTCCCAATCAGGATCAGTGGCTTCGCTCAATACCTTCACTCTCTCGCGCCATGATGACGAATCCTACACCGCTATGTGCAAGCTTCAGGATTGTCGAATTGGACAACAACTCTCTCACCTTTGCTTGTCTACCTGCCATTTGTCGATTGTTAGATGGTAATCTGACTCTACACAAGCTCAGTCTCAAAGCAAACGAAATAGAAGGAGAGCCACGCTGGTTCTATAATCTTGCGCAGGCCATCGGATCGTCTGCACTTAGGCATCTCTGCTTGTCGTCCAATCCAATCGGGCCTTACTCCCTCGCAGCCTTCTTCGACTCGATACCAAAAGGCGGGACTGCCTTGGAGACCCTAGAGATGTCCAATTTATCTCGTCGGCTTCGCGAAGACGAGTTTGATGAAGACACAGGCACAGAGACTATCGAGAGCGAATATTACGTTGCTGCACAAGCCGCAGCTGACTTCATTGGGGATCCGAAACGCTGCCGAAGTCTTCGTGTACTTCATCTCAACGCCAACTCTTTTGGAAGCCGTGGCGTACGCGTCATCGACTCTGCCCTTGTCGGCAGTCTCTCCGATGCCCCAGGTCTACCTATCATCCAAACAGATGAAATCACAGCTTTATCTGATCAGCTTCAAGCGCTGCGAAGAGATCCTTTTTACCTCGCTGTTTTCGGAACCAAGCCGATGAAGCGGAACCGCTCTCTCGTCAGGCTTCAGCTCTCTGGCAATTATTACCGATGCTGGCAGGCTGAAGACCCTCAAAAGGATCTCGACAAGTTCCTCGGCATAAAAAGGCGATATGCTGCCATACCAACGCAGGAGGTCAAGACCATGGCTGTCTTCATCGAACAGTGGTCTCGGCAAAAGAGGATGCAGCAGAAGAAAGATCCGAGCGAAGTCTTCTTTGAACTTCCCTTTGAGGTGTCGCGCCATCTATTCAAACTCGACGCCACGCTCAATGATGTGGAAAGGGACTTTCAGGATGCTGCTCAGTTTGCCGCTGGTTTAGACGGCACTACGTTGATCAAGATGCGACTTTCATGTCTCGACGCCAACGTCACAGAGGGAAAGCTGTGCCGCAAAGCTGCTGCAAGGATCCTCAGCGTGGCAAGAACGGTAGGATACCGCGTCAGGCGAGCGTCCACTACCGCAGATCCACAAACCGAAACAGTACAAAATTCGGCTACACCAGGCTTTCCTAGATTCATGGATCTACCACCAGAGCTCAGGTTACTCATTGTTCGCCACCTCGATGAAGATAACATCCTGTCGGGCAGCCAGTTTGCCAACATAATCAGCTATGCGTGCGAGCCTAGCACTATTGGTTATGGGCAGCCTCAGTATGACTGGTCACGCATCCTCGAGTCGACTAGCGAAGCCGAGTCGAGCTCCGCGGAAGGACCTTCGTCTACACGGCCTGCTCAAGGGTGGTCTTGGAGGGAGTGCTTTGCATCACGTGCGCCGCCTCGGGACTGGCAGGCGGACCTGTTAGACGCCTCCAATGAGGAGAGCGAGCTCCGTCCACGCGCGGTCAAGGGGAGGTGGTCCTTGGAAAGGACAAGTCCGAGCACATTCGCCTTCTTAGAATCCACATTGACACACAGGACGATGTAGGAATACCCATATTGTATCTTGCGCATGTACTCGGTCCACGACCGGAACTCAAAACGGATCGATAAGATCCTATCGAATGCATCTCTCATCGAATCCTGTAGAATTAGTGTGAGCTCGTGAGCAGAATCACATTTGCATGTGAGGCAAATCCCAACGACATCACCAAGATGTCCCGAGAAGCTAAGCAAGACCTCAATGTGCGAGCGGACAGATGCGAGCGGAAGAGTACTGTTGCACAACGAAGAGCTGGAATTGAACGCAGATGTTATATCAGAATGTGGCGAATTTTGAGAACAAAAGGCAATCTAGTGGTGACCGTGAGCGTGCTTGGAAGTGTCGATCTTGTAACCGACGAGCGATCTGCGGCCGATCATCTCGCCGATAGTGAAAATACCGTAAGCCTCGACAGCGTAGATGCCGACATGCTTCCAGTCGCCCTTGGTAAGGAGCTGAGCCCAGTAAGCCTTATCGGAGGCTTTGGACCAGATCTGACGGTATGCAGAGAGGATTGTGTTGAGCGAGGTAGGTGGGGCGAGACCTTCAGCAACGTAGACTTGCTTGGCGATGTTGGAGGCGACGGAAAGGTTGTACTTAATAGGTTCGGAGTAGCCTGTGAGGTTGCAGCAAGGCGCAAGATAAATGGCGATGTGAGGAAGCAAGAACAGGATTAGTAAGTCGACGATATTGACGCTTGAGACAGCGAGATGTGACACTGATGGTTCTGGACAGCTGAAGATTCGACATCGATTTGGAAGCTTGTCGTCGGTGACTGTGCTGGCACTGACGATCAATTCAGCCTGACCTGACCGGCAAATCTACCTCATTCACCCTATCGATGCCCTATCTTGCTCCGTATGCTCGGTGTACTTACCTCCAAGAAGACCCTCAACACGCTTGAGAGCGGGGCCACCGAGCTCTTGCGCCTTCTTAGTGATGTCGTTGATAGCAGAAGATGCCTTTTCGGGAGCACTGGCCGAAGCGCGACTAGTGGAAGTAGACGAGAACTGACGACCCTGGCGGGCGATAGCGCGAACTGCTGTTGACCTTGCGAAAACCATTGTGAGCGACGGAGACGACGACCTGGAAGATGGAGGAAGGATGACAGAGCTTGACGGATGATGACAGCGACAACGATACTGTGTCGGCAATTCTACTATGGCGTGGGGCAACGGCTGCACTCGAATCGCAGCGAGAGCAAGTTGGATGGAGGGCACTGTTCTGGTGCCGCTTTGACACTTTCTTCTCAAAATTTCGGGAGAGCGAGACGGATCCGCACTCAAGATCGGCGCTGTCTCTGCTAAATGAGCCCTGTCCTGATTCAAACTCCAACCTTCTGCACACAAATTTGCCAGCATCGGGCTCAGCCGGACCATCGCTCCAATTTTTAATTTTTTTTTAATTTTGGTATGTTTGATCTGATCAAACCAAACACTCGAAAATGGAAGTCAAGAGTCACGTGTAAGACTCAGCGTCCGCGCCAAAGCTTGAGCCTGGAAAAGGGGCCAAGACGCTGCTGCAATGCTTGGAGTTGGCAAAGAAGAGGGCGCGCGTGTCGTTTGAAAGTGTTGGTTTCGAGTTCGTTCCCACAGGGGCTCTCAAGCCCCCCCTTTTTTTGGCAGCACACAGCCCAACAAGCACCCTTTTGAGCTGTGAGACACAACCAACACGCAGCTTCGAACAGTCCAGCAAGGCAAGAGCAGGCAAGTGCGCACCTTCAAGGTGCATCAACCAGAGAGAGAGAGTGTGTGTGTGAGTGGAGTTCAACATCGTCCAATTTCAACTCTTGCTGTTCTTGTCAACGACGACTCTTCCATCATCCATTCCATCACGACCCCTAACGACCTTGACTTAGACCAATACAATCACCATGGTAGGTGACTTCCTCAATCACGCTCGCACCACTCTGCACATACCCGACTCTGGCACGTAGCTGACACTGACACCAACACCTGTTTCCAACCGCTACCGGACTATCACCTTCATCTCTTACACGCACCCACAGTCCGACGCAGAATACAAAGAAGCTTTCGCCCTCTTCGACAAGAAAGGCACCGGTACCATCGCACGCGAATCTCTCGGTGACCTTCTTCGGGCACTCGGTCAAAACCCGACCCAGGCCGAAGTTGCGGACCTTGCCAACGCTGCACCCAAAGACATCGACTACAACTCTTTCCTCAACATTCTTAACCGACCTAATGGCTTCAAGCCCGCAGGAACACCTGACGAGTTCATCCGAGGCTTCCAGGTCTTCGACAAGGATGGAAATGGATTTATCGGTGCAGGAGAGTTGAGATATGTTTTGACGAGCTTGGGCGAGAAGTTGAGCGATGACGAGATGGACGAGTTGCTCAAAGGTGTTCAGGTTCACCCGTAAGTACACAAAGCAACAGCCAGGTTGATGCTTGCGCAAAGGTTTGGGAGGGCAAAGTGCTGACAATTATTCTTAATCTTCGATCGATGTCAAACAGCGACGGCAGCATCCACTACGAGTCGTTCGTTCGCCAGATTCTCAGCCAGTAGAAGATGACCTTTTCTCAGATCGCAATCGTATTCTCTCCTCTTTGCTCAAGTCCCGCACAATCGAACATAGCGTCGGTCTTATATGACCCCGCTAATCTCGTCTGCTTGGGACGCATTTCACGTCTTCTGCTTCCCGTTTCTGCCACCTTTACGATCGGTCCGACTGTATAACTTTTCCCGAATACCATTCTTGTTACCCTCCCCTTCCAACTGAGGAGAGGTTTGTATCGACAGTCCAGATAGACTGGGCGCATATGGTCAGTAGCCAGACGACACTGTCTCACATGCAAATGCATCGCAACCGCAACATTTTTAGTGTGTTCATAATTTGAGCAGAGTAAGCTCGAGATTTGACACATTCTCTCTGCCGCACACGGAACTCACAGAGACGACAGCCACAGGCATCCACAGTCCTAAATACGATACACAGAGAGAAGCGGTGTATTTGCAAAACTGAGAAAAGAGCACCAATACACAAACAGATCCATACATTATTCGTGAGAGAGCGGTATCTGACCACCACTGTTCGTAGATCAGGCAGGGCACCGATCACATCTGCAACGAAGCAGTGGTTGATGAGCCTATAATTCGCTGAGCCTTCAACCTTGCTTCTCATTTGTAGCAGTGCGAACGGAAGCGGAGTAATGCGAATCTTCCTCTGAGCTGCGTGTTTCTTCGACCTGAGCAAGTTTGCTCGATTCGGAAGCTCTTGGACGAGACTGGGAGCGGTTAGGCGAGCCCTTGCCGCTGTTACGTGGTTCACGTGAACGAGACCTTGAGAGCGATCTCAGGAGCTGCAATGGCGGCAAGATTCGAAGGTGAAACAAAGAAGAGGGAAACGAGACTTTGTCAGTTGGACTTGTTCGGGATGGTAGGTTTCATTCATGTCGTTTCAGAAGGCTTCGAAGCATGCAGACATCAAGAGGTGGAGTATCCTGGTGATGAGTGTGCTATTTCTGCATATCGGAGTCGGTAGCTGACATGGCCAGTGGAAGATCCGCAAGGCAGTGCCGTCGAAAGGCTCCCACAATTCGGTCCTTGCAGAGACGCCGCATGGGAAAGGCAGAAAGGGTGTCGGGTATTCCGAGATCCAAAAGAGAGAGCCAGCATGCACCACGCCTGTCAACCCGAACACTATCCATCATCGGTACTTACACCTGAAACTCCTCCACCGCCATTGTTGCTACCGTTCGAGCCACGTCCACGTCCGCGCTCCTCAGCAGCAGCAGGGTCGGAAGTGGCGTTACCAGCACCGCCACGGCCGGTCAAGTGCGCTGTCCTGGATTCGGTCTGACGGTACTCCTCCTGCAGCTTCTCCTCGCGTTGGGCTGCTTCAGCGGCACGCTTTCGGTCCAGCGGGTCACGAGAGGGCGATCGGACGTTACCGGCACCGCCTCGACCGCTAGAGATCATGTGGTTGGGAACGGCGGCAGCAGCGGCGGTCTGGGGTGGGATGGCATTGCCGGAACGGTCGCGCGATCGGGAGGGCGAGCGAATGATCTGTAGAAAGCAAAGAAGACATGGTGAATTAGAAGATAGACTTAGTCTGTTGTCCGAACTGAAGAGCCCCTGCCGCAATATCGATAGCCAGCACGCCATCTCGCAGCCTGTAGATGAGTCAACAGAGCTGCCGAGTCGATGCTACCGCTCTGTAGCTAAAGATCCTGCTAGTCGCATTTACTCACGTTACCAGCACCACCTCGACCAGTGGCGATGAAAGGGTCACGACCTCGTGACTCGGCAGAGACGTTGGCGTCTCTCTGAGAGTGGTGGCCGAAACCGAGAACCATTTTTGTAACTATTACAAGTTGGCTCAGTCAGAGCTGTCGATCTCGTTGAGAAGGTGGAGGCGCGCTAGATGCGTCTAGCAGTTGATATGATACAGTCCTGTTCAAAGGGACAAGATTCCAGCAGGCCCTTTGGAGCTACTGGATGTGATAGACGGTGAAGGTGATGGAGCGGTGATATTAGACCAAAAGATGATGGCGATGGGTGTGTTCGGAATGTAAGAGAGCCGGATGATGTGGTATAGACACACAATCGGAAGTATGAGAAAGAGAGGGAGATGTGGGCAAGCCAAGAAAAATCGGTAATCGAAGCGAGACGAGGCACAATCACGTAGTCACTTGACTTGCAAATACATGAGTTGAAGATACATTGGAATTTCCTGGGTTTATCCAAGACGCCGACAGGGCGAAACTCGTGAAAGCAAATGCCACTTATGCACAAGCTGATTCAGGCATGTGAATTGCATGAAGATTGACATCACAACAACTCAGGAGCTCTGCAGGAGAGACAGCACAGGAGCTCTGCAAGAGAAACTTGACTCATCTGAGGCAGTCCAATGTTCTCAGAGATGGCATCAAGGCATATATATACTCATGCAGTTTCACTTCCTTCTAGTAATATGACAAGCATTATAGTTGCTACACACCTGTACAAAGAGAGACTGATTGTGGCCTCAACCAAGTGGTGCATATAACTGCAATCTGGATGCACAAGACATTTCACAAAAATTCAGATCAGACATGCCAAATTTGTCTGCCCTGTGCTTAACCCCCAGAGGGGGCAGAACCCACTGCCCAGGGCCCCATGATAATGCTAAGCAATGTTACATCTGAGAAGATAGAGGAGTCCTATGGATAGCCTTCATAAGCATATTGAAATTGCCATTGTGGTCACAATAGGGGGGTTTCAGTATTTTTTGCCCTCAAAAACTAGAGTCTTCCAATACTCAAAAAAGCTCAGAAAATTGGCACCCCCAAATGCAAGCTGAGTTTTTAGAGGGTGAATTTTTGAAGCCAACCAAGGGAGGGTAGTGTCAGCCAGAAAATGAAGCAGTTCTGGAATCTTCATATTGCATGTATCATGCAAGAAGATATTGATTGTATGTTCTTGTGCAGCATGCATTCACACAAGAGAGTACACAGACATGATGACAGTTTTGCTCAGAAGAAAGGGTTCATGCAAAGAAAGCTGCACAGGAAAAGTGGAGGTATTTGCACAAGTAGATCATGTGCAACATCACATGAGTGAAACTCAGGTCCAATTCTGAAAACTCTGTGTACTTGGCATGACCACAATGTTGGATGAGGTTGCTAGAAAATTTGCCATGCAACAATGCAGCTTTTTGCAGACCTTCTTTGAGCGCTTTTGATGCTTGTGGTGTTGCATAGATGACAAGGCAAATGGCAGGGCTGGATGGTGTTGGCAGGCTTCCTGGGGCTGAGCTTGGGTTTGCTGAGATGATTGAGGATTGGAAGTGGTTTGCAGTGGTGGCAGCAGCTGTTGATGATGTGGTTGATGTCTCCAATAGCAACTGCTCTGGATCTTGTCATTACAGCAGTGGAGTTGCTCCAAGTGGATACTATTGTCTTGAGAGCCCACATTGAGCATGCAGCTGTCAGAGGAATACACAGCAAACAGAGCCCTGATGCCAGGACCAACAGACTTGACAATAATAGCCTGCTTCAGAGATTGCTCTTGTGGAACAACAAATGTCATCACATTGTAGCAAAAAAGGAAGTACCAATTGCCATATTGGTCCAGCTGGATGCCTCACTTGTGACCAGCTTCAAGCTTGGTTGTATGCAATTGTGAAACAACCTTGCAATGGTCCTTGAGGAAGTGGTGTCCTCTTTGGCTGCACAGGCAGATCCTAACCCAGGTATCCTCCTAACAACCAAGGGGTTTGTCCTGGCCACCACTGCAGCACTTGACAGCTATTGGTGTGAGCTTCAGCTTTGGGGCACCAAGCCTCCCATCTTTGTGTGCTAATTGCAAGAAGGTGTGAACATCAACAGATGACACTGTATGTGGCACTTTGACAGCAGCCCTCTTGTCAAAAATGATTGTACTGTAGCTGGGTGAAAGGAAGATCCAAAAGCCATTTTACCTGTTGTCAGAGGTTGCACACCCAAAACCTGATATCTGTAATAGAGTTGTGTCTATTACAAATTCTGCCAAGATATGTGACAACACTTGTGGTATTATGATTCTTGGCAAGATATGTAGTAGAGATGTCTCTATCACTTTTCTTGCTCAGAAATGCAGTAGTGGTTTTGCTATTGCAGGTTTTGACTGACTGCTGTGGACACTCCATCCAGAGGTGGCTCAGCATGATCAATAACTGGTACAAACTGGTACTGGCACCAAGGTCTGGTGTAAGAGATATGTTTGGTGGTGCCAACACAAGTGTCCAGTGTGTCAACTGTATGCTTGAAGTGATCCCCAGACCACAGTGGACAACTGCCTTCAGTTCTATCTTTATCCAGACCACTGGTTTGCTATGAACTGCCTTTGGATGTCAGTGAGTGGTGATACAACACATGTGCTACAATGGAAGTAACCTATTGAGATTGCAACTTGCTAACTGAATACTAATGTATACTTAGGTGTAAAGCTATAACTAGTAATGTATGGTGTAGAGTGGATGGGGATCCACTCCCTTGCTATGACGAGGAGCATGGTTATATAGCCATCCTTGTGACATCACCTGTGACACTGCTCCTTCCCTGGGAGGCCTTGTCAACTCTGCTACTCCTCCTTGTCCTTCCTATCCTGTCCATCCTGGCTTCTCTCGCTTTGTGTGGATGGATGGTTCCCATGCTACTTCATCATCACCCAGAGTCATTCCCACCTCATCTGAGTGGCAACTTGCATCTGTTCATCTCCCTCCTGTTGTTAACACCCATCTGTTTGCATTGACTTCATTGTCATGCAAGGTCCCTACTTCATCTGGTGGCAACTGTCCTCCCCTTGTGTGGCAATCTCCCTTCGTCCTATCGGCAATGAGGTGTCTTCCCAGCCAATCCTTGTGAGGCCTGTCATACTCAGTGCAATATCACAAACCCCACCAAACTCTGTGGTAGTGGCTTTGTTCCTACAGATCCTGATGAGTTATGCCATAGGGCCATTTCTCCTGCTGATCCTGGCAAGTTATGCTATAGGGTTGTTTCTCCTACTGATCCTGACAAATTATGCCATAGACTTGTCTCTCCTACTGATCTCAGCGAATTCTCCCTTAAGCTCCTGTGTAGCCTGATCCTGTGATTCCTGTGCTCCTTCATATGATGCCAACTTCCTCTTTTCCTCCTGCGCATCCGGCTCCTATGACACCTGTCTTTAGCCTTTGAACAGTTCAAAAGGGTTGATATTGGTCCACAAGGCAGATTCTTATCCCAGTAAGTGGTAAGGCTGGCTTTTTGAGCTGCAAGAGCCTTGTCAATTGCAGCTTGTCATATGCTGACAGGACACTTGCAGAGATGGGGATGCCTTCCAGTTGTCTCCCAGCTGCTGGTAGAGTTCATACATGTGTGGGAGAAGAGAGTTGTGGTTGATCACATTGAGTGTAGTTGCAGCAGCATTGTATGTGATGTTGGCACAATGCCTCCAAAAGCAGGCAATATCCTTGAACTTGGCAGTGGTTTTGATGTGATACTTGCATGTTCTGATCCTTGTCCTCTCAGGCTGAGACAAGGGTTTTGCTGGAGGGGGTGTATTGGGCCTTGTGGTTGGATTGTCCATTCCCAAGGCTTCTACCACTTGATTGCCAAGATCTTCAGGCTCAAGCCAGTCAATGTTGGTAGGGATCCCATTGTCATGGGCTTGACTGCACAGGAAGCAGGAAGACCCGACAGTTCATATGAAGGTAGCACAGGAATCAAAGGATTGGGTGGATCAGTGGATTTACAGAAGAATTCAGTGAGATCAGTAGTAGACCCAGTTCTATGACAGATCTCATTGGGATCTGCATGAATGAAGTTGATATCACAGATCCTACCAGAATCTGCAGTAAGTACAATAGTATGGCAGATTTCACTGAGATCAGTGACAATGATGTTCATATGACAATTTCACATGTGAGAGGGACTATGCTCGCAAGCAAGGAGGATTGAGCACTGCCAAGACAGGGACTGAGCTCACGAAGCATGCAGATGGTTACCACTCAGGGGCTCAGAAGATATGCAGACAAGAGAACCATTGCTGGTTGAAGGAAGAGGAGCTGTGTGGTGGGCACCAGAGAACAGGTCATGAGGAGGAGGAGCAGTATTGATGGAGTCAATACAGCTCAGGAAAGACAGGAGCAACAAGGCTCGATGAGGGGGAGGAGTCTCAGTGGAGACTCTTGTACAGTACTCGATGGCAAGGGTACTCTCTGGAGAGAGAGCCAGAGCAGTGTCACTGGCGACACTGTGAAGAGGTATATAACCATACCTTCTTGTCACAAATGGTCGAGTGGATTCCCATCCACTCTACTCACCATATTAACTAGTTATCACTTCAGCATTAAGTATACATTAGTTACAGTCAGCAAGCAGCAATCAAGTAGATTGCTCCTCATTGAAGTGCATGTGTTGTATCACTGCTCACTGATGTCTGAAGGCGGTTCATAGCAAACCAGTGGTCCAGATAAGATAGAACCAAAGGCAGTAGTCCACTGCAGTCCGGGGATCACCTCAAGCACATAGTCAACACACTGGACACTTGTGTTGATGCCACCAAGCACATCGCTCACACCAGACCTTGGTGTCAGTACCAGTTCACATTGTTATTGATCATGCTGAGCTACCTCTGGATGGAGTGTCTGACAGTGGTCAGTTGAAATCTGCAATAGCATTACCACAACTACAGATTCGAGCGAGAAAGGTAATAGAGACAGCTCTACTGCATATCTCATCCAGAATCGCAATACCACAAGCACTGTTGCATAACTCGACAGAATTGGTAATAGTATTGATACTACTACTGATCTCAGGTTTCAGGCACATGACCACTGACACCCATCACAATCAAAGGTGGTTGTGTTTCCAAACAGCCAGATGGTGTGAGGCTCTGCAAAGATGGAGACAGCAGTGTCAATCCAACAGCTTGTCAGCAGTTGTGTGCCTGAAACCTGAGATTGGTAGTAGTATCGATACTATTACCAATTCTGTTGAGTTATGTGACAACACTAGTGGTATTACAATTCTTGGTGAAATATGTGATAGAGCCATCTCTATCACTTTTCTCACTTGAATCTGCAGTTGTAGTAATGCTATTGCAGATTTTGACTAACTGCTGTGGACACTCCATCCAGAGGTAGCTTGGCACAATCAATATCAATACTTTGGTGGTGAACTTGATGATGACACCAAAGGTCTGGTGTGAGTGTGGGTACTGGTGGCATTGACACAAGTGTCCAGTGTGTTGACTATCGCTTAAGGTGATCCCCAGACCACAGTGGATGACTGCCTTCAGTTCTATCTAATCTGGACCACTGGTTTACTATGAACTGCCTTCGGACATCAGTGAGCAGTGATACAACACACATGCTACAATGAGAGGCAATCTATTTGATTGTGACTATGCTGACTGAAACTAATGAGTACTTATGCTTCTGAAGTAATACTAGTTATATGGTGTAGAGTGGATGGGGATCCACTCGACCACTTGTGATGAGAAGGTATGGTTATATACCTCTTCACAGCATTGCCAGTGACACTGCTCTGGCCCTCTCTCCAGAGAGTACCTTCTTCACCAAGTACTATACTGGAGTCTCTGATGAGACACCTCCTCCTCATTGAGCCCTGCTTGCCTGTCACTCCTGTCTGTCCTTCTTGAGCTTATGTGCCAACTCCTTCAACACTGCTCCTCCTCCTCCTCATGACCTGCTTGCTGGTGTCTTTGATACAGCTCTTCTTCCTTCAACTGGCGATGACTCCCTTGACTCCTATCTTGTGGACCCCTGAGTGGTACCCACCTGCATGCTCCTTGAGCTTGGTCCCCTTCTTGGCAGTGCTTGATCCTCATTGTATGTGAGCTTGGTCCCTCTTGCATGTGAATTGTCATACAAACATCCCTATCACTGATCTCTGCAGAATCTGCCATATGATCTTGCTTACTGCGGATTCTGGCAGAAATTGTGATATTGATGTTGCTCATGTAGATCTTGATGAGATCTGTCATAGAACTGTTCCTACTACAGATCTCACTGAATTCTGTTACAATTCCCATGATTGCCTGATTCCTTGATCCCTGTGCTCCCTTCATATGAACTGACAGCTCTTCTTACTTCTTACGCATCAATGCCCATGACACAGCTGTGCAAGGTTATGATGTAAGGTGGAACATACAAGGTGTTGATGAGATTGGAGTCTGCAGGAGGGATTAGCCTTCTGTAGAGGTTGTTCAAGTTGGCATCCCAGAAAGGGTAAATGTCGGGTCCTCCTTGCAATGAAACAAAAAGCCAAAAAGCCAAGCCAAGGCGAATGCAGTTAAAGTCATTCGTCAGTGCGTTGAAGTCATCCAGTTGAAGTCATTCGTCAGTGCGTTGAAGTCATCCGTCAGTGGTTGGAGTTGAGGCGTCTAGTTGATGATGGTGGTAAGAGACAGAGAGCGAGAGAGCGAGGAGTCTATATATATACAAAAGAAGAGCGGCAGAGAGCCGCATTGACTGCGGAACATAACAAAGCATTTGCCTTGAGTAGGTTGTGACACATGTGGTCCGTGCTAAGATGTTCAGGCCTTTTACTCGGCCGTAAGCACTACCTCCACTGTCTCTACGCTTTGTGTGGCTTTATCTACTTCAACTAATGCCACGGGGCAAAAGAGTCACTGATAAGAACTCTCGGCTGCAACATTTGCCAAGACGAGCTTCACCAAAGGGATTCGAGTGAATTGGAAGGTGAGAGCGGCTGCTTGGTGATTCTGAGATTCAAAGTAATTCAACTGTCTGCCGAGATCAGCGTCTCCTTCTCCCTGTCTGCCCGTTTGCTTCGCTCGTCCAAAGATAAGAATTGACCGTAGAGATAAGCTTTTTGTCTTTGCCCTTGCTCTTCACCCTGATCAAGCTCTTGTTTTCGCCGTCTCAGAGCGATTCTGTCTTGGGTCTGGCTTGGAGCTCTTCTCCGCAAACAAGCGTCTGTCGCTTGATACCACAGATCGAACCCCTTGTCCACTTCTTATCAACCAATCAGCTCACGCCAAACGAGTTTCCATCCACGCTCAATGACAGGATCAACCATGTGCGAACATTGCTGCGCGGAGGCCCTAACCCTAAGGGTAGCCCAGCAAACGGAATCCGCAATCGGCTAGTTTGCCGGCATGTTGCTCATGAATGGTACATTAGAGATCAGGAACGCTCATTTACCCACCTCCGATCTTGTGATGCCTCTTGTGGCCACGAGGTCGTAGCTCTGTCACTCCGTGGTACACAGACCTGATATGAACAGCTTTTGCTACAGTACACAAGCTTTTGTCGCTTCTGCATTGGGCGTGTGCAACGATCATCAGTGTACCTGTCAATGTGCTTTTCCTGTAGGTGTTAGGCCGCGTTTACTGTCCGAGCTAAGATTGATTGCCTTCCTCCACAGGGTCATCTAGAATTTTTCGACGCATCAACTTCTTCTCAACACCTTCCTCGACTCCATCCCATCAACCTTTCAACTCCACGCCCATCGAACACACCTTTTTCGCCCCCTTGACCCGCCAATATGCCTCCAGGTCAAGCGCTAGAACCATCTCTCACAGAGTCCGACTTTATTCTCTCCTGTCTCCAAGACAGCATCCGAGTCGATGGTCGCTCTTTCCTCGCTCCTCGCGACATCCACATCTCCTTTGGCGAAGAACTCGGCAACTGCACCGTATCCATCAAAGGCACGCGCGTGTCCACTTCTGTCCGCGCGAATCTCTTCCCCCCACGCTCCGATCGCCCATATGAGGGCTTTCTCCAAATCACAACTGATATCTCTCCAATGGCTGGTGTCGAATACGACTCGACCGGTGGAGGAGCCAACTCTTCCGCTCGAGCCAAAGAAGTTCTCTTCGACAGACTCATCGAGAAAGCAATCCGAAGAACAGAAGCCGTCGACAGGGAAGCACTTTGCGTGGTAGCCGGCGAACAGGTCTGGAACGTCCACCTCACAGTCCACCTTCTGTCAGATACAGGCGCAGCATTAGACGCAGCAGTACTGTGCTCAATGCTCTCACTACGACACTTCCGTCGACCAGACTACTCGATCGAAAACGGTAACCAAGTACGCCTTTACTCGAGCGACGAACGTGTCCCAATCCCACTCGCTATTCATCACACACCACTCTGCGTCACTTTTGCCATCTTCAACGACCTCTCCACTACCACAACCGCAACTGCCAAGTCTCAACCGGATGACGACCACCTCATCGACCCAACCTCAGCTTCTGCAGCAGCAAGCACAAGCTCAACAGTAGCTTTACTAGATCCCACGTTGTTGGAAGAGACGCTAGCGCATTCTAAGTTGACATTGGTGCTGAATGCGCAAAAAGAGATTTGCGTATTGGACAAATCGTACGGCAGTCCGATTGCACCACAGACGTTGTTGGACTTGATCAATGTAGGATTCAGAAGGATTCAAGAGTTGACAAAAAAGTTGGAGGAGGCGTTGAAGTTGGATGCTGAAACGAGGGTTGTTGAAGTCATCTAGACTTGAAGCAGAATAAAAGACACATCTGTATTTATACCGTTACACTCTTGCGACCAAAATCGACCTTTGCGATCCTTTCACTCGACCTCTCCTTTGTGAAGCCGCGAACGATCGCAGGCGGACAATCACACAAAGTGGATGCAAAAGGGTACCAAATTTGGCTGTGACGAGTATCAAAGACTCATCATCATAAAGCACATCATCTTACAGTAGAAGAGAGCAGCCTAAGCGGTAGCAAGGAACCCAGTACAATCATAAAATCCGATCATCGCCACTGCTTTCGCACTCGACTTCGACCTTGATCGACTTGGCCTCATGGTTGGTTCTGCAATTCTCACGGTCCCACCGCTGGCAGCGGGGAGCATGTTAGCTGGTATACCGACCGAGCATGAGTCTGGTCCTGGTTGCGGCGGACGGTTGCCCAATGTCGTCGCTCCCGAAGTTGGTGCTGCAGCAGGTACGGTGGATGTGGGAGAAACAGGTCTGGAAGGCCTCCTACTGCCTCCCTCCCCATCAACACTGGTTTCGGTCATGCGATATTCTTCCTCCAGTCCATGCGAGACTCGTTGAGTGGCTGCGTAAGCCGCTGCTGCAGACATCCCTCCCTCCGCCTTCTCCTGCTGTTGGGGAGGGGCCGCAGTAGCGCCAATAACAGAGCTCTTCCGTGTCTTGATCGCATCATCTTTCTCCCTCTCCGTCTTCCCACTTGTACTAGACCTATCACTGAAACTCTTCCCACTTGTCGAGCCAATCCTTGCATTCCTGGAACTCGCTATGATAGAAACCTTCGTCGCTGGTCCTCTGAAAACAGGATCTGTGGCAGGGGAAGCAAATGCGTAGCTAGCCATAAACGCTGATGCCTCCGGCAACGGTACGGGTAAAGTCGAGCTCCCACCTGCACTTCCTCGACCGAAGGCTCGGGTGCTGCCGAACCCTCCACCGGGCCCAGGACTCGTGGTTACGGAGTTGGGAGAGGTGACACCAGCGCCGCTACTGCTAGGTCGCTTGACTTTCTTCTTGCTCTTCTTGCCTCCTGAGCTTGCTTTGAGGGTGTCGTTGTCGGTCGTATCGACGCCCTGAGAGGGCTTGGTGGTGTCAGGAGCGGATGCTCGAGTGGTTTGCAGTCCGGCGGGAGCTTCTTGTGCATGTGTTGTGGATACGGCGAATGCTGATCCTGTCTCCGCATCACCTCGCGCTTCCTGCGGTAGGATATCCTCTTCGACCGCACTCTCGGCCAACACCAGCTGATCCAGTTCCAAACCCAAACCACCCAACCGCTGCAAACCTGCAACGCCAGGGTCAGCAGTAGTCACACTCATCTTCCGCCTCCTCTCCGCAAACTTCCTCCCTTCCACAGTAAGATCTTCATGGACACTTTCCCAACCAAGATACTTCCTCAACATATGCTCTGTATCTGCCGAAGCTCTTGTTGCGTCAATCCACGCATCCATTGCACTAAAAAATTGATCCTTCGACTTCCAGGGATGCGCGAATGGTCGCAAAGCTGCTGGGTTGCCCTGACAAAAGCGTCGATTGGTGTCCATTTTGGCCAGCTCGGGTTGCGGCTGACCTTGCAGGCTGCGTTTTTCTTCTTCTGCTTCCGCCCAGATGAGTTCGCGGGATGAAGAGAAATGGTCGAGTTGTTGAAGAATCACTAGCGCGCAGAAGAGGTCAGGGTCGGTCATAGCGAACTGCGAATTGAGCGGTTTACCAATTTGACCACGAGAGGTGAATCTGCCCTGACGCTTGCCTTCGTCTTCGCTTGAAGTTGCGCCTCCTGATGAAATCTTTTCGCCTTCAGCGGCGGCAGCTGAGCGGGCACGTTGTGCACTTGATTCGACATATACTGGGATATGCCTTGGGTTTCCATTCGCCACATTGCTAAACCCCGGCAATAGCAAGGCTGATGGGACGACTGAGAGTGGGGTAGGGTTAATGAATCGTCGATGCATCATTCGCTCCAACACCACTTCGATTGCATCTACGTCCGCTGAGTCGGAAGAATCGTTGAGCACTTTCAAGCGTTTCGGCAACTTCACGCCGCTACCCTTCTTTGCGGCTCTTCCCTGTTCCAGATCCTTCAGCTCTTGTACATCAACTAAGCTCGCATGGCCAAAGAAGCTGTAGTTCCCCTCTACCACCTCAAGCACTCCTCCCGGAGCCAAGATTCGCCGTGCTTCGGAGAAGATGTCCACCCACTTGTCCTCCGGTACACCTTGCAAAATGAAGCGTATATGCACGTAGTCAAAGCTGGCATCTGGAAAAGGTAGCGGTTCGAGAAGGTTCGCAATCACCCAGCTTACTCTATGCTCTAGATCTGCATCTTCTAGTTCCTGCAACGGTGGTTGGATCGGGACGATGTCGAGACCGACAAATTCAGACGTCTTCCATTCCCTAGCCATATCTAAACACCATACTCCGCGTCCACAACCCAGATCTAGCACTCGGCAGGGTCGAGATCCCTCGGGAAATTCGCGCAGAGTGTTGCCGTGCAAGGCAGCATTGACGTTGAGATGGGTAGACATCTCCGCTTCAATTGTTTCTGTGTTGTAGCCGTGCCAATATGGAACGACACTGGATGGGAACGCGTGGTGAATGTAGTCTCGCATCTTGCCTTTGACGCGAGATCGGGTGATGGAGAAGTACGAGTCTGGATGCCAACAGTCTGGTGATGGTGGTGGTAAGCGTGTGCGCGGTGGTTGCGAAGTTGTATGCCCGACAAGTGTTGAGCCGGGTAGACTGCTGTGTGAGCTACTTGCTCTGCCTCTCACAGGAGAGTCCGCCGCTGGGCTTGTGGAGTATACCGCACCGCCCACTAGCTTGCCTTGTGAGACAGCAGAGTTGTCGGACGTATCAGTATTCCTTCTCCTTCCCAGAGCTTTTCCAATGCCCACACCTCCCGCACTTGTGCTGCTCGCAGATTTGACGGGCGGAGGAGTATAGAAATAATACCCGAAAGCAACTCTCGCTTTATACGTCACCTCGCCTTCTTCCAACCCATGGATGTGCGAAGGAGGCGCTAACCCCAACCTTACCGGCAATTGCTCCCCCACCATCGATTCGGATTCCTCAAATGTCGCTGGCAAATGAAATGTATGCGGCTTCTTCGCCCCTCCTCCACCCACGCCTCCTCTTTGATTCGCACTATCCCCACTCTCCACCCCCGCACCATCCGTCGAAGGAACAGCAACACTACTCCTCCTTCTCCGGCGGCTAAAAAACTCCGACGTCCGGGGATAAAACTCAGGCATCAATGGAGAACTCTGTCTAAAATGCTCGAACTCCGGCAACCTATGCTGTAGAGCACTGCCAGAAGAACTTGAAGAGCCTCCCAAACTAGCCTTTGTTGCGGGGTCGGTGGATGTTGTGCTGGTGGGAGAAAGTCCATCGCCGCCAATATAGGAGCTTTGCTGGGATTTGGAATCGACAGAGCTGGATTTGGAAGCGGAAGCACTACTACTTGATGGGTTTGAATCCGGGGATTGTTTAGAGTTGGATTTGGGGTCGGTGCGGACGCTTGGCCTCCGCGCCAGGTAGAGATGGTATGGATCGATCATGGTTAGGGTGCGTTGCTTTCATGGATATCTAAGGGTGAAATGTTGGCGTTCGCATGGTTGAGTTGGGTATCAGAGTTGGTTGTGGCGTTGCTTGCGATTGCGGAAGGTGTGTTGTAGATCCGCAGCAGCAACAACAAGCTCGAAATGCGGAGACTTGATGAACCGGCTTTCTTTCCGGGCCAACCTTGTCCGCGGTTGCGGGCTGACCTCTTTCGTCAGATGGGGTATGTGTTAATCGGGAGGAAGCGGACGGGACTCTTTTTGCTAGATGATGATGGTGGAAAAGGAAGCTGACTGTCACAACCTCAAATCTGAAACAAAGCAGGCGGATACAGAGCGGATACGTTGTACTCCAACACCACATACCTATTGCACAGAGAGAGAGAGAGAGAAAGAAAGAGGAGAGAGCTCTTGAACCACATCGCTTCGCTTCGCTTCACATGCAGAAGCGCACTCTAGGGGTTTCAATTTTTATTATTTTCGAAAACACAAGTTATTTTTGAGTTTTAAATTGTGTTGAATATTTATTACTTATGTAAGCTCTGCCATTTTGACAAATGCTCTAGTTTTTGAAAACACTGCTTCAGCAATACTCATGCAGCAGTATTTTCAGAATTGGACCTGAGTTTTCACTCATGTGCTGTTGCACATGATGTTGCACATGATCTACCTGCACAAATACCTCCACATTTCCTGCATAGCTTTCTTTGTGTGAACCCTTTCTTCTGCACAAAACCCTTTCACTTAACTCCTCTCCTTGTCCCTTTCCACACAGAGTAGAAGTCTCTTTTCATTTAGCCACCACCTCACAACCTCTCTCTCTGCCCTCAACTTAATCATGTCCACCAATGATTGCATGTCCACCAATCATTGCCACAACACCAGCTATGTCAATCCATACCTCTTGGAGATGGACCTTACCATTGGAGAAGGTTTAGCAGATCTGTCTCAGACACCTGAGCTGCCCAACACATCTACCACCTCTAATTGTGCAAGACCAGCTGCTAGAGCAAGCATAACTCAAAACCAGGACATGGACAGTGGGAAATACTTTGTTTGGTCCAACAACAAAGCCTTGTGACTTGTCACCATCCTTTTTGACAGCAACTACTATCAGAAGTCGCTACTCAAAGGTTGCTTGACAAAAGAGCAAGAGAAAGGATTGAAGACGAGCAAGGAGACGCTTGTCAAGGGTCGTGTCATAGGACCCGAAGCGCAGAAGCAGAAGACTTATGAGAAGCGGAAGCCTCATGAGGTGGAGCACAGGAATTGAGGATTGGGCAGATTGAGGGTTTTGCAACAGAGTTCATCAAGATCTGTAGAAGAGAGGGCTCTATTACAGATCTCATCCAGATTGGTATGAACAAGGAATGTTTCATGAATTCCACTGGGATCCATAATATCATGATCATATGATGGATCTCATGTGGGTGCCAATTGCATGGATATCTCAGCAGGGCAAGATAGTGGGAGCATTGGGTTCACCACCCTGATGAAGGAGGGGGCCAAACCAAGGTTGAACTCAGAGCCAGAGGATGGGGGAGATGAGGTAGGGGGATGAGTCACCACTCAGATAAAGTGGGAGTGGCTCCTATCCAGGATGAAGCAACTCCCACCCACAGGAAAGACAAGGAGCAGCACCAAGGAGCAACTTCACTGACTAGCCAGGAAGGTCAGGAGGAGCTCGAGGAGGAGGGACAGTGTCATAAGGACTCCCTGGAGCAGCAGCAGTGTCACAGGCAATGCTGGGGGTCATGTCCATATAAGGGGCCATGCTGCTCATAACAAGCCAAGTGGATCTCCATCCACTCTACACCATACATAACTAGTTATCACTTTAGCATAAGTATACATTAGTTTCAGTCAGCAAAGTTGCAATCAAGTAGATTGCTTCCATTGTAGTGCATGTGTTGTATCACCACTCACTGACATCTGAAGGTGGTTCATAGCAAACCAGCAGTCTGGATAACAATAGAACTGAAGGCAGTCATCCACTGCAGTCTGGGGATCACCTCAAGCATTCAGTTGACACACTGGACACTCATGTCAGCAACATCAACAATCTCAATCACACCAGACCTTGGTGTTAGTACCAGTTCATATCAGTTATTGATTGTGCCAAGCTACCTCTGGACAGAGTGTCCACAGTGGTTAGTCGAAACCTGCAATAGCAAAACCACTACTACATCTTCAGGTGAGAAAAGTGATAGAGACATCTCTACTACATATCTCAACAAGAACAGTAATACATCAAGCATTGTCACATATCTTGACAGGATTTGTAATAGATGTGTTTCTATTACAGATATCAGGTTTCAGGCGCGAGACCCCTGACAGGTTGCATGCTTGAAACCCGAAATCTGTGGTAAAAGGCAATACTACTAATCTCAGCGAGATCTGTGGTAAAGGCCTTCTATTATTGTTCTTGCTGGAATCTGTCATAGAAGCCTTCTATGACTGTTCTTGCTTGAATATGTAGTAGTTGACATCTATTGCAGATGTTGACTGACCACTGTGGGCACTCTGTTCAGAGGTAGCTTGGCACGATCACTATTCAATAGATACTTTGAGATAACACCAAGGTCTTGTGTGAATGTGCTTGTGCCAGCCTAATGATCGAGAGAGCCAGACCACAGTATGAACTGCCTTTGGTATCAATCAATATCCAGACTGCAGAATGAACTGCCTTTGGATGGTGCCAAGAAGCTTGTGATACAACACACATGCTAGATAGATGCAATGCTCTGCAATTGCACTGCTTGACAGAAACTACTAATGTATACTTATGACAAAGTTATAACTAGTATGGTAAGGTGTAGAGTGGATGGGGATCCACTCAACTACTATGACAAGAAGCATGGTTATATAGCCATTCCCACAATGTTGCCTGCAACACTTGCTCCTGCTCTGGGAGGCCTCCTCCAAGACTGCTCCTCCTCCTCCCCTTGTCCTTCCTATTGGTCCTGTCTTCCTTACAATGCTACTTGTTGGCACCACTTCCCTTGCTTCTGCAGATGGACAGACCTCGTGCTGCTTCATAATCGACAGAGGCCATTCCCACTGTAAGTGGTCGCGCACCAGAAACCAGATTGGGTGTTTCCAGTTGATTTCGGTGAGATCAATTGGGTATGATCTATTCAGTACATCTTGGTTGAAAGTAACCAGACAGTTGAGTTCTGGTAGGTTTTGGCTGACTGCCTTGAACACTCCATTCAGAGGCTATGCAGCATGCCTGTAACACTTTGGTATGAGAGTGGTATCAGACACAACTCTCCTATCACAGTGTGAGTGTTTGTAATGCTTGATGCTCTTGACATTGTCTGGACCACAATAGGCTATTGCCTACAGATGATGGGAGGTGTCAGGGGTCTCGCGCCTGAAACCCAGGTCGGTCTGTCGAGATACTCGGTGACTATTAAACTGTGTGACAGCTATTGTCTCGGTATCGGTGACTATCAAGTTGTGCAGTGACAGCAGGTGGCGTTCGTTGTATATACTATCGTAGGTTTCGGCTGACCTCTGTGGACACTCCGTTCAGGGGTAGCTCGGCACGATCAATATCAATGTTATGATGACACCAAGGTCTGGTGTGGGTGTTGATGATGTTGAGGTTGATGGTGTTGGTGATGAGATTGGTGATGTCGATGATAATGAGGTTGATGGTGTTGATGATAAGGTTGGTGGCGTCGATGATAATGAGGTTGATGGTGTTGGTGATAAGGTTGGTGGCGTCAACACGAGTGTCCAGTGTGTTGACTTGATGCTTGAAGTGATCCCCGGACCGCAGTGGACTACTGCCTTCGGTTCTATCTATATCCGGTCCGCTAACCTGCTATGGGCGCCTTCGGACGTCAGGTAGTGGTGATACAACACACACACTACGATGAGGAGCAACCTTGATAGATTGCTGCTATGCTGACTGAAACTAATGTATACTTTATGCTGAAGTGATAACTAGTTATGGTGAGTAGAGTGGATGAGGATCCACTCGACCTATTGATGAGAAAGCATGGTTATATACCTCTTCTCAGCATCGCCAGCGATGCTGCTCCTGCTCTCTCTCCAGAGAGTACCTTCTTCATCGAGTACTGCTCAGGGGCCTCTCCTGCTTGGCACCCCTGTGCCTCTTGAGCTGTGTCGACTCCTTCGACACTGCTCCTCCTCCTCATGACCTGGTGTCGACTCCTTCGACACTGCTCCTCCTCCTTTGATCAGTGACAGTTCCTTTGGCTCTTGTCTCTCGAGCCCCTGAGTGGTAACCATCTGCATGCTCCTTGAGCTTGGTCCTCTTCGTGGCTGTGCCTGCTCCTTGAGCTTGGTCCTCCTCGTGGCTGTGCCTGCTCCTTGAGCTTGGTCCTCCTCGTGGCTGTGCTTGGCCCTCCTTTGCATGTGAGTCCATAGGAGTCCATGGTCTCCATGGAGACTGCACTATGACCATGCTCTCTACTGGTGTCGACTAGGTCTTCGATACCTGTGCTCCTTCCATATGAACCAGTGACCCTCCTGCTTCTTGAGCATCCAGGCCCATGACAGGAGGTACTGGACCACAGGTGCTTTGGACACTGCCTACAGTAACTGACTGGACTGCAGATGTTGAGCAACACTGCCTACAGTGATGAACTGGACTGCAGGTGTTGAGGAACACCACCTACAGTTGATGTCTGATGGTGATACAACACACATGTTCGAGATGTCATTGCAAAGCTATGCTATTGCAATGATATGAGTCAAGTAAAGAGTAGTAAGATAAAGAGTAAAGTGGATGAGGATCCACTTATATGCTATGGTGAAGTGGTAGTATTTATGCGTTCAGAGGGTGTCATCTGTGACACTGCTCCTGCTCCTCTTGAGGAGTGTTCCCATCCTCCCTTGTCTCCTCCTCTTCTTCAAGCTGTGTGTTTGGCCTTCTTGACACTGTCTGATCTCCTCATGGTTCTCATGCTGGTCCCTTGGGCTGGCTCCCTTCCTTTCTCAATCCATGGCCATTCTATTGGCCCCTA